GCGTGTGTATTTCTCTACCAGGACATTGAGTTCGCTGTATCCAGATCACAAAATGAAATTGGCTCACGAAGAAATCCAAGATACCGTTCGACTTATTGATGATGCATTTGTGAAACTTTGTGATCTTGTAAACGATTCGTCTGTCGTTGTTCGTACAAAGGCCTGTGTCATGATGGCATCTTATCAACATGTCGAATTTAATGTCATGTCCCAGACATTCAGCAAACGTATTATGTCTAACTTGAGACGCAGACTTGGATTCAGCACGTATCGTGGTCAGAAAAGGGTAACTAGTTTTTATTCTTTGTTATATATCTAAATAGGTTAGGTTTGAATATTGATTTATATATAAAGACTTTCTAATTTGTACTTATCTTATCTTATTATTAAAGCCTACAGTTGTTACGGATGGAAATTTCGATGCTGCCTCTAGCGAGTTTAGACTTTTGGATTCAGGAGCATGTGGTGCTTTTGTACATGGTCTGGAAGATGAATTCCAAGAAGTAAGAAGTGCTGCGATTGGTAAGCTCACAACTGAACTGTGGGATTTGCAGTAGCTTACACATCTATTCTAGATTCAATCTGCGAATTGTGCATGTACAATGACAAACTTATTCGTAGTGCAGTAGACTGTCTTGTAGGTAAATATCTTGAAATATCTATAATAGGGCTGGCCTGCACAAATTTAAGTACCTTACTCCGACTTTAATATTTTGTAGATATGTTTAACGATGAAATTGACCGGGTTCGTATTAACGCTATACAAAGTCTGCGCAAGATTGGAACACGGGAAACCCTTTCTTTCAATGCAGAACAGCTCGAAATTGCAGTGGGAGCATTGGAAGATAATGACCCGACAGCAAGAGAAGCTACACATGAACTTATTAGGTAAGAAAGGAATATATACATACATTCATACATACATATTACGTCCCTAAAAAAATCCGAGGATCTAATTTAATATAATTTATTTTCATTTTTACAGAGTTATTCGAATTGACAAAGAAAGCTCGATGCAAACATTATTGGATGCTCTAATGGCAAATATGAAAAGATTTCCCGAAGACCAGCTCTCAATATTCCGTTGCTTACGAGATGTTGGAAAGAGACATGGCGATTATTTGGGTAAAAGCTCCCACTTACTGGCACATCTATGATATTCAGAATCTGACATCAGTCTAATATAGGATCAATGGTTCCTTCACTACTGAACCTGGATAGACGGTACCTTCCGAGAGAACCTACAGTAGAAGATAGTTTATGTAAGTTTGGCTTTTTTTTTTGTTAAATGGTAGGTGATTTTTTTTTAAAAAAAAATACTTAGATGCATCCAATGTAATATTGATTGCAAACGCATGTACAACCAACATGAGTATATCCGAAATGCTGCCAAAATACATCTATCGACATTTTGCATATTACCAAAGCAAATATCCAGACTGCATTCCTGATTTGAGGGTATTGTGCTGTACTTGTGGAGGATTATTTGTACGATTCTTGAACTAACTATGTACATTAGAAAATGTACAAGTCTGCAAACATTGTCTTGCAAGGAGACATTGATTGCTTGCCAACGAATTTTGCAGGTAAGTTAAATGAATTTAGTGTGTAATTTTAATATAATGAACTCGGTTTTAAATACTTATTTTTTAATTTATTTACGTATAGTTACCGCACATAATCTGGTCACTGACGATGTGGAAAAGTACATGGCTGTCACCCTTGATATGCTCAAAACAATTGGCCTTCAATTAGAGCGCAAAGACTACACTGGAGCTTTATTGACAGTCGAGGCAGCGGATAGGTAAGATACAAAGATTACCTAATATCTTTATTGATTTTTTTTCTTTGTTTAGAAATTTTGAATATATTGCGACTTTAAAGCCATCCCTTGCTGGAAAATCTAAGCTGGCAATACTTTATCTTCAATGCTGTGAATTAGTGATCAGAGTAAATAAAAGAGGAAGAAAAATTATGATATAATGTGAATACTTATCACAATTTACTTTGCATTTTATTTTAGATTAAGCAAAGCCACTCGTCACCAACGTATGCTGCAACCGCGCAAATGGCAGCAGCATCTCTTCTTCGTCTTTCTTATACTATTGAACACACATTTCTGGGACTCTCTAAAGAGACTCGCCACTCTATTATGTATTTCCGTGCTCTGGCCAATATCACATGGATGTTTGGAATGCTTAAACAGATGCCAATGTAAGTCTACAAGCTACAATAATATGAGCATGTATATGCGTGTATGCGAACAAATATACTTACTTTACATATGTATATATATATATATATATAAATTAGCTCAAACAAAACTCCATTTACCATCAAGAACATGCTAGTGGCCTCTTTACAAAGGATGACTTTAATAGAAAAGTAATTGGAACAAACAAAGACGTGCTTGATTGTTTCTTCTGAGACCATAGCTTTACTAATTTACTGATGATTTAACTAATGATTTTCAAATTAGAAAATTCAACAAAGATGATAACAAATGTTCCGGTATTTCTACTCTGAGGTCAGATTTGGCAGAGGCAACAATCTCACCTTCAACAGCAAAAGTGTCTGCTTTACAGTCATTTGTCAATGTAAGCTACATATATTCTTTATCTGCCGTGGGCTTATTTTGTTCTTTTAGACATTTCTACCTCTCCCAGTCTTTCTGAGTAATCCCATAAGGCACACAAGTGCTGTAATTACCCACCCAATCTCAAATATCGACAAACCTCACCGATTTGTGTACCAATTTCCCACCGAGCTGAGAGTGGAGGCTGACATCTTAAACGTCGCGGATCCGAATGATATTGCAATTGAGGTAAAGAAGATTATAACCTTAAAAACCAATTACAGGATTCTAACAGAAAAAAAAATCTGGCATAGATCATGTATCCTGATAAAACTTCTTCAGTTTTCTGGCCCACAGCGGATGAATTTAAACCTGTTACTCCTTACTGCTACAAGCTAAATGCCTCCATTGTGGTTAAATTCGCTATGTGGACAGGTAAACTTACTATTGCAGTATATATCTAGGTGGGAATTCATGTTAGTTAATCAATCTGCTCGTTTGATATAGAAACTGCGGTGGTGGAGATTTCTGTGGTGCGTTCCTTTGAGCCTGATTTACCTGGACTAGACGAGTATATCATGAAATATCCAAACGCAAAGCCACGAAAGACATCTAATAACTTTAATACTACGGCCACTACATCAATCAGTGAACCGATAAAGTATTCGCTTCACCCTACCAAACTGTGAATACTATAATGATAAGATAAAAACAAAATAAAGTTACATTTATATACACTCCTATACCGTTGTTTATCATCATTTCTAGATTATACAAAATCAGAACTACAATCTATTTAACTTTATTTTAGAGCAACTTCAGTAATTTATAGAAAAAAATCTTTAGAGCCAGAAAAGTCGTGGACTTGTAGTATATTCTTGGATGTAGAATTTTCTGTACATTGGTAAAAGATATTTTCGCTTAATAATATTGCTTTAAGAATTTACAGCTATACGTAAGATCCTGCCGAGTAAACCAAATTTGACAAGAAAAATAGTTGAACCTCGTCAATAACCCAGTTCATTAATCTGATATATTACAGTCAAAGCATAATATAGTAGAGAAAGTGTGTGTGTGCGCGTGCTTTTTTTTTGTCTTTGTATAAAGTTTAAAAGGTATAATATAAATAAATAAAAGAAAAATAATGAAAGCGGTAGAATCGTTACAGATATTGGGGGGGGGGGGGGGGCTTCTTTAGACTATAAGTTATATGATCCAGAGCATTAAGATCTTAAGACCGTTTTTAGGTATAAAGGTATCATGTAAAGAAACTGCTGTAGTTGCTTTAAATGAAAGTTAAAGAGGTTGTGCTTTTAATTTGTCGGAATCTAAACATAATACTTTTTGAATGCAATAGGGTCTGTGTGGGTGTGTACAAATATATATTTATATAGATATAGATATATAAAGTATGCGCATCAAACCCGCTGTATAATTAATAAATGAACAGAGTCACATTTCACCGCTTACTGACAGATCAACTCTCTTTGTTCATCTTCACAAACCCGTCTACTCCACCATAGATGTCTAAAAGAAAGCTTTCTTTAACTACCAATTACCCAAATGAAGCAAAGAAAGATAGATTAGAGGTCATGAGTTTTCCGGTTCGTCCGCCAGTCAGTTACAAAGGAGAATTTCCTACCTATGCACAACCTGCTGAGATCACTTCATACAGCATTGATCACAATCGTCAAGTCTGGTTTGATGATCGAGAATTGGTGTGTAGCACATCCTTTTTTATTATTCTTATTAGTTTCATTCCTTTTGAGCATGTTGATGAATCAATTTTATAGAAATATTATTATCCTCCCAATGGAAAAGATCTCTATGTCGGTTTTGACAAGTTTATTAAAAGAGACGAATCTATTCCTGAACATATTGACACTCTTTTGGACGCACTGACAAATGCTAGACAAAAGGCTTCCAATCCACAACTTGCGCAAGCAGATATTGTGAGTGCCTCAATTTTTTTTAAAAAAAAACCCCCAAATGTATCAATATATAAATTTACATGATATTTGGGCTAGGTAACTTGGAGAGGTATAATGACAAAAATAATGTGTACACCTACCACAAGAAATGAACCATGGATGCTCAGAGCTACTCGACACAAGGTCAGAATCCAAAAAAAAAACTTAGTAATAATATTATTATCATTTTAAACGCGTTTTTTTTAGAATACAATTTATATCGAAGAACAGGCAATGGACGAGAAGAAGAGAAACGAAGCCGATTTACCAATCAAAGAACAAATGCAGTGTTACGGAGGTTATCGGTTCGAGACCCTTTGTACGCTTTCAAAACCACCAAGTAAAGTTCAAAAGGGAGATCCAGAGCTGCTTCAACGGCTCAATGACAGTGCAGACACAAATATTCAGTACTGCGTGGTAGTAAAAACTAAATTGGGCAAGAACTCATTGATTATGGGAGCAGAAGTCGATTGCAGCCGAGGTAATAAAAAACAATTCCACACACACACAAAAGCATATGTTTTGTTATTATTATTTTAAATAACATCAATAACAGATGTCAAAAGAGTTGGTGAAAAAAGTAATCCACTCCAAAACTATGTTGAACTCAAGACTTCGCGTTTGATCGAAAACAGCCGGCATCAGTCTTCATTTGAACGTTTCAAACTAAAGAAGTTCTGGGCCCAGTCTTTTCTGGTCGGTGTGCCTAGAGTTATCTGCGGATTTAGAGATGACCAAGGGTTGGTTCAGAGTGTCGAAGAGTTCAAGACAATGGAAATCCCAAGAATGGTGCGCAATAAGCCTGGGCTATGGGTAAAACGATAAATTCAAATATATATATATATATATGTTAGTCTATTTGGTTTTTATTTATTTTTTGCTAAAGTCCAATGCACACACACACACTTTTTTTTTTGTAGGAACCTGTTGTATGTCTTCGGTTTGCAAACGAGTTTCTGGATTGGTTGCAGACAGTGGTAGTAGAGGACGATCCTACCGTGACATATATTATCGAATGGAAGGCACCATGGCATGAGATTACTATTAGAAAAGAAAGTATACCACAGCCATTTATCACACAGCGGTACATTGACGGAGAGACCAGCCATGAAATTGGAGGTCCTAGGGTATCATCATCAACAAGTTCTTACAAGTCATTAGAATAAGTCTAGTCTTATTTCTCTACTTACATGAAAAAAAAGAAGAATAATGCATAATAGCTTGATTTATTAATAATGCTGATTTTATGGTGGTTGTGATAGTGGTGATAAAAAGGTGAAGGGGTAAAATAAGAAATTCAAGATGAATGAACAAGGATGATATATAAATTGCTCTTAATAAGTTTTTTTTTTTTTGGAATATTTGGTTTCGTTTTTTTTTTGGATTTTTTCTTAAGCAATAGGGACCCTTCGGACAAGACGAACATTGTGGGGAACAGGGTTGGATGTGACACCATAGATATCTCTCTGGATGCTCACGTCAATAAGCTCCTCAGACACACGCTCGATACGGTAAGTTGCGAGCAGACCTGTGGCAGTGGTGAACAAACTGCGCTCGGCCAAGTGAATACCGACACACATGCGGCGACCACTTGAGAAAGACAAGTGGGGTCTGTCTTCGACCGACTGGCTGGTCTGGTTTTTGCTGTTCTTGATGAACTCCAGATGACGCTCGGGTAAGAACTTGTCGGGCTGAGGGTAACGAGTAGGGTCACGATGAATAGAGTCAAGGTTCATAACGATGGTGGTACCCTTGGGAATAATCCAGTCACCGTACACATCGTCCTCAGTAGTGCAGTGAGGAACAGAAAGAGGGGCAGGAGGGTGGAGACGAAGAGTCTCAAAGAGGATACCCTTGATGTAAGGGAGGTTCTCCTCTGATAATCAGAGCATCGTATTAGAACATGTCGCATGTGTGTGTGTGTGTGATTTATTTTTCTTACCATCCTCAGGACCAGGAAGACGATCCTTGCCGACATTCTCTAAAATATCGGCATATGCTCTGTCCTGGACTTCAGGGTGGTTGGCCAAAGCAGCAACGAGCCACTGAAGAGTTCCGGAAGTTGTGTCTGAGCCTATAATTATTATAATAATAATAAAAATATTAATAAAGAAATGTAAATAAGGTTTAACAAACTTTACACTTTCATTATTCTTAATTCTGTAGCCTTTTCCCTCCCATTTTGCCTTCTTTAAAGTATGTAATATAATGCAATATATATAAAAATTAAGGTTTCTTACCAGCAGCCACGAATACCATTGCAAGATCAGACAGACGAAGGTCAGTGATGTCGCTGTTCTCGGTGAGCATGTCTTTCATGAAACAATTCTCGACATTGTCGGGGTTCTTGGCCATTTTCTCCTTGAATTGTTTGAGCAAGTTGCCGTGGAAGGTGTCGGTTCTCTTGACAAGACCTTCGTACTGCTTGACGCGAGAGGGGATGAGGAAACTGAAGATGGGAAGGAATTCGCGGATCTGCTCGCTGGGTTGAAGAACTGCGGTAGACTCGGATGTTTGTGCATAAATGGCATGTAAGTCGGGGTTGTTGGTATCATAATAGCACAGCTCTCCTCCGTACACGATCGAAAGCACTGTAGTCATGGCCAAGTGTTCGATTTGAGTGTTCATACAGAAACCTTCCTCTGCTCCAGCCTTGTTGGCTTCTTCGAGGTTTTTGAGGAAATCCAGACGACGGTCCTCGAGAATGTGCTGATAACTATCGACCTTTCTCTTCAAAAGACTGGCATGAGCTAATAAAACCAGAACCAGAATTAATATCAATATCAATATTAAAATTATTGTTAATATTAGACTTACTCAAGCGACGCAAGTAACGCCATTCCTTGCCATAGGGGAAGAAAGGCAATCCACCACCATTCTCAACTAATTCGTAACCGAACACAAAGAATTTTATATACATATACAAAAAAAAAGTTTTGTTACTTTCTTTGTTCATCAACATTTGTGGTACCTCCCGGCTCTGATTACAAACCTCCGTGGAACAAGATGTCTACAAGAAGAGGCGAGAGGTCTCTGGAGGAATAGATGGCGCCTCTGTTGACAATCAGGTCACGAACGGATTCGGTGTTGTTAAGAATGATCCATCTCTTGGTACCCATGTGGACAGTATAGACAGGACCGACTTCCTTGGCCCACTTGGAAAAGACCTTTTGAGGAGGGATTGGCTGGTTCATCTGCAACAAGTGGCCAACAAAGGGCTGTCTTCCGGGTGCAATTGGTGGCATGTTCCCTTCCGAGGGCTGGGAAATAGTCTTATAGAGCTTGTAGGTCAAATAGGCACCCACAGTTCCAACAACACCGGCAATAACAGTGTCATTGGTAAGCTTTTGTTGCAAATCCATTATTGAAAAAAAAATTGTTAAAGAAAGAGAGAGAGAGAGATTCAAAGAATAAGAATTTTTTTATTTTTATTTTATTATCTTGTATTTTTTTTATAAATTTCTTCTCTTTGCTTTATTTTAAGGTTGAAGTTCACCAATTTGAAGGGAGCACAGACAAGACTCTGGTTTGCGACTTTTTGTATATTTATATATTTATTTGCAGCCAGTTGGAAGAACAGTTATTTCTGTGGAACCAAGAAGGCCGTTCCAAGATGAAAAGGGGGAGCACAGAGAAGAACTGATAGAGGATAAGAAAAAATAAAGTATTTTAGAAGTAATGGCCTCTTATTGAACGATTCCATGTGCATCAGACACAATGTAGGACCAATAAAATATATGTGAGAAATAGAAAAGACTATTCGACTAATGTGGTCTCTTGGATAGATATAATGAAACTTTGTAAGAGATAGAAAAACCAGACCAGACCAGACCAGACCAGACCAGTAGACTGGTATGCTTTCTTTACCCTTGTCTTCATTAACTCGGACATAAAGGGAAATACCTGCAATTCTTTTTTTTTTCTATCTTCCCTCAAAGATATATATTCTCATATGTACACCGAATAAGACTCTCTCTTTTTTTTTAATGTATTTAGTTTAACACAGTAATGAGGTTTTCTTCTTCTTAGTTTAGTCCGATTTATTTATTTATATAGTAAAGTTTCTCTCTGTGTATCTACATATCTAACAAGATATTGATAGCCAATTACACGAATGGTCCGTTCACACCAGTGAAATTATTCTTCATCTATAAGTATATAGATATATATATATATATATATTACTCAAAATAAATATGGTGTCGGTAGTGGCTGTAATATTGGTGGTGGTGGTGGTGTAAAAATAATAATAAATTTTAGAATAACGTACTATGAAAGCGGTCTTTAAAACTAAAAAGAAGAAGCAGTAACAGCAATGATCAAAAAAGGGCTTTTGTAACCCCCACAAGGGAGAAGCCGAGAAATAAGATACAAAAAAAAAGCCCTATAAAAAGAATAGAAAATAGACCAAAATCTAGAAAGGAAGAAAGAAAGAAAAAAAAAGTTTAGCGGGGAGGAAGTGCTTATTCTACTGAACTACAAAGGTATTGAACACTTTGGCCTATTAATTGCTTTGCTAATATTGTATAGAGATGAAGAAAAGCTTGGTAAATATTTGATAGATAGAAAAACGTATGTGGCCGGGTTTTTGAGACCATTAATCAAATAATCAAATAAAAAAAAAAGTCTATTTCTTTGCTCCATTCTGATCGATTACATGTTTTCCAATAAAGAAAGCCTCATTTCTCTCTCTCTCTCTCTCTCTCTCTCTCTCTCTCTCTGTGCGTTGAGATTCATGGTAACACACACTGTCAGATATTCTTGGCTCAAAATGATCCTATGGTTACTCACGTACAACGATGTACAAAGTCAATCCAGACAGCGCAAGTAATTGCTACATTTGTGAGACAACGGGGGCCAACAAATATAGATAAAGTTTTTTTTTTATATTATCTTTAGAAAAAACATCATTATGAGTTTCTTCTTCTCTTTCTTTATATGGTCGATGGTTATGGCAACTCTAGATAAAGAATTCTTCTTTATGTATGTGTGTGTGTGTATGTATATATAGATTTTGATTTCTCGGTGGACTCTACCGGACTTGTACGCAAATGGAGTTAAATGAGGCACAACCAAAAAAAAAAAAAGAACGAAAGAAAGAAAGAAAGAAATGCGCCAAGTCAATCAAGCAATTAAACAACGTGCGTACGATGTGGAGGTTACTCTATTACTGCTCATAATCATAATCATAATTAGGGCTTAAAGCCACGTATTTAAATATCTTTGTTTTATGCTCTCATCAGTACCTAGCAACATAAGCTAGAATTATGCTATTTTTTGTATAAGCAATTTTGAACCAAGTATTTTTCTTTCTCTTGTATAGCTAGCTCCTTAGCAAAGAGGAAATTAGGAGGGGGTTTGGTTTTTCAATATTCGTTGTCTTTATGATTGGTTTTCTTTCTTTTAATAATAATAAAAATATGACCATGATCATGACTATGACTGTTCGTATCAAAATACAATCAATTTACTATTCTGTGCTTTTGAATTTTGAGGTAAAAAATCTATAAATGTGTGTGTGTGTGTGTAAAGGAAGGGGAAGAAGTAGGTTGGATATTTGATTTTCCAGGGTGTGTAACCTGTCTCTAGACGAATACCCTTTTGATATTTGTGGAGATATGTGCCTGAGTTTGTATATAATCTCATGGAGCATGCAACTTTTATTTAAATTCGAAATGTTACTTTTGTCCTATACTTTGGCAAGAGAAAAAAAAAAGTTGATGCGGGGAAAATAGTACAGTTTATTTTCTGATTTTACCTTAGCATGTTTGGGGTTGAATTCAATGTCTAGACTGTTTTTTTTTTTTTTGTTAAAAAAAAAAGGGTTCGGCATTGAGGCAGTTCAAAACAAATCAAAGTGTATATCAAGTTAAAGCTCAAGATTCTTGTAGAGTTGGCAAACATGAAAAATTACACAAAGGCATATAGTAAAATAAAAGAAGTGTCAATTGACGTGATATGATATGATGTAGAGCTGTGACGACAGTAGATTTTATTCTTTTAGAGTGCTTTATATTTTAACTACATTCTCTAACCTGTTTTCCTAGCAGAAACTTCTTTTCTTGAACAATTACCGAGTCTTTCCAATTATCGTTAATCTACAGCAAATCTATCCATTCAATCAGGTAACAAATTTCTTTCTTTATCTCTTTCTTTTTGGAATTGGCTCTCCTATATTATATTCTCTTTCGATCCTTGTAGATTTGAAGGGAAAATTAACCCGTGGATTCCCGACCCATACGTCTGAACAGCAAAGGGTCCAAGGCACAATCTATAAAAAAAATGAATAAATGAATGAATGAATTAATTAATTAATTAGTAATATGAAACATTAGGCTCATGAATTTCAAGACTAAGCAAATTGACAAGATTAATTGTCTTCTCAAAAAAGATAAATCATTTATTTCGATTTCTAAAGTTTAATTGAATATCCAGAATTCATGGGTAATTCAAGTTTACTTTTTTTTTTATTAAACAAAGAAAAATAATTATATAAACATATTTCAACTGGAGAAACGGATCTGTACCTGAATCCTCTCTATATGACATTTTTATTTTAGTTTAATATTCTTACTGCACTTACCATTGGTCCATTGATTACTGCTTTGGATTTTTTTTTTTCATTCTAACACAAAATGTAATGACTGTTTGACTTTTGAATCATAGATTAGATTAGACTATTTTTTTTAATAGTCAAAAAACTCTAGTAGGTAAAGTTGAAATATTTATGGATACCTACGAATTTATCTTGTATATAATTATTACCATCTAATTTCTTTAAAAGAAAATACCAGGCCTTTACCAATTGAATACTCAAAAGAAGAAAAGAAAGACAAAGGGTTTCTTTGAGATCTAATTGATAAAGAAAAAGAAAAGACTGATTTTCGCAATTTCAAATTTCATAGGCTCTTTAATATTTCAAATCGCGTCAATTTAATTGGTCAATTTACTTTATTTTTTATTTTACGCAAAACAAAAAAAAAAAAACAATCGAGAAAACCACCATTCAAATTGGGCATATTTTGCATATTTCATTTGAGTAGAATTATAAAGATAATAAAGAGATGTAAAGTGTTTATCTACACAAGTTATAATTTTTGTATTCCAGGAACATCTTCCTGTAATGCTGGATACCAGTATCATACACGCACTTTCTATTGCATACAAAGTTTATGTTTTGCATTTAATAAATTGTTCTATAAAATGGTTGTGGGGTTTCAAAATCTATCCTTTTGAATGATTTTCCAATGAAAACGTCTTGCTGTTTTTATCGAAAAAAAGAAAGCATAAAACAAAGAAATGATTCTATCCAGTCAGCATCGATATGGCTTCTAGTCTACCCATGTTCATATGATAGAGAAACACATTACTAAAGAAAGCATAACAGACAAGGCCAATTGTTTGTACGCATACTTATGGTTCAAGTCTTGAATATGAACCAGTACTGTGTTGTCTGTACTTTCCATAATACTAGGTGGTTGGTTCAAAGACCAGATTCATAGTCGTGTAAAACCATCAGGTCCGAGGTCGCGATCCCATTCTGCATCGCCAATTATATAAGCATATTTCATTGCTATTGCTATTGGTATTCATTAAAATCTTTGGTGATTATGATTTTGTTCTTCATGCCACAATAATGTTTCAATAGAAAAAAAACGACGATGATCCACTCGTTCAATCAGAACTGTTGCTGTTGCTGTGTCAACCAAATGAAAAAAAAAAAGTATCATTAAGCATATTTTGAGAAACCATTTTATAAGAAAAGAAAAGAAAAACTCAATGTAATCTTAACGTAACTTTGATTACAGAAATTGTTTCTTCTTTCTTTCTTTATATTTTTGGTTTACCATACACATGTGTCAAAACGTGTTATTCGGGGCATCAAGGGTTGAGGCTGACGTTGGATTTGAATGTTTATTCCTTTATAACGTTGACCATAACCTCTTGTGTCAGAACCAAGTCTTTCACGTGTATGGGGTTATTATTAAACCGATGAAAGGATAGGGTTCTTTTAGGGTCCTTTCCTTGTTTTCCTTCAACTTTTTTTTTGAAAGTTCATAGGTATAAAATAATCTTGCTAGCCTTCATTTATATGTATATATATACATCATTAATAATGGTTAAAAAAAAATAAAAGGCAAAAACAAGATTTTTCGTTGGGGGCACTGACCACAGTAAAAGTTGCCACTTTTTTTTTTAACCAATAAAAATCTTCAAAATAATTTTTTTTAAAAAAAAATGCGGCCAATTAAATTGTCGTAATCTTAAATGTTTAAAGTACGGAATAAAATTGAAAGTCCTGACCATTGGTACCGTGGAACACTAGAAGATTCGATTGGTTGAGGAGAAATAGTTTCTTTTGACCGTGAGAACATATTTGTATTTTTTTTTCTTTTCTTTTCTTCAGCCAATCTGAAACCAAAAATGACTGCAGATAACCAAGAACTGGTTCTTATTGTTTCTAATTTGGTAAATAAAATAATACAATTAAAATTAGGTTAGTGTATATGTGGATATGTAGATATGCTTATATAAATGTAATGCTCAAACAGATTGTTATCAGATATATCGAATGACCATCGACTTGACAAAACAAAGTAAAGTAAAGCAAAAAAAAAAGGTACGCTCAATTGAACCAGTTAAGGCTTCTTTATTATTATTCAGTAGTATTTTTATAGGCGTATACATATATTATCTTTTGCTTGATTAAGGTAAAAAGCATTTATATATTACAACAAAATCTTCTAGTGCTACATTGTAACACCAGCCAAAAGCAACCGAACTGAATTGAACTGAATTGAACCGAATTTAATAAGATAGAATAGAATAAATCGAGCATATAAAATAAGGATTGATAACAACGATTTTTTTTAACCTTCCGAATCGGAGGACTTTTTATGGAATCAACTTCATGTCCAATCACACAAGCAACTGTCCGTTAAAGGCTATAAAAAAAAGTTTTATTTGATTTTTTCTTTTTTGTCAGGCAGTCTTCTTCTCTTTTTCCTTTATACACATCATCTTGAACAATTAAATTTCTTTTACTACTAGAGCTGTATTGAAGGTGAGACTGTGTTTCCCTCATTTAAAGCAAAAATAAAATAAAATAAAAAATAAAGGAACAATACCTCCGCCTTAAGATATATACGCAATATAAAATAAAGACAACGGCAAACGACAGACGACATACGGCACACGGCAGACGGCAGACGACAACCAAAATAAAATAGAGCAATATTTTTTAAAATGAAAAAAAAAAACACCGACATTAAAAATAATAAGAAAAAGGCTACACTCCTCATTGTTTTCTACGCACTGGCCTTGTACTGTGTTACTATAGAACTGTCAAACTAATCTTTATATGTATATAGCTTATTCAAACAATTATTATTATTATTAATATTTTTCAAATTTAACAATGGGACGAAAAAAAATCCAAATAAACCCAATTATGGATGATCGTAATAGACAGGTAAATATCGATTATTAATCAATATTTTCACCTGTATAGATTTTGCACAAAATCAATTCTTACAAAAACTTTAACTGACTAACTAAAAAATATATATATAAAAAAAGGTCACATTTCTCAAGCGAAAACACGGCTTGGTCAAAAAAGCATACGAACTTAGTGTCCTATGCAACTGTGATGTTGCACTCGTGGTATTCAATAATGTCAGCGGTAAACTAATCGAGTACTCAAACACGGACATTGATACCGTATTAAACAAGTATGCAGAGGTAAAGCATAAATATCAGCAATGAATATTGGGATTCTATACTCACACTGTGTGTATTAGAACAAACATAAACCACACGAGGTCAAATCAAATGAAGACGTAAGTTTGTTTGCTATTTGTTTGTGTCTCGGCTCTACAATACTCATATCCCAGAAATATATATATATATATATATTATGAAAATAATGATTTTAGTTTAAAACACCCCCACAATCCAAAGAAAATCAGGAAGAGTCAACGAGCAATGAGATAACATTGGCTCAAGACAACGACGATTCCCGTAGTATACGATCCACTACTTCTCTGATAACCCAAGAGTTTTCTGTTTCATATCCACACCCACAAGTACAAGCACAAGCACAAGCACAAACACAATCTTATCAAAACACAGCACAACATCAGATCACTCCCTACGGTTACCCTGTAATGTCTTATTATTCCTCCGATTCAAGATCATCCCACCAAAACACTGGCTACAATTACCACCAAGCCAGTATGCACTCCAACTATCAATTCCAGAACCCACAATATTCAACACCACACCCTTATCATGGATACATGCAACAGGTATATCTATATCTATATTTACCCAAAAATACTAAAATGAATTAACTTGATAATCGTATCTTGTTAGTCTGGATCGAATTATCACTCTAGTGCAACGCCATCATCATCATCTTCTTCTTCTTCTTACCAAACTGGAATCTCACAAACTCTTCCGTGGCCCACGCCATCCATAACAGCAAACACAATGTGCCAAGAGTTATGTAATCCGACCATCAATTACCAACCACAGCCATCTCATGGCTTCCAGCATCCGATAAAAACTGAACTCGAGTGTGATGGGAAAAATGGGGATGGTGATGCCAATTCTAGGGATAAAAGCAGCAGATCTGACCAAATATTGTCCAGAAAACGAACAATGATGGCCGAAACTCAATCTCTTAACCATAGCACCAACAAAAAGAGAAATGAGAAAGGACATCCATCACGGTCGTCATGTAGCTCACATCAGCAACAGCCAGCAGGGTCGGGTTTGTCAGATTTCTACACACATAGTGGGATACCTAGTCCTTTTACATCGCCAATTTCCAATACTATCGAACCTCCGTTTGATTGGAAAACAGAAAGACCTTTATTTTCAAAGCACCCAAAGCCATCATAAACCTTCCTTTTCTTTCTTTTCTTTAAAACTTCTTCTTTCTTTACTAATCCCAACAAAATCCAAAAATCCAGTAATTTCTTTTTAAAAAAAAACAGCACAAAAAAAAGGAGCTTTGAATACCTATTTAATGTTTCAATTATTTATTTAACCTGTACCTGTTAATATCATCATTTAATCTCATATTTTTCATTATCAAATATCTCCAAAAAAAAACATAAAAAGACCATTTCTTATTTCAATTTTCTGTTTTATTTTATTTTTTTGTACCAAAATACTTTTGATCATTTTAAATATACATAATTTTACAGACTAAATAAAAAAATAAATAAATAAAAAAAATAAGCACATTACTACTATTAGTAGTAATACAGGTGGTTAAAATTCTACCACTTGAGAGGATGAAGCTTCTTGTCAAAGCTGTGATCCATTGATCCACGGTAGAGCTCCTTGATGATTTTTCCCTTCAAGATGGTTTCTTCAATGATGGGGTTGCAATCGCATGTTGCTACTCGACCATACCACACACCACAGGTGCCTTGTTGAGTATAACATATAACATTACCAGCATATTTATGTCCTACAATCAATTGCATAAAATTTTTGTTGTTTTTTTTTTTAGTATCCACAAAAAATCCTTAAGGTGTATATTTATGCATGGATACATGCATAGATAGATAGATGGGATACTCTGACGATTATAATAATTATTATTTAAAATTCTTACCTCCTACGTGACTGACCATCCAAACAACAATACTTCCCGGTCCAGTTTCACTAATATCCTTGTCTCTCAAGATATGCTCAAACTCATCTGCCAGGATTGGGGCAGTGATACCACATGCCTTGTCTCTCTTTCGGTGGGAGCAAATCATAATCATTGACTCATAGGGATTTTGCTTAACAGTGATGCCTTTTGAGGCAGCCTGTTCATAATTGGGTTTTTCGGGATTTTCGCCCAGTGGAAGAGGAGTGTTGATAAAGATCTCCCAGAAGTCCAGGGCATTCTCTGGAGTCACGTTTGACAAGTATATGTTGTCCGGCAACACAACCACATCGTGGCCATTAGGAACACTAGACTCGGTTGCAACCAAGGACGCATTCGTAACAAAGTTGCGCAATTGCGTGGGCTGTTTGTCCTCGGCTATCCGAAGAGCATGTGCCAGGGATCCGGTATCCTTTTCGATCTTTGAGGGCCAGTCTGACTTTCCTGTGCTGATGATGATATGGCGACCGTAGGGTTTGACTGAGCCAACCAGTGGAAGGTTTTGGTCGATCTTGAGACTAGATGGGTATGGCTTGTGTTCGGCACATGGATCTTGGCAGCTAAGACAATCATCGTCTGCCAACAGCTCAGCTGGTGGATAGGCTGACTTGTCTTCTACACCCAGAAAAGAGAGGCCTTTACGAAGATAGAATGACATTTAGATTAAATTAAGAAATAAAGATAGATAGAGAGAAAGAGAGAGGGGAGAAAGAAAGAAAGAAAGAGGATAAACCGGTAGACTTTTTTTATTTATTTATTCTTTTTGGCTTGGTTTGGCTTGGCTTGGCTTGTTCCTTCTTTTATTTTGTTACGTGGATGGTATCTAAAGGCGCTCGTTATGCTTTATCTGACAGTGAAAATCCGCTCAAAAGACCGAGCCGCCGCGCTTTTTACCTTCCCCCCCCCAAAAATATATATATATATATATATGTATACACAATAGATACAGAAACACAATAAATATAAATGTACAGGACACGTGCCGCTTTTCATTGATTTATTGCGTCTTTTTGTTGAATATAAACTCTTGCTTTGCTTATGTATCCTAATAAGCTTATTTGTCTTAATGAGGTATATAATACTTATATTGGTGTACTCCTTTTTAGATATCCCATAAGACGATTCAAAAATAAAAAATAAAAAAGAAGACCCTGTATTTCATTCTACATCATTACTGTGACACAAACTGGCCCGGCAAAACCGTGACTTTGTGCTGAATCCGGCCATCCAATGGTTCGATAAAATGAGCAAAAAAGAAAGAAAGAAAGAGGGGGAGAAGGTTGAGGATTGGCTATTATTATTATTCAATAAAATACATGGTGCTTTATCTGAATGATATCCTTTTGTAATGCAATATTCGCTCATCAATATCTAAAAGACATATAATTATAGCTATAAAAAAAAAGAGTTACAGTAAAAGAGTAACCAAGAAAGCAAGGTGAAATATAAGTAAATAAATAGATACATAAATATATTAATCACAGTGACGACTTGATGCATCAAATTGGAGAAACTTGCATAAATAATAATAATAATAATTATATCAGAAATATGTAAAAATCTGCGCTTCTAGTTTTCCTAAAATTTAATTTAATCAAAGAGTCTTTCAATCCAAAATGCCACTTTTTATATATATTACTTGAGTCTAAACGAACCTTTTACATACTTTTCTTTGGTTCTTTCTTCCATAGATGTATAAGAATGTGTAGAGTCTAGCCTAGGTGCACAGGTATCAAAGCAAGCAATTTGATGTCATTGTAATTCTGAAAGAATGATCAAGTTCGCAAGATCTCCACGACATCAAATTGCTTGCTTTTTGTATGTAATGCCATTAGAAGGACCGTATATAAAATAAATGATAAAACCTATCATCAATAAATACACTAATTTTTATTCAATCTGCCTTGTAATAATAACAATAACATTATTATGCCATATCCAACATTGGTCCCAATAAATTACCCTTTCCTTCTTCTTCTTCAATTGTGCTTTAAGAAATTGCAGCGTATATAGCTTGTGATTCTAACATCTATTTATCGTTGGCCTTTATATGCTTTACGCAAACATATTACTTTACTATTTTGATTTATAGAAATAAATCGATACTTTTGAATATTTAACTCAAAATTAACTCCCCCTCCACTCCTTAACCCCCACCTCCCTTTTAAAAAAAACCCCAAGGCATTCTTTTGGGTACTTTATAAAACAAAAAAGACTTTACATATCTATAGGGTCTCAAACAAAGCTTGAATACATAGGTAATGTACACACTGTAATGACTAGATCAACGTCACATTGAACAATTAAACCCTCGTTGTTTGTCCGCTCTTGCCCACAGTAGGGGGGGGGGGGGAGAAGGGTTGTTCGTTTTTTTTTTTTTTTTTACCCCTCTTTTTTTTTTGTTCCTGCTGAGAGCTTAGCCACCACCTTGATTGGGAGGAGTTTATAGAAAAAACAAGCAAGGGGTCGAAAGTAAAAAAAAAAAGTAAAAAGGAAAGGCATAAAGAAAAGAAGAAGAAAAGGTGCACGATTCTTTGTAAACACCTTGAAAATATTTCCAATGCGCCGATTAATAACACCTTTCCGCCATCAACTCACTTTGGTTACTCGCCCAAGCATCACACAATGTTCGATTTATCGTCCCCGCATAGGGATTATGTATGGAATGTCTACAATGGTCGATCCAGTAGATACATTACAACATTATAGACACCAGATACAAACAGATATCACAAGTGCCTGGCCTAGTTACGAGAAACTCAAAAGAGACGAGCCCGAGACCTGGCAAAAGTTGAGCCGCGAAGACTTTGTAACGATCCGAGCTGAATTATGGCACACGAAACAATGGGGTGTAGAAGATCTAGTTTTGGAAATAATAGAAGACATGCGCAAACTAGATCATCAGTGGTCTATCCTCGAGTACAACGATTATTTTATGGTCAAGTTGTACCAATCCAAGTACAACGACATCCTCAACATGTACAAGGGAGAATTCCAGCAAAAAGGCATTCCACTTAGTGTGGGATCATTCAATGTGATCCTGGCCACATACATTATGGTCGGAGACACTCAAAGTGCAGCCGAGCTGGTCAAGAAGATGGTCAGAGGAGATGTGGTACCTAGTATCCGCGACTTTGAACGCACCATGCGACGATGCATGCCTCATAATGCAACAATTGTCGAGACAGCCAAAGCACTGATTAGCGATCACGGATTCACAACCACACGTATTCTGGACACCAATCTGATCCACTTGTTTGGCGAAAAGAGAGCAGAGGACGTCCGTCGTCTTTATTTGGCTCAGAAATCACGGAAATTGGATCTTTCGACATATGGAATCCTGCTGCGTGGATTTGTAGACTCTCGGCAGATCAAGGTAGCCCAGAGCATTTATGAGGATATGGTGAATGCGGGTGTCAAGCCGAGCACTTTTGTCTGCTCGACGATGCTGACTGTATTTACACACCGGCGTGATGTCGCTAGTGCAGAAAAGATCATCCAGGAAACATTAAAGAATGGTCACGAGCTTGATATCACTATCTATACACAGCTTATCAAAGTGTACTTTAAAGCTCGGCAGACCGCCAAAGCCTTCCATGTGTTTAACGAAATCCAAAAGAGCCCATCTATGAAACTAAATGATGTGGTCCTGAACACAATGATTGACGGATTAGTGATCAACCGTGAAATGGAGGCTGCCAAGCTGCTGTACGACCAAATGCTCAAATCGTCTATCCAGCCAGACATGGTCACTTTTAACACCTTACTCAAGGGATTTATCAAAGCAAATGACCATGCTTCTGCTGCCGCTGTGATGACAGACATGCAGAAACTTCAATTAAACCCTGACACGATCACCTTTACTACCATGATTGAAGCAGTCTTGTCATCCAAACAGCCCAGCTCAGCCCAGGAGAGTCTACAGATGCTGACAACGGCCGGAATGCGACCAAATATCTACACTTTTAATGCAATGCTAAATTGGTGGGTCAAGGCACAGAACATGCGTGAAGCCGAACGTACACTTGATATCCTCAAATCCCCACCATACAATTTCCACCCCACAGTACACACCTACACAAATATGTTACAGGGCTATGCAGAGACAATGGATCTTCCAAAGGCAATGCAGACCTTTCAGACGATGTTGAGAAGTGATCAGAAACCTGATCGAGCGGCATTCCACTTTATGATTGTGAGCTTCTTGCGGGCATCTCGATTACAGGATGCGATGGTGTGCGTAAAGCGAATGCGTGCCATGGATGTGAATCCCACAAAGGATACATGGATGTTGTTGTTAGATGAGTGTCATTTAAGGCGAGACTGGGTTGTGGGGGCAGAGGTGGTGCAGGAGTTGGACGCGAGTGGGTTTGTGCTGACGTCGGATGCGTTGAAGCGTGCGTATCAGTCAATAAAGAACCGCTGTACATAAGTGAGCGTATTTCTCTCTCTCTCTCTCTCTCCATATATTCCAAGGGCATGTGATGAAGTAAGGACTAGCCCCGTGTTCACCTTAAAAAAATCATCATCATGGCCCCCATTAAAGGGGTTCTTCTTCTCCCTCTTTTTCCCCTTTTTTTTTCTTCCTCTTTTTTTTCTTCTTCTTCTTTCTTTATTATCACTTACGTCCTCATGTTGAAGCAGTCGAATGGTGAGCAGAGTGCTCTCATGGCATTACCTAATGAGCTCCTACTCTATGTTCTCCGACGATACTTGGACCTGGGAGACTTGTGGCAGCTGCTACAAGTGTCGAGGGACATACGCTTCTTTGCAATGGACACGATTCACACCCGATGGAAGTTTGAGGTGACCCCTAGTGCAGAAACGACAATGAAGGTTCAGTGTAGAGCAGCGCTGATTGCACTGGAATCTCTGTCGTGTCAGTTGTCACTTCAGACAAGAGTCTATACACTACAATACCCACACGGACCAGAAACGTCTTCCCAACGACTCTTGACATCTCCTACGGCCCTAGAACCATTCATGCTCGGCACTGATAGAAGCCCGCTTTCGGCTGATCTGGAACCACTTCCAGCCCAACTACCGTACGACGATGACGAGAATGAATTTCTATTGACGACGATCACATATGACAACAAGCTCTTTAGCGATCTGATGCAGCGAGAAGAGCGTCTACATCAACGCATCATCCGTGGCATTTCGTCGTACAAGCACAAGTACGTTCTTATCGAAGACATTGACATCCGCAACCGCATACGCAGCGCTGTGGATGTAATATTTCATCACGCGGTGTTTGTTGCGGCCCTTTCCCGCTCTCCTGTCCGATTGGCGTGCACACACGCTTCTTCAAATAACCGTGCCTTGGCAGCCATGATTGTCCGACTATTGACTCGTTTGGATGCAGCGTTTCCGTCCTACTGTCGCGAGATAACTTATACCCTAGCAGACAACATCAAGGCGTTTCTGGAGTACACGGGGTATAAGTTACTAGCCATGAACCAGCAGCATGACCCATTAGTGCTCTACAATATGGTGTTCGGTGCAGCGTGTCGCCAGTCAAGTGTGTGTGAACACCCACGGCTGCCATCCCTGGTCCGTCAGAACCGGCAGTCATCACTCTTACACACCCTTCACAGCATTTCGGCCTGCTTTGATCTGATGGGAGCTGCCTTTATTGGAAAGATTCTGAGTGAGAGTCATGTAGAATGTGCTGTCCAACGTACATGTGAACTGTTATCGGATGACCATCTCCGTTCCGTCAAACGTGCTTTACTAGTAGACCTCTTGGAGGGTTGGCTGACCATCAAACGGGGGTTAGTAGCAGGTGAATTGTGTAGACTTGTGCGGTTGGAGATCGACAAGTGTGATCGCCACGGGTATGCTGCTCCCCGACGGCAACTTACTCGTCATTATGCTGCATTAATTGAATAAGTTAAAATATTATTTTTATTCCTATTTTATCTCCTCCTCCTCCTCCTCCTCCTCTTATTCTTCCTCTTCATCCTTTTCTTCTTCTTCTTCTTTTTTTTTATATCTCATTCATCAAACTCTCCTCAACATGTGCTTGCTTAATAGCTTGCCGTCTCATGCTTTTCTTTATTCTCTATTACAATCAACAACACCAATAAACAACAAGGACAAAAGTAAAGGAACAAACATATATATAAATATATATATGGGTATGTGTGTTTATGTATGAATATAGATATATAAGTATTACTCTATTAAAGGAAGTATTACGGATAACAAAAAAAATGTCAATGTTCAAATTTTACTTTTGGATATTATTGGTTATATTGTGTGGTTTTTAAGCCTTATTGAACGCAAGAAACATGTGGCTGGTGAAGATGGGCTGGTGAAGATGGGCTGGTAATGTGGCATTTACACCATTTCCCTGAAAAATAAAATATAATTTTTTTTATAATACAATACAAAAAATGTAGAAAATGTACAAAGTATGACATTCTGCCGCAACATAACTTTAAGAACAATATTATATACATATACATATATATAACTGGTTAGTGCATCTACTTTGTACTTGATAAATATTAGCATTGTTGGTTGAACTTTCTCCTTTTGGCTCAATTAATTTTTATCTTTTTTTTTTCACCCTCTCAGTATTGTCCAAACGTGCAGTCAGAATTTTATTAAATTTTTGGTATTTTACTGTAGACAGACAGACAGACAGACAGACACACACAAATATACATATATTTAACAATGATATTCACTTTATATCTGTATCTTTACACGAATATCTTCAAGTACTGCAATACTAGTAGTGTTGCTATTATGATTATTACATAATCTAATAGAATTTTCTTTAGAAAATAATAATAGTAATAATAATATCTAAAAAGAAAAAAGAATGATGGTTTTAATTTTTTTTGTATTGGGTTACATATTATTTCTTTAGAAGAAATTAACCCGTTTACAATAAATTGATGAGAGGGGGTTTTTTATTTTATTTTTATTTTTTTTAGAGTGTAGAAGACTCTCTTGGTTTACCATTGCAGAAGTGTATCAATAATATATATATATATATAGCATAGAAGATAGAGCCATAACAGTCAATTATCGGCGTACATAATATAGTTACAAAGAGCAAGAAAGAAAAGAAGAAACACAAGGACGTTTGGGAAATCGTACTACCAGAAAAAGATACAATAAATAAATAAACGAACAGATGAACAATCAAATTGGATATGGTCCTAGTGAATATGGCTTTAGTTTTCAATAAAAAATCATACATTTCTTTAGAGGTTAAATAATAATAATAATAATAATAATAATTAACATTTGCCTTGATTTCAAGTGCAAAATCACTGTAAAAGCTGTAACTACCATTTATACTCTAACAAGTCTTTTGCTTTTGTTTGAATCCTTACAATAAGTATTCATGTACTCTCTAAAGGTACATACATACATACACACACACACACAGAGAGAGAGAGAGATAAAAGAGTCGAAATTATATATCATATTAGATTACATATCAAGTATTACTTACAAAGACATTTCCAAGCAAGTCAAAATTAATAATTTTATAAGATAATAAAATATTATTTGTAAAGTCGCAAACCATTTAGAAAAACCCAATAAAAGTCTGCATCTGCCGGGTCAGGCTGTGTCTGATGTTGGCCCTGTAGGTACTGTTGATTACTCTGTTGCTGGATCTGGTGTCGGTGATGGTGATGATGATGGTGGTGACGGTGTTGCTGTTGCTGTTGCTGTTGACTTTGACCCTGAGGCTGGTATTGGTGGTATTCCTGGTGGTATTGCTGATATTGCTGTAACTGCTGGTTGTTTTGGTGTTGAACTAGCTGCGATTGTTGCTCCTGTTGTTGCTGTAGCTGTTGCTGGCTTGAACTCGTTTGCCGGTGCTCCTGTTGCTGCTGTTGTTGCATTCGTTGTTGCATTTGTTGTTGTTCATATTGCTGTTTTTGAGTATTCTTTAAATTCTGGTGTAGTGCATTTGTAGTTGCCGCAACGGAAAAAGTGGAAGATATGGAAGATGATGGCGAATGTTGTGTGGACGGACTTCTGTGATCGATGATTATTGACTGCGATGCCAGCTGTACTTTAGTTGGGGGTTGAACTTGTATAGTGTACCCTGGCACATGAATTGTCTGTGTTTGGGTCTTTCGTTTCTTTAATTTCGGTTGTTCTTCCCCCTCCTCCTCTTCCGCATCATCATCGTCAACTGTCATTATGCTTTTACGCCTATTTGCTGCTGTTATATTTCCGCCGCTTGTACTCGTTTCTGTCACTACTCCTTTGGCTGGCAGATCAACAATATCGACAATAGCTTCAGGTGATAGATGAGCCATTTTTGCATATCGGGCAAGTAGCTGACTCAACTCGTCTTCCAAACTTGTCGCCCATCCATCTTGAGCTGCCACAATTGTGAGCAGGCGTGATGAGACCTCCCACAATCTTTGGATACGATCGACAGCTCCTTTCTGCTTGATCTTCTTGCGCTCTTCGGATAAGCGGTTATAAAACCGACGCTCATTCCACACAATCGTAGGAAATTTTTGCTTGATCGCTTCCCGTATCGCATGCGTGGGGTTTCCTTGTCGGGCCATACCCATGATCACTTCAGTGACCTCGTTTGGCCAGTTTTGCACCATTTCATCAGGCAACATCATCGGATGGTTGTGCTCAGAGGCATCCGGGTTCATCGATTTCCGAAACTCCCATTCTCCATCTTCGTTTTCATGTAACACTGCTCTCCAGCGACAGTCGCATCGTTTAGATGGTCGGCGTCGTCGAGGTGGTGGTCGTGGGTGCCGTTGAGAGTCAGGTAATCCTTCGCGAGAACAATACACATATATGTTCTATTTTCCTATATAAGATACATTGTTCAACCCCTCCCTAAAGGATACCATGCCATCATTTACCTTGTTTGCACTTGCTTCTTGTTTGACAGTGAAGCCAAACTCTGCACAGATCTTTCTGCAGTACTCAATCGCAGAAGCACTATCGGGCATTGTCTTTGATAGCAGTCGTTTGTACAAAGGCTCCATCTATTTTTTTTTGATTTTTTTTTTGATTTTATACAACATATATTGGTACCCAGTGAATTATATTCTCAGAACTTACGGCAAGTCGGCTTCCTGACAAAGGACTATCGTTTGTCTGGGAATTTATAGTCATATTTTTTTCTTTCTTGGTTGGTGTTGGTTATAAAGCGCTTAATATTTATTACTGTTATTATTATTTTCTTAAATAATCAAAAATATTGTCCTTTTTTTTCCTTTCTCTTTTCTCTGTGGTTTTGTTTGTACGTATGTTTGTTTTTCGTTGTATTTTTTTTTGGAGGGGGGGGGGGGGGGGGGGGGGGGTTTGCAAGAAAATTCCTTGCTGGCAGGTTAACTCGTTACCACCGCAAGTGTTTTTTTATGAACACTCTAGTTGTAATTAAATAAGATTCGTCGTCTCGAAGTACTGTCTTTCACAAGGAGTTGACAGTAAAAAAAAGACAGGGATATTGGTTTAGTTGGTTCTTCGGTAATGTCATGCAGGGCTCTGGGATCTAATCCTCAAAAAAGGTAATGAGCTGTAGTGTATTAAAAGAAAAAGAAGAAAAAGAAAAGGCAGATGCGTTGTGGTATGAATGACACGACTTTGTTTTTTTTTGTTTTGCTGGGAGCGGTTCCTATCCCTTGGACAGGAGCGCGTAGGACAACAAGGAGAGATGACAAAAGACTGTTGTGTCAAGAGGTGTATAAATTTGATAGCAGTAGCCAAAAGAAAGAGAGAGAAAGAGAGAGAGAGAGAAGAGGACAAGATGTCCATAAATAGTTTATTTGTACAGAAAGGGCTGGGTTGGGTTAGGTTGAGGCGGAACAAAGGACACCAAAATGCATTAAAGAAAACTTTGAATGAGAACTCCGTTTTGGTTTCTTCGGGTTTGTATTGTTTGTCATTGATACTCTGAACTGACCAGGTGGCGGTCAGGATTCAAAACCGGTCTAATGCTCGTCTGCTTCTTCCCGCTCTTGTGCGTGCATCAAAGAAGATTATGAGCTGCATTTCACTCCTTCTTTTTCTTTTTCTATTTCTATTTGTGCCTGTACCTGTCCTGTGCCCGTCAAATCTCAACTCTTTTTTTTTGGCGGGAAAACACTTGTGACTGCCTGCATGCGATGCTACAGTTTTTACTTGAGATTGAGACAAGTTAGGAACCTTTTTAGACGAATCAAAATTAATTTCTAGATGCTATATTTACCTTTTTTGGACAAACGAAAAAGAAAATGTAGACAAAGAAATTAGTTTTCAGATGAAGTAAAAGTAGTATTTAGTTTACCTGTAATTATCTAAATCTCTCGAAAGAGACAAGCTATTCATAATACAGTAATGTGGGGGTGTGGTGGAGGTTTCACTGTTATTATTGCTGTTTTTTTTTAGGTCTTTGGAAAGCGGCCTGTCGACCAATTCCTCTCCAAGTCGAAGTGATATTGTCATCATATTTTTACTCGCGTTGATATCTCGCTGCCATGATATTCTACAGGATATGAATTCCAAGATACTATGGCCGCAGATATGCTCAAGTGGCTTCAACTTTTTAAGATGGCAGCTACTGCGATTGTTTGAGTAATTATATTTATCAATTGTAACAGCAATCAGTCGGCCGTCTCTTTCCCTATTATTTAGTGTCTTCCATAAGATTCCCGTGACTCCACACAGGTTCCCTTTTAGCTTTACAGAGTCCTTGCCGAACATGCCATCTCCTAGAAATTATCAAGTTGATCTTATTATTATCTTCGAAATACTCTTGTGGCCTCCACTTATTCAACATTTGTATTTTCTCTAGATTAGATGGTGCCTATTTAACATGTTAAAATATAAAGGTTTTTACTTTTTCACGACCTTCTTTTCGTCCCTTCCTTTTCCTTTTCTTTTCTCTTCCTTCTTCTTGTTCTGCCTTCTTCTTTTATGATTGTATTTTACGCCTCAATTAACTAGAATATTGATTTTGATATAATGTGAGCCATTTTTTCCCGCTAGAAACATTGTAGAAATCAAACAGGCTATCGATATGCTCAAGCATATATTTCACATAGTCGTAATATCTATTGGCTTCGGCTGACTAATATGTTGGGATTTTAGATTCTACTTTATCTATTCCATTTTCCTTCTTCAGTTTTTGTTGATCGGCTAAAAATTTTGCTGACCAGGTGTAATGGTAATATTCTTTAGTCGAGCAACGTATAATGAGGTGAATGTCTTTATCGAAGCCACATACTGCCGTATACACTGTCTTTCTTCCATGTCCCAAATAAACAGAATTATATAGCGACATGACCTCCTCGTCATTAAAGTATGTTAGCTTGAGATCTAGATTATTTACTACCTGAGAAAACTTTTGTTTTCTATAAAAAAATGCAATCGACCGAAACTTTGTCTGACCGCAAGAGGCTTCCGAGTAAAACTTTGTTATTCCTATTAGGAATCAAGTTCGCTAATGTATAAAAAAAAACACTCGATTAATTATGCTTTCGTTTAAACTTCAATGATTCTATACCTTTTGACTCGCTATGCTTTAAAAATCACGGCATTTTTAAACATTTCAAGTTGCTCATTATACCCTCTTGGTACATAATTTCACAAAAAAGCAGAAAAGGCGATCGCAGAGATAGTTATATATAGAAAGTGTAGATAGGGTTTTGGAAACAAGCTAAACAGACGAGGCAAAGGCAATCTCCGTACATGATAGCGATAGTGATTTGTGTGTTCCTCTTCATACTCTACCAAAATATGCGGTAGAATGGGAATATACTTTCCAGGGTACCCAGAAAAAGATCTTAGTGTTACTTCTTCTGGTGCTATATACTTCAATGGTTACCAAAACATAGTAATGTGGTTTCTTTGTTGCTCTTCAAATATTGAGGATATCGGCCATTGATGATTCCCATCACAAAAAAACTGGTAAAAATACTTTATAGAAGTTTGCTCTATCTCTTTTGGGCGGGATGCCTATTTAGTAACCTATGAGTATACTTTTAATTGCCAGCTTGAATGTTGATTGATCACTTACAATAAACATATTTTGAAGTTAATAAATCAACTATCTAAGAAGTATAGCTTCAAAATTTTCAACATATTATTAGAGAAGTTCGTGGAGTCACTTTTTCAAAGAAAATTTCCTTTTTAAATCAAACTCAGTGATTTAAATAAGAAAATAATGTAACAATACAAAAATAATTTTGAAAAGGTTTTTGAAATTTTCAGATTTTCTGAAAAAGTGAGAGAACTTTTTCAACCTCTAATATCTTTCTATTTTTTATTCTAAACTAACGTTATGAAAATAGTAGAAATATACGGAACAATGTAAAGTTTTGAATATAAATCAGCAACGATATAGACAAGATCATTTTACACATTTTTGTTCACGTTTATCAACTTATCTATTTAATAAAATTTATCTAAGCAAAGCTAGCTATAGAAGCCTTAATGAGAAATTTAATATAAAGCTATTTTATCATCAAAAGAAACAATTTTTTCTGGTTGAATTTATTGAATGTTGTATTTGGAAGTTTAGTAAATATAAAATCCAATGAATAAATTAAGTAATAAGCAACCCATTTACAAATTTTTTGAAAAAGTTTAAATCCTCGAAAGAGTTACCCTATTTGGCTTTGTGTTATGTACAACTTTGAAAAAGTTATTCCACGAACTTCTCTATTTTGTATAGATCGTGAATAATTCTTTACAAACCTCTGTCAAGCATAGACTTGAACCTGTTTGTATTATTCTTTTAATATAAACAATAATTGGGAAGGAGAGGCAGCATGTATCTCAAGTTTATATCAAGCTACTTGGGGTATGATGACTATTTGTGATTTTTTCTGGATTTCACAAGTGGACAAATCGAGTGCCAGTAGTTTTTCTTGAAAATAATACTATCATCAAAATTATTGGTGGCTACTAGGCAGATAGAAATATCTTGTAAGTCATATGGCCCTTGTTATGATATGCTTAAGGTCTTTTGAAGTCGAGATGATTTTTTCTTGAATAACCGTTGAAGATTGGCATGGATTACTATTCTTAGAGAAAGCTTCCTCGTAAACGAATTGTGGTAAGTCCCAAGATTTTCTTGAAGTAATTCTTCTTTGGGTGTGATATATTTTGAACATCCAGGAGAACGCATAGATCTGCATCCTACTTTTTTACAGTTTTTACAGAAAGTCGATGAAGAGCTTGAATCATATATTTGTCTCTTTACGACCTTCTTTTCTTGCTTAATGCTTGCATTTTGTTTCATTTATTTTTCTCAGTGTATATTCCCACTGAAGTATTCGGAATTAATTTTAGGTTAGTATCTCAGCATAGGGAAACGTAGATACTGTGAAAGCGTTATTTATTAAAGAGACCGAATAATATTGTTCATATCTGTTACTATTAAAATTACTGTAACCCAAATCCCCGTCGTGTAGTTATTGGTTTGTACTGTATGAGTTTGTAGTGTACGTGTGCTTAGTGTGTATACCACAGGTAGGATAATAGCTTTGGGTAAGTGTAAAAATATCCTCTTAAATATATAGTTTTACACTTACATCCTTATACTACCTTTAATGAATCATTATATATATATAATAGTAAAATAGCTACTTAACATGTTATGTCAAGACATCATACCTAACAGAACATGCCGTGCTTAGCCCTAGAAATGTCGTTCCTCTCCTTTATGACACTCTTCAAGTACACTCGAGTTGGTTTACCACCTTTAGTTACATGTAAAAATTCCTGTATCTTTGCGATTGCCACTGTTATGTCAATGTAACCATTAACCGGTGAAACATGGAGAGGCTTTTGGTCAAAAAATGCTCTTGCATTAAAAAAACGGATATCCTTATTGATAAGGTTTATATCAAAGTGATTTCTAGAAAGTACTTACTAACATTAGGATATCTAATTGCTAATCTGCAATGAGTAAAATAATCTCTTTGCTATCTCTAAGAGATTTTGTTTTAATACAATTGGTTAGTAGTTCTTACGAGATGACTATACAACAGAAAGGAAGTTTTTGTATTTAAATATTGAATTAAGAATTTAAGGACACACCACTTTGTCTTGAAAGATCGGAGAAAAGACATCGGACCCCAGACAAGTAGCTACAATTAATTAGCCCGGCAAAAAAAAATTAGTACCTCACCAGAAAACGTTGTTTCCATAAAATTGCTGCTATGCCAAAGGTGTTCTGTCTATTGACATCAGTATTATTTTGTAACAGTTATTATATATATATAATGCTTATAAAAATAACAACAACAACAAAGCTGAAAAAGAATGTTATTATTATTTTGTGTAGTTTGTTTATTCAAATGTGGTCTATTTGATATGTCTGTGCTAGTATATATATAGGCAGTAGAAAGAAAGAAAAGGATTTATAGTTATATAGCAATATGTGCGAAAGAAAGAAAAACTAAGTAAGAGAGATTACATTAATTGTGATTTTTATGTCTATTATATGGTAAGGTAGATATAGAAGGTAAAAAGGTAAAAAAAAAATTAAAATATATATAGATGGAGAAGTGTACGCGAAATTTTAAGCGGGTTCTCCTTGGAGTACACGAGAAGCATGGTTTGTCTAAAAAATTAAAGAGAGAGAAAAAAACATATGAGTACAGATTCAATAAAGAAATAATAGTAATTGTGTGCAAATATATATATTTATATACCTGAACAGAAGAGAAGCGTCGCAATTCCTGCGGGGCCATTGATAGCTCGCGGTTGGATCCCAAGAGTCTGTTTCCAAAGTTTCTTGACTGCTCCATGGCACGAAGCGAGTGGGTTCGGTTAGCATAGAATCGACCAGATCCAGAGTTAGAAACCATCGAAGAACGTCTGGACCGATCACCAGCTGCTGCTACTGGAACAGCAGTGTTGACACCAACTGCCTTCTTGGGGAACACACGGCGCATGGCAAACTTAATCAAGTCAAGAGGGAAGAACCAGAGGAAGTTCCAGATCCATGCAATACCAGCCCATGACCAGCCACAACCAGAGATATCTGTGAATCCCCAATTAGCATAGACAGCAATAAAGGTAGCCACGAGCTGTGCGACAACAAAAGCCAAAACCAGCAAGATAGAAGGGCGCTCCATAAAGAACCAGCTCTGAGATCTGGTGATAAAGATAAGAGCCTGAGAGATAGTAGACACCTGGAGGTATACGACAGAGTGAAACACGCCATTGTTGGGGTCTGCATATCTCTCAACACCGAACTTGTTCATAAAAAAGTCGGTCTTGTAAGCCACAGCAAAGAATCCGATAGTTGAAGCAGCCAAGTAAAGACCATAGACAATCGCATAGCAGAAGATTTCGGTAAGATTCCAAGTGTCAGGTAGTGGGGAAGGTCTAACGCGATCCTTTGAAATAGTCATGATGGTACCATCGTTAAGAACAGCCAGAATCAGGACCATAAAAGGAGGAAAGTCAAACTTGAACGCAAAGCAAAGAACAGAGAATCCGACCACGATACGAATGGTCACAGAGCATGTGTAGATGGAGTAGTTGCGCATACGTTGGAAAATTTGACGGGATTGGATTAAAGCCTCGATAATAACCGAAAGGCCTGGCTCGGTAAGGACAATATCGGCAGCAGAGCGAGCAGCATCAGTGGCATCTGCTACAGCTACACCAACGTTGGCTTTGGAAAGAGCAGGGGCGTCGTTTACACCATCACCAGTCATTGCTACCATGTGTCCCATAAGTTGAAGTCGCTCAACAATCTCGTATTTGTGTTCAGGGTAGACGCCAGCAAAGCCATCGGCACCAAGAACAAGGCTGTCAACCGAGTCATAGCCAGAACCAGCAGGTGGGCCGTCCTTGAGAGTCTTTGACAAGTACATGTTGTCACCCATACCAAGGCGGCGGCCGGTTTCTTTGGCAATAGCAAGCTGGTCACCAGTAATCATCTTGACTTGAACACCCAGAGCAATAGCACGATCAATGGTTTCTTTTGTGTCTGAACGAGGAGGATCATAGATGGGCAGGAGACCGATGAGACGGAATCCGGTTCCTTCATCTTCAGGATCATTGCTGGGAATTTCGTTGATAGCAACTGCGAGAGAACGAAGACCACGGCGGGCAAACTCGTCGACATCATCATTTAGGGCCTTGATCTGAGCTTCGGTCTTGTCACGAGTGCAGAGGTCGAGAATAAAGTGTGACATTCCCTTTGTGGCGCGATAGAGTTTTCCGTCAAAACGATAGGTAATTTCGGTACGCTTGATCGTGGGATTGAATGGCTTGAACTCGAGTTCCTCGACACCTGCACGAGCCAATGTGGAATCAGGCAAGGAGTTTACGATACAAAAATCAATGGCGTCTTGGTTTTCTGTGCGAGAAGCATAGGAGGCGATTCGGATAATGTCTTCTCCATCGAACTCGCAGTAAGTCTTGATGGTTGGCTTGTCGACGATAAGCTTGTTGAGAGTCAGAGTACCTGTCTTGTCTGAGCAGAGAATAGTGACAGCTGCCATTTCCTCAATGGCTGTAATGCGGGTAACAATTGCCTTGTGTTCGGCCAACTGCTTTGCACCGATTGCGAGAGTGACAGACAGAACGGTGGGCATAGCAATGGGGATACCACCAATGAGCAAGACTAGCAGGTTGTTGATTCCACGACGATAGTGATAGCGGAAGCCGGCATACATAACCAGGATCTCGGCCACAATAAAGATACCGATACTGACCAAGCAAAAGTTACCGATCATTCCAAGAATTTGCTGCAAGTGACCAATGTCGTCTCCAGCATCTCCTACGAGTTTAGCCGCACGACCAAAGAAGGTGTTGACACCTGTACCAATTACGATGGCCTCGGCTTCTCCTTGCTTTACAGTAGAGCCCGAGAATACTTCATCACCAGCCTGCTTTCCGGTCGGAAGAGATTCACCAGTGAGGGCAGCCTGATCAATCGAAACCTCGCCGTGAGCGCTGATAAGTCTGCCGTCTGCGGGAATCACGTCACCAAGTTTGATACTAATCACATCTCCGGGCACTAGTTCAGCAGCCTCCATGGTCTTCCAGACACCGTCTCGCTTGACTTTGCATTCAGGGGCAAGGGATTCCATCAGAGCCTTTACGGCATTTCCGGCTTGACGTTCTTCCAGAAACCCGATCACTGAATTTGCAATGAGAAGCAAAAGGATACCAATGAAATCGGGCCAATCCGGAGGTTCGTGTTCACCATTGGAAAGAACAATAGCTACAATTGCAGCGGCCTCCATGACCCATGAGAGTGGATTCCACATGAAGCCAAGAAACTGAAGAATCGGACTAACTTCTTTGTGCTCTAGACGATTGTAGCCAAATCTTTCTACACGAGAAGCTGCCTCCTCTGAAGTCAAACCAACAGTCGATGTTCTATTATTATTATTATTATTATTATCATTATTAGATAATAGTAAAAAAAAACAAATGATAAGTAAGGTTGAATAAACAATTAAATATAATTATATATAATACTTACTGGAGAAGAACAAAGACATCTCCTGGTTCCATGGTCGAGAGATCATACTTCTCCTTGTCATAGAGTTCTTCTACTGTCAAATTCTTAACATTGGTTGTGTCGTATTGTGTCTTTGAATGATGTTGATTTTCTCCAGTGACAGTTACTGGAGAAGAGCTGCCTGAGCCTCCTTCGGTTTGAGTCTTTGAATTGGGCTCCATTGTGTGGAGGTGTGTGTGATAAGAAACAAGCTGGGAAAGATGACAAAGATGATGGGAGAAAATTGATCTGAAAAAAATGTATTGCTTTTATATGTCCAGAAAAAAATGAGCTACCACTGTGGGTTTTTAGTGTGTGTGTGTGTAATATGCGTGTGATGCTTAATATGCATAATGTGTGTGTATTTGTATATGTGTAGGAAACACAATAAGACGATCCAATGATGATATTGGGCCCAATATTCATAATATTTTTTTTAATACTTGAAATGATGATGTATTGTGGAACAGACTCGAGACCGCATTTTTTCCTAGTAAAGAAATCTATAATAGTCTTTTGTTTCTTTATTGTGTTATTATTTTATATATAAATATATATTTCTTGGCTGTAAAGTAATAATAATGGTAATAATGATAATCGTTTTTCCTTGTCTATTTTAAATATATAGAAACTTAAAAGCCAAAAACAAAGTGTCTATTTTCACCTGTATATTTCTTTAATACTTCAATACATCTGCGTGTAGTAGATGTTAAGCACAATATTGCTTAAATTTTGAAATGTGCATTTTATTATTACTTTTAAGAGAATAAAACTAATTGTTGATCCATCGAGACCTTTCATGAAAGTTCACAATAACACAAGCAAAGGCCAATGGTCAACGGCTAAAGGAAGAGGACATTGACTGTCAAGAATATAGGTATATTTTATTTTTATTTTCTAATTAGGTTAAATGATACATTTAGGGTTAAAATCTTTAAATAAAAATATATAAATATATAAAATAAGAGAGAGAGAAACAAGCTCAGATCAAGTTCGGCAACCATGCTTGATTTGATGAATGATGGTCGTACATGTACTTCTTTCATTATACCCATTATAATTGCGTTCTTATGACGTGTAATTCTGTTACGGTGTGAAGAGCAAGAGAGAGAGAGAGAGAGAGAGAGAGGGGACAAAACATAAACATAAAAATAAAGATGATGAAATTCTGAATAGTCTATTGATCCACCAAACGGTTAAAATAGCCTATTATCCAACCTCCCCTTCTGTACCTACCTTATAAAGAAGTGTAGACAAAAAGAAATGATAAATCTACAAAGGATTTGAACTATCCTTCAAGATATCTGTAGAGTGCAATCGATAAAGTACTTTTATTTTATTTTATTTTATATATATATACATATATCAAAAATAAAATAAAATAAAATAAAATAAAATCCAAGAGCGGGGGGACCCTCTGACAATCAAGATTTTCTCTGTGAGTGTGAGAGTGTGAGAGTGCGGGTATGGGTGTGTCTGTGTGTGGGTTGTACTATTATTTTGATTGCACTTTAGCTTAACCAAAAATAACAACCTTTGTTAGCCTATAAACATCAATTTATATACACATATATCCCTTTTGTATTTTATTTCTTATTACTATCTGGTCTTGCAATAACAGATACTCATCAATCAATGACGATACAGGATGCCATGTCAAATGAAGATCTAATCTCTTGTGAATCTGTCCTGTCAAAGTCATGCTCATCAGACAAAATGATAGACAACCTGTCTGAAGATAAAAGTAAACACATCTTCTTTTTATCATATAATGTACATATTCGTATATGATTATTTCTCTGGATTAAATAGATAGATAAATATATATAGATAAACATATACATATATGTATATATAGACTAATATCAGAAACTACTGTAATAATAATGTACAATCTCAGATCAACGTGTTTCTTCACACAAAAATCGATGGACGGCAGAGGAAGACGCGCTTTTCCTATCTGGATTGGTCTGTAATCATATTGATTGTATATAATATTATATTATATATATATATATATTTATATTTATACTTACAAATTTCATATCTGTATCATTTTAATATACAGCAATTGTATGGCTATGGAAATTGGACACCTATTTCAGTATACATAAAGACACGAAATATACGCCAGTGTAAAGATCACGGGCGCGCTTGGATAAGATCTGGAAAGGTAATTTCTTTTGTAACAGCTATGAAGATCGTGTGTATTTTGTTTCTGTAAAGCTGTAGTACATATTTGTATAAACTAATATTCATTTTACTCATATAAATAAATGAATAATAATAATAAAAAGATTAAAAATCAAGTCATCCCGACACCTCTAGAAACACAGTCTGAAGATAAGATTAGTCTCTCTATAGAGACCGAAATAAAAGCAGAGGCAGAGATTGATACATATATAAAGACAGAGGAAGAAGCAGAGGTCGAGATAAAGACAGAAATTTTTGAAAATGATGTTCGAGAACAATCTACTCAAGAAATCATTTCAGATATAAAAACGACTATTGTCAAAGGTCCATTTGAGCAATTGGTAAATATATATATATATATATGCGTGTGTGTGTGTGTGCAGTCAAGAAACGATTAATTGATTGATTGATTGATTGATTGATTGATTGAATCGAATGGCTTAAAGGCTAGAAAGTATAATTAATATAAACGTGTGCTTACATATATCTATATAAATTTGTAGAAATCAAAGGATAAAGTGAGCTTTGAAGGTGATACGATCACAGCCCAAGAGAAAAAAAAGAATCCTGAATGGTTTGAGAACAAGCCGTCAAAAACTCCCGAACGTTACCTAAAGATCCGTAATTTCATTCTCAGTGAATGGGAAACAATTAACCCAACCTATCTCACAAAGATACATGCACGCAAAGGCCTCAAAGGTTGCGGGGATGTTAATGCAATCGGTCGTGTTCACAGTTACCTCGAAGAGGTCGGAGCTATCAATGTAAACTGTGTAGCGACCGCAAAACCACCGCAAGCCACAAGAAGACCTGTCAGAAAAACCTTTAAATCTGAAGACCTGTATGAAGAAGCTAGTCAAACCAGGTAAAACGAAATCAAATTAGATTAAAATAAAGATGTGAAGTGAAGTATAAGATTGCAAATGGAGAATAGTTGATCCGGACCGGAAAAGCAAAGAGAATGCACCTATACAAAATGTTGTTGTTGCTACTGTCGTTATCTTATTTTGGTTGCCATGGCAAATGCTTAATTTTGTATACAATTATATATATAGATTAAAACGAAAGGCACAACATGAACCCGGTTATTGGTAATAGCACAAAATGGTCACCATTACAACGAGTTATTTATTTATTTATTTATATCTATATCTAAAAACACAATTGCATGCGGAATGATACTCCAGTGACAGAGATACTGACAGTCAATTGCCTACAAAAAGTAGTACACGCCTAACAAGGTTTACCCCCTTTAATCAATTAACACAACCTTCTTTTTCCTTTTTTTTTGCGTGTGTGTATGTGTTGTGTACATGTGAACATTTGTAGCTGGAGACAAAGTTCGTCCAAAGCGTGTAATCAAGAGACCAGAGCATTATCATGATCCTGGAAGCTTTCGAGATTATGACCCCTTTCAACTTGTACCAGTTGGGTATCACACAGATTACTACCCTGCTCCATTTGTAGTCGAAATCCAGAATCAGGCATTGGTAAAAAAAAAAGCTTATTTTTTTCTTTCTGATTTATATTAATGATATTGATATTGATATTATAATTTGTATTTTTATTCTTATTCTTATGCTAATTTACTTCATATATCCCAAAACAGCTTGTCATGGACTTTCATGCCCATTTGGCCTACACAGAAATTATTGGGTTGATGGGTGGTTCATTTGTAGAAGAAGATGGAGTCAAGAAACTAAAGGTATCGGCCGTGTTTCCTTGTCAAAGTGTCAGCACAGGTATTCAGGTAAATAGATCCATAAATACTTATCAATACGCACACGCACATAAAACAATTGAGAGAAAAAATAAGTAAACAATTTTCATTTTTGAATCATTACTAGTGTGAAATGAATCCAGAATCTGAAATGGAAGCAAGAGAGGTATTTGCACAGAAGCAGCTCTCTGTGGTTGGATGGTATCATTCCCATCCTACTTTTGAGCCACATCCTAGCATTCGGGATATTGAGAACCAGACAGTTTATCAGGTGTGTCTGCTTTGTTAGCTTACTAACTTTTTGATTTAATAAAACAACAGACAAGAATAACTTATCTTTTTTTTATTTTATTTCTGGTAAACTTGTAAAGACCTTATTCCGTAGTGAAAACGGAGACGAGCCGTTTATTGGCGTTATTATCACTCCCTATGATCCAGAAAACTTGACTGACATTTCAAAGATTGAGTATCTGCACATTAGTAAACAATGGAGTTCAGCACACACCTATCGTAAGTAAAAAGAAATATGAATTTTATGGAATTGTTTTTTTTGTTTGCTTGTGTAGCCTAACAGTTTATCTTCTTATAGGTATTCCGTTTGCGTGTCGTCGAAAGGTGATACAGAGCCAACTAAACGACGAAACAATGGGCCAGTTGGAAAAACTTGTAGAAGACTTTAAAAATTATGAACAGTAAGATTAAATAAATACAAATACAGTATGCTATAATTAAGCACAAACTAATAAACTGTTTTCTCCCTCATAATATGTGTGTACGCGCGAACAGCAAGATAAACATGAGTTCTGAATTTGGACAAAAATCTCGTCTTGAAAAGCTTCTTGGATCTTTGGAAATGCATATTGAGCTGGAAGATAAGAAAGAACAAAAGGCTTTTATGGACAAAATACGCCTTTTGGTGACTACGGTGTTTGACTCGGCTTTGCAAACGGACGTGAAAAAGAATAGGGAAAGCTTGAAATTGTCGGTGACTTTTGAACAGCCATCTACAATTGAATCCCTTGGTGTTTTAGAATAGTAGTCTTAAAAGCTTTCTGTCGCTATTTTACTTTCTTTTTCTTTGTAGCATAAAGATTTTGTGTGTTAATTAATATAATTTCTTTTTAATAAATATACGTATATATGTATACAGTCGTTCCAACGTCAAAGGGCGCTTGTGGGGAAGTAAATTATCGACTAACGAGGTAGACCAGCATCCTCAACGGAACTGCATTAAGAAGAAATAATCATACTATGAAAAGAAAGAAACCCCCGTTCGTCTAAGTTTATTTAAATGTTCTATTCTTATAAGAGCATCCGTAGCAGTAGCTTTTAAATTCAGTTTTTCCCGATTTAAGTGCTTTTTGGAAATGCTTTTCAAAAAAGTTGTCTGCAGCAGTAGCATTTCCAACAGCATCTAATTCCATGCTCAAGGTCATAAAAATCACGGAGCATGTAAATACATGCTGTTGGAAATGCTACTGCCGCAGATTCTTTTACGTATTTATTTTTTCGAATTTTTTGTTGCTCTTCTTTTGGACATTCTTTCTTCTCTACTCAATGCGGTAGGAAGCTTACTTCCATTGTGCTCTTCAATACGATTACTTCTTTTACCATCATGTCTTGGAGTTTGAACTTTTCTCTTTAACGAGGCTGCACTCTTGTTTACTAATTCCGTGGCTCTCTCACTCTAAACGTTTTATTTCTCTGACTTTCTTACAATACTTTTGTATTATTGTGGGATCGGTAAAATCGTCAGCAATTTGCCATGTGTTTGCCAGTTCACCATAACCAACCAATTTTACCAGATATTCTCTTTCACCAGCAGCACCACGATGATCGCGAATGTCTTCAACTTCATAGAGCTCATTCTCAATTGTAGATTTATCGATGGTAGCCATCTTGAGTTCTGAGGGTGTGTAATTTCGGTGCAACAATTCTCCTTGCTCAACCTTTAGCTCATACGATCCTCCTTTATTTCTTCGAACAACTTTATAAAGACCTTCATAAATTGGTGGCAATTTATTTGGACGATGTTGTAATCTGACCTTTACGTGTGTTCCTTTGGGGATGTCTATTAGGATGTTCTTGTGATCATATTTCTTTTTAAACTCCTCGTTGATCTCTGAAAACTGCTCTTTGAGATAATAAAAGTCGCCCTTTGGCGTTGGAACTGTTATATATATATATTAAGGATGGAGAACAAAATGTGTAGATTTTATTCGTATTATTCCTGCAACATACAAAGAGAAACGCAGAGTTGATCTATATTCTATTAAAAGACTTTTATTGGTATTTCTAAGTACATTAGATGTATGATGTGTAGTAATATGATCCAATGAGAGAGATAAATATACCAAAAATGCTCTACCAAAAATAATAAATAATAAAAAGTCGATTAATAATGGGTAATAAAGACAGGAAGAGAATTTGATATTTTTGTGTGTAATCATAGAGTTTTATTTTACTTATTACCATTGTAGACAAGGGATTATGAAAAAGTAGAGAGAAGAGTATAGGTTGAATGCAATTCTGTTGTAATTAAAATGACAAGGTTATTTACATCTTTACAGTCATATATATACACACACATATATATAAAGTTACTAACCTTTGAAGTGACAGTGATACAGTGTGTTAAAGGAGATGTATACTTGATCAACAAAAGCATCGCAATGTTCACACTGAAGCCTGTGATGGTAGTGATGATCTAAACATAAATAATATCTATTAAGGAAATACCATTGGTATTATTATACGAGTTTTTGGGCGTTTACCAATTGTAACCAAAATCCAGGATGAGATAAGAAATATACTGAGCCAATATGCGCCAATTCTCCCGACAAAAATACTACCAACCCACAAGGAACAATAGCAATTACTGTCAAACTAAACAATAATCGACTGTCGTATATACATATATACATATATTGCAGAATAAGAGTTGTGTGCATGAATTTGTATATATATATACGTATATATATATATGTTTGTTTGTGTCTGGATAATTTACCTCACATCATTTCCAACAGATGGAAGGCGTTGTTTGATCCACACCCCATACAATGCTAGTAGTATGGCCCATATGACACCGAAAAAAACTCCTTCTAATGAAAAATGAAGATCATCCAGGATCCCAACCAGGAATCCAAGTGTGTGTAGAGCAGATATTTTTGTGGTCTGTCTAGGAACTGGTGTTCCGTACAGAGAAAGGATCGCCAATGTTGCTGGTATCGACAGAGAGCGTACAAAAGCATAATTTGTGATCTGAACATGTTGTAGAAAGATAGGACTGAAGTAAAGAACAGTAGTGTGAAGGCAGGCTAGAGGAACTAAACTACGAAGATTTGTATTCCAAAATAGTGGTGCTCTTGCCCAAACTGGCAATCTAAGCATATTAATAAATCAATCAATCAATAAATAATATATATATATTTATGCTAATTATATATAATGCACACAGACATATATAAATATACAGAAGAAAAATATTTATCAATATACAAACTTACATGCTACCTAATAGTCGCCACACCATCATCCCCATCCATCCCACACAAACTTGGAAGAATATGACAAAATAAGGAAAAGGAAACTTGTATTCTGTGCTTGTGGTTAACCATTTGTTGATTAGTGTTGCGATGAGTGTTGTAGCTATAACGACTGTAATGACCAATGTTGGATCCTTTTGCCCAAGCCATTTGTTGGACCTTGTACTTGCTGGCCAAGGTAGATCATCCTGGCGTTTTCGAGTCATGTCCTTATATGTACGTATTTTTTTTTTGTTTTCGGTGGAAAGTACCAAAGCCTTTATGATACAAGCAAAGTACAAGTAAAGAAAGTAAGAAAGAGGACTTCTTTAGGAGTTTGTGTGACTGTCTATTGTACAAGAAGCCTAATGTATTTTCTTGGAATTCGTATTAAAAAATGAATACTTTATAATAAAGTACTAGTAGCTATATCAAGCTTATATATATACGTCTCAGTACCTTAATGTACTGAATTTTTATGTGTTTTAATTTTTTATTCTTAATGATTTTCTCCAAATGTAAATATGAACGGCTTTGTAGAAAGCATGTATTTTGATGATATTTAAATATTAGAGAGAATGCCTTCGAGCCTGAATTGCAAACGTTTGCAAATTTTTATTTTATGCGGCGAATTAAATTCCAATATTTATTTTGCAAATTTCATGGTGGAGGCCATTTAGTGATCATTTAAAGCCAAAAGTAGAGAACCCGTTAGGATGTGATATTTTCAAAGACTGCTAAAAAAGAATTATTAGTGAAACCCAGTCAAAAAAAAAAGAAAGACTCGACCACAGTTGATGAAAACATAAGTACTGTGACAAACATAAGAGAGATACATCTTAATAAACTTGGCTTTCTAAGACTTATTCTCTTAAGTAGATATATAGAGACGACTCTTGAATATATTATGTTTATGTTTGAAGGTAAAGAAACAAGCTCAATTCTTAATAAAAACTTGGTGATGAAATGGCCTCCCTCAGTAAAATTTTACATCTTTTCATTGGAATTGTAATCGCCGCGTAAAGCAAAAGTGAGTGAAAATTTAGAATTTTCACTCGACAACGGGTTCTCTAGTTAGGGATTCCCTGATTTTTGACTTCAAATGCTCACTAAATGTCTAGTAAAAATTGGGCTTATTTTTTCCACTTCAAAACAAAATATATGATAGCCAGTAGCCTATTCTTTATACTTACTTAATAAAATAAGCCTTGGAAAGTCAAGTTTATTAAGGTCTATTTCCTCTAAATTTCTTAGTATCAATGTTTTCAACTTATAATATTCATAACTGTGTATGAGTTTTATTCTTATTTTTGATTGGGTTTTACAAATAATTATTTTTTAGTCATCTTGAAGTTATCACAACTCGACACCCTCTCTAGTATCTTTCACTTCTGAAGAACCTGATCCTTAATATCCTAGATGATGTTAATGAACACATTTGACTCTTGAACTTTAACCCATAGCATGTTAGACGTACTCAATTGAGTTATAAGAAAAGATAAAAAAAAAAAGAGTGGTGTATTTATGGTAGTGATGCCCTTTTTTTGTCGGGGTGTACATTTTCATGATAAAAAGAAGTTTCAAAATTAACTCGGACTTTGTGCCAAGACTGATGATGCTCTGCCTCCATATTCGTTTGAATTAAACCCAATTTACCGTTCTCACTATAAGTAAAATAAATAATTCTATTTTCTCGGCCCTTTGTGTTTGTGACAAGTAATTTGTGAGATGTCAAAGAACAGACGGTGTAGAAAATGGAAGTTACTTTCGCGTCCAGTCCAAGGTAATAAACCATCAGTCCTACTTAGTGAAACCGTATTATACAGTATTAAAAGAAGTGAAAGTACAGTTCAAAGACTTCTTTTTTATAACCTTTATGATCATTCATGGCTTTAACTACCAGTCACTTCAATAACGCCCCTTTCAATAAATCGTTTACCCATCTGTTTTTATTTTATTTTAGCACTCTTGAACTCCTGGTATATCCAATAGTATCCAAAAACTTCGCATATAAAACCAATAGGACGGTGTAACCTATCTCATGATATTCCGGACTTATTCCATTTTGCATTCAAAGCCTTGAGACTTTTCGGTACGTTCCGCTTCATAAAAAAAATCAACCAAAAGACAGGAATAATATATAAGCTACAGTAAAGGATTAGCCTTGTAGGTTATGGCTGTGGATACAAAGCAGAATTAAGCAGGGTTCAATAATAGCTATTATTATTTTTCCTATCTTTAAAGGCAAATGCTATATATATACACTCATTTATACAAAGCCAAGAAATGTGACATACATACATACATATATACACATATCAGGGCAGTTCATACAATCTTAAGCTAAGCCAATAGGTTCCAAATGTGTGTGTGTGTGTACGACATTTCTGCATTCAGCAGCAACAACATCCGTACTTTTTGGCGATCTTCAAAGCCCATCTTTCTTCCCTATTTTTTTTTTTTTAAAAAAATCTTTTTTCTTCTTTTTCTTCTTCTACTCTTTTTTTCCTCTTTGTACCCTTCAATACTTTTACAAACTTCTCCCTTTTTTTTTAAAGAAAAAAAAACAATAACATTATGAGTAAGTGCTTAATAAAATAAAAATAATAAAAATTTCTTTAGCTTCGTCTAACCCTTCTTCTTTTCTCGTTGTTGTAGCGGCGACCGAAACAAAGAAGGTTGACATGAATGAGTTCCTTTCCCATCGTCCTGAAGTTCAGGATTTGGTCGAGAAGAACATTTTGAAAGGTAAAAGAAATACTATATATATATATATACTTCTTGCTCTATCTAATCAGCAAAGATCTACAAAGACCCCAAAATCGCTCCTGATGTTCAGCAACAGCGTGTCGAATTGTCAAAGAAACAGATCGAAGACGCCCTTCGTCACAAAATTGAAAACGGACGTACACCAGAAGTTCTTGTAGAGCACAACATTTTGAAGAGTAAGAAATATTATCTTTACTTTTTTTTAAAAAAAAAAGAAAGAATGGATGATATGTGTGGTGATTGTTGGTTGGCTCTTCTTAAATCTAAAGACTTGTTATCTCCATACATTTTTTTTTATATCTGAACAATCCAAAAAAAAAGACACTCACGTGTCCCCCCTGCTTCAGCAGTCACAGCTTAAGCTTGAGAAGCACCAGTTGCATGATAAGTTGGAACACAAGCTCGAGAAAAGACCCGTGCCTGAAGATTTGGTCAAGCAGGGCATTCTGTCAGGTAAAATTCAAAAAATATATATAGTCACAATATATCCACGGTCATGTGACTTACAGCATTTTTTTTGAAACCCTATGTAACTCTTCATACTTAAACACGGACACACACACACCCAGCTGATGAAGTCCCTCGCTAAGGAAAAATAAGAAAACACGCACCTTTAGCAGTGATTTTTTTTTCTGAATATTCTTCTTCACAAACATATCAATATATTCGAATATTTTCTTTTAAATATACACACAATAAATATTTGCAAAAAAATGAATCAAATGAAATCAAAGAAGGGAGGGGGGAGGGGGGGCAGTTACCATGGTCACCAGATGATAATAAACCTGGAGAAAAGGGGTGGAGATGATTTGCTGGAGAGGAAAAAAAAATTCCCACGCTGTGACTTTTGTACAGTAATGAGTTGTACCTATTCTGAGCCCTTTCTACAGGAAAAGGAAGAAAAGCTATATATTTATACATTCTTTAAAGAAAGCCAAAAAAAACGAAAAACGAAAAAGTGAATTCTTTTGCTTTTTTGTTTCACAGCAGAATAATAAAATTATCAGAATGCTTTCTCGTTCTCTTTACAGTCAAGCATCCAAGGCTCTTCTCAGCCAACGACCCCGTGTAGCAAGATCAGGCGTACTTGGCAGAATCAGCGCACGCTGTCTGTCCACGTTCGACAAGCATCATGATGTATTCGAAACACTGGGGATCCAAAAAACCAACAACAAGGGAGTGTTTGATGGAGAATGGTCAGGATCAGGACCAATCGTTCCTTCCATAAATCCTGTGAACAACCAAGTCATTGCCGAAGTAGTTACTGTGAGTATAGAAGCAAATACATATCACTTCTTTGGTTGTATTCTTATTATTAACAATAACAATAACATAATATAATTTGGTTTCTGTTTTGGGTACTGATATTGCTATTAATATCGTAGGGTACTACAGCAGATTTGGATAGAGCTCTTGATAGGGTAGCCGAGGCACAAAAGATCTGGGTAGAGGTAAAATGATTCTTACATCTGATCTTCTTCCTTCTTTTGATGACAGATACAAAAAGAAAATCAAAGAACTAGTTCTCACAAAACTAATAAAACATTTAGATGCCTATTCCCAAACGTGGACATGTTTTGTTGGCCATGCGAGATGCTCTTGTCAAAAATCTTCAACCTCTTGGTAAATTGGTTGCTCTTGAGATGGGCAAGATTCTACCCGAAGGTGTGGGCGAGGTCCAGGAATATATTGATATTCTTGAATACGCTCTTGGTTTATCTCGAATGATGCAAGGTGCAATAATTCCCTCTGAAAGACCAGGCCATATTATGCTCGAGACTTGGAATCCACTTGGTACAGTTGGTGTAATTAGTGCCTTTAACTTTCCAGGTAATTATTATTATTATTATTATTATTATTTTGGTGTCTCACCTATCCAAACTGATACAATTTTCTAACCCCCCCTCCAACCTTATTTTATAAGTGGCTGTGTATGGATGGAACAGTGCCTTGGCCTTAGTAACCGGTAATGGCGTACTTTGGAAACCCTCTCCCACAACCCCGTTGTGTGCTCTTGCTATCACACGTATCTTGGAGCAGACCTTGCGCCAGCACAATCTCCCACCTGCTCTTTGCTCTCTTGTCACTGGCGGAACGGACGTGGGTGTTTCCCTGACAGCCGACAAGCGAACTCATGTGCTGTCTTTTACCGGATCTACCCAGGTGGGACGAGAGGTCGGAAAGGTCGTCCAGGGACGCTTTGGAAAGTCTATTCTTGAACTCGGTGGCAACAATGCCATTGTAGTAATGGACGACTGCGATATTGATCTGGCCGCGCGCGCTATTTTGTTTGCTGCTGTCGGAACAGCTGGCCAGAGATGCACTACCACCCGCCGCTTGATTGTACACGAATCCGTTTATGACAGTTTGATCGAACGATTGATCAAGGCCTATGGTCAAGTCAAGGTCGGAGATCCTCTGGACGACGGTGTTCTTTGTGGCCCGCTCCACACCGAGGCTGCAGTCTCGACTTACAAGCAAGTGCTTGACTCAGTAATCAAGCAAGGAGGCGAAGTGCTTTGTGGTGGACAGGTCCTCACAGAGGGTGAATTCGAACATGGTAACTTTGTAGTTCCTACCCTTACAAAGGTTCGTCCAGATATGGACATTATCAAGAATGAGGCCTTTGTTCCAATTCTTCACACCATGACATTCAAGGTAAAGACAACAATGATAACAAAAAAAAGATGGCATCAAGTACAAGGATTAATTAATAGTTTTGTAAATAACTGGCTTACCCCAAGGGGAGATAAAACACACACACACACATATATATATTGAATGGAATTGTATTTTAATTTTAATTTTAATTTTAATTAGACACTTGACGAGGCCATTGCTATTAACAACGGAGTAGCCCAGGGATTGTCTAGTTCCATCTTTACAACCAATCCTGCCAACATGTTCAAGTGGATTGGACCAAAAGGATCTGATTGTGGTATCATCAATGTAAACATTCCCACCAATGGTGCAGAGATTGGCGGTGCTTTTGGCGGTGAAAAGGAGACTGGAGGCGGCCGTGAGAGTGGTAGTGATAGCTGGAAACAATACTGCCGACGTGGCACTTGGTAAGTTGTAAACACATACATACATACATATATATATATATATGTGTGTGTGTGTGTATGTGTGTAATTAATTGATTATTTTATTATTCTTTTATTTACTAATTGATGGGCTATATGTATGTGTGTTTGTATACTTCTTTAGTACTATCAACTATTCTGGGGCATTGCCTTTGGCCCAAGGCATCAACTTTGGTTAATAGTAATCCGCCATTCTTATTATTACTTTAATTATTATTTGATTTTCTTTAATTGTTTAAAAAAAATAATATACACCTATATACATTCATGTATACTTCTTTTCTTTCCCTATTTTGTTTGAAAGGGACTGATCTGCGTGTGTGTGTGCGTAAGAATATGCAATTTTGGGTTTTGTAGTATGAAAGATAAGACGACTGCTCGGATAAGATGATTTTTCTGCGGAAGGTAGAGAGGGAAAAAGAGAGAAATAGAGTGTTGGGACAGATTAAAGAACGGTTGCCTATAAAATGATGCACCGATCGGTATTCACTGGTGTGCCTGTATTCGTAATTTTTCGTGGGCTATTCCAGGTCGGTGCACCTTGAACAAGAGATTTTGTTTCGATCACTTCGATCACTTTTGGCGGTGGTGGAGGAGGAGGAGGCTTTGGCTTTTCTTTTGGTGGCTCAGGTGGTGGGTATATGTTGAAGACAATTGGACCAGATACGCATGTTGGTGCTGTCATGAGGGGAAAGAAACAAGGTAATTTATCTATACACCCACAGATAATATCAAAGTAAAAATAAAGAGAAAAGAAAGAAGAAGTGGAAGAAGGAGGAGCTGATTTGACGAAAGAAAAAAATAATAATTATGAAACGAATTGAATGGTTTTATTTTAGTGATGTTGTCTATGAAAGCCACAATAACATAATTATCATGATCCCAAGGGTGAAAGCGAGTGAAAGAGAAAGTTTATTTTACTAATATTACCCAATCTAGCCAGAGTCAAAACATGAAATTGAAGAAATAATACAACAACAAACAAAAAAAGAAACATTTGGGTGCTGCTTCTGGTGCTGATGTTGTACAACTATGGTTTTGCACATGCAAAGCACAACAATGAACACAGAATTACCTACGATTGATATCAGTAAACAACTCACTAAAGCAAAAGAAAGATAGCTTGAAAACCCATGGCTTGAGATTTGATAGTTTTGCGTATATACGTTTTATTAGTAATATCAGTAATATCATTATCTATAGATCTTCACTGACATTCACGGAATCACATTGAAATCCGAGTAGATAAGTCATCAACAGGACCTCAAAAACTATCATGTATTGAACTATTTGTATAATTGGAATATATTGGGGCCATAATTAACACAAAGCTATGGCTATTCAAAGCTCACAAAAAGAAACTTTGCTCATCATTCCAAAAGGATAATAAAGAAAGAAAGAAAGAAAAAAACCTCCTCCAAAGCACTCATGTGCCTGTGCACTATTCTATAAGCAGTGAAAATGGCCATTTTTAAACTCTTATTAGAAGACAACATCAATTGTATTATTATATGGTATAAAATACGCTCGATATATTTAGTTTCAAAAAAGCTTATCAAAAATACTAGTACAAAGAGATGAGGAAGTCCAAGGGAGAAACCAAATATACTTTTATTAGTTTAAGTATTCATACCCGCTTGCATTACCTGTTCGCACTACTTATTGGAGATTGATTTTTGCAAACCCTAATGTTGTTTCATAATATTTGATCCTTAACTTCAACTACTTCTTTACTGTTTATTTCAATTGAGCACATAATTATCAGCGTGTGAAATATGTACAAGAGTAATCCATTGTCTTGATTATTGACTTTTTATATTTTCATAATAAAGAGAATATTTATTTTAAAGCTATATAGACACCAAATGTAAGTTATATACAAATATATATATCCCTCTCTTTTTAAGTATAATTAAGACAAGACAAACCAAGAAATATTTGGAGATATATCTAACGTGTCAATACGGATAGTCTACACATACACCCTTACTCATAATCTTTCTTATCCACTACGAATATGCTACGAGAGTGCTACAAATATGACTTTTACTTATGGTCAAATATATTGGTAAGAATAAAGTACAATCAGATCAAAACTATACCGATGCCTTTTTTTTTAAAGAAAAAAGAGAAATAATTAACGAGAAATACCTGACAGAGTGTGAATATCTGAACAGCAAGCCGAAATGCTTTATAGAGCAAGGTAATATCTTGCGGCTTAAAATAAACTCTGATATAAAGACAGCTTGAAAAGATTAAGACTAAAAGAGAGAAATAACTATCAGCCCGTAAAGCAGATATCTTGGGATAGTAACTTCTGAAAGTTTCCGTCAAATACTACAAAGTAGACCAAGCTTCTTATATATAAATACATTTTATATATATTGTTGTATCATATGCAAAAAGTTTAGATAACTCCATGTAATATGTATTTGAACTAATTTTGAACTTTTTTTTTAAAAAAAAAAAGATGCACAGTTATAAATTAATCCTATTGGCTAAGCTAATTTTGAACGTTTTAGTCTGTCCACACCAAGTAGTTACTGATGTTATGTCGTCTGCGAGTTTTACTTCTTTTAGAATGTGTTATCGATATTTTTATCCTTTTATAATAAACAGTGATTAATACTCCCATATGATATGTAATATACATTAATGAAAGATTCTCTTTTTTTTTGTTACATTTTCATTAAGCTGATCTTATCAATAATGCAATACCAAGAAGCATATACTCTAAAAAAATTAGAGCAAAATTGTATTGTAAAACCTTCACTGTCAGAAACTACCAACTTTTTATTTTTATTTTTATAAATAAACACATAGAAATGAAGACATTTCTTGACATGCGACCAACCATTTGCTAACCCAATCATTTGGGGATTACCTCGGGACTGGCCACAGCTTTTTGGAAATATTGTACTACATCCCCAAATAAAGTTTCTCTAGCTTGTTCTTCTCATTTTATCATTGTATGTAGAATAATGAAGTCATAGTAAGATCCTATAAACCCTTTATGAAAAGTTCATTTGATTGTGTCCCTCAAAGCAAAAGATAAAATTGACGAGACTTACTCAAGAGGGAGTATTGTAAACAGTATGTTTATGGGAGGCCTATTTGCACCTTTAACCTTCAAAAGTATACAAATACACCGGGAGATTGTGTTAGTAGGTTCCGTAATTTACACTGTTTAAATACTTTTTATGTTTCGAATGAATGTATAAAAAAACAACTGGCTTTGAAACAACAATTCAACTTTAGAAAACGTGGTAAGAAAGACGTGTGTAAAGAATTGTTCGAACCATGCTAATTAACTATTTCAAAATAAAAAACAGGTGTCTTGAAGCGCAAGTTAAAGGAAAGGAATATCAATCTGTAAAGTGTCTACAGTTGCTTTCTTCTTCTTCTTTGTGTGTGTGTGTGTAAGGTTTGATTAATGCGGTATTTCTTATACCTATAACGATTGTAAATCCGAATTTCATTTTATATTTCTTTTGGATTACTCAATCATTAAGAATTGATTGATGGTACTTGTATTAGGGCTACAATCAATACTAAGGATGCAAAATTCATTGTCATAACTCGTGGTATAAAATCACTACCAAAATCCCAGGCCAAGACTATATAAACATGACATCTAGTCTGATCAAATTAAATATATATAAATCTATAAATGTTTGTGTCCCAATTGAATCCAATAGAATGACATTTATTGGATTCCATTTGGCCAGTTTTTTTCAGACATTCCAGCTATTCTGGAAAGTATTATTTTTCTTTTATTTATCTATTTATTTGTATATTTATTTATTTTTGAATGTCAGAGGATAAATATCTTACAACCAACCCGTAATTCAAGGGGACAAGAAGTTGGTCAAAACCGGATCTTCGAATAGATTTGTACAATTAACCAGCGGTTGGTCACCTTCATTTCTTGTATGAAAATTCTCAAGAAACTTCCTTTCTAGAACCTATTTAAAGTATAAAGCGATTGGCATATACCACGACTGTACCACCAAGGGTATGACATCCGAAACTAAACTTCGCTAAAATTAAGGGTGCACATACGCAATATCAGGAAGCACAATGATCCATAATTATGCGTGATTCTTGAATGCACACTAAATAAAAATAAATTAGGAATCTTGGTCTTCAAAAAATTAATAATCACTCCTTTTACTCTTTACAATGCTAGTTTCAAACCTGCCCTTTGAAATCATACGCAAAATTGCAGACTTCCTTGACACGAGTGACAAATCCCAAGCCAGTCTTTGTTGCAAAGCATGGCAGATACCTCTTCAAGAGTCCATGTGGACACACATGACGATCGACGATGACCAAAGACTAGGGCGGATATGCGATCCAGGAAGCTTAGAGAACAACTTATACAAACACTATGGGCATCATGTACACACACTCCATATCGACTTTCCAGGCTCAATATATTCCAAGATCTTGGCTCTCCAAAAACTCTTGCCGAACTTGCGACAGCTTCGCGCCGAATTCAGAGCAAAAAACGACGAAGTTTTCCAGGAAGTCATGTATTCTGAAAATGCTGTCGACTGCAGTCTGTGGCGATCCCTTACAGATGTGTCAATAAACCTAAAGTATTCTTACTTGCAACGTGGAATAGAAGAATTTTACCCAATCATATATTCACTACATGGCTTAAAATCATTGTCTCTGGATCAAGACTGTTTCGTGAATCTGCTCGCTCTCACATTTGACAAGCTCGAGCTTATCCACAGCCATCTACCCAAGCTGGAAGAATTACACATAAACACAGAGCCGGTTGCTATCAGTCCAGAAAGGCTGAGCGATATATCCAGATTGACGCCAGTGACCCATCTAAGAGTTCTAGACTTCAGAATCAAGAATTCGGTTCACAGATGGCTGTATTACCTGGCCGTCAAATATCCAAATCTTCGCGCTCTCAAAACCCTATATTTTACCAGTGAATTCAGTAAAGAGCACAACTATTCAAATATGAACCTTACCAATATTCCATTTGCTTTTATAAAATTGCAAGAAATCCATGTCAAGATCATTCTTTCAGCATTACGAGCATACCTTGATGTTTGGAAACAGCTCCGGCTACTCAACAGATCAGTCAAACGAATACACTATGAAATTGATCACGATATGGACGGTCAGGACGGAATCTCAGATCTTATAAAAAGCTGTATGGGGTCATTTTCAAGTACACTTGAATCCGTCACCGTAATAACTCACTTCCACTGCAACATGGATCTGTCTTTAACTACATCCCTCGAATACTACCCTTGCCTTGTCGAGATTCATATTGCTATAATCGGAATCACTATCGAACTGGACATTCTCTTAGACCGCTGCCCTGTTCTGGAAAAACTCTCTGTATATGATTCGACACTTCTCCTTAGTAATGACGTGTGTTCCAGCTCAAAGAAGCATGGATTATGCATGTTTGTGTTACGCCAAGGGCAGATAGATGTTGGCACATTGAATTATTTATCGATTCGTTGCAGAAACCTCGATCACATGGCTTTCTTAGAAGTTGCAATTACGGGAGACATTTCACAAAAGACAGGAAACATATGCGCCAACATGTCCTACACACATTTCAAGGTTCTTTGGCTCTTGAATGTTCGGTTTCAGATATTAAACAACGACAAGAATACCAACCTGATTGCTTTATCTCGACATAAACCAAACACCTCAGTCCAGACCAATATTAAAAAAAATACAGACCGCCTGGATTGTAAAAGGAATGATGCAAAAGGGCCAAAGGAGTTGCTCTGGTTTTACATTACCTACAAAGACGACGAACTTTATTCGAAAAACAATGTACAAAGACTAGATAAAGTAGAAGCTAGACAGGCCGGAAAATACTTTAGAAATTACCAACGAAAAAAAGGTATAGACCAAAAAGACCTCGTTTTTGAACCTGAACCTGGATCTGGCTCTGACAATACAAAGGAAATGTGGAAAAAAAGTCTCCCTAATGGTCATGGTACGATTGAATGTGGTTCAATAGCCGAATACTATCTAGATGGGTATCTGGATATAGATTATTACCGCCTGTACACACTTTTCAACAATTCACCCTAGATAGTCACATTCACTATAAACAACCTAGCCAGATTTTTCTCAGTCAAACTAAAGCATACATATTCCTAATCTAATAAATATAATAGAATAGAATACTCAAATGTATTCACAAAAGTCCTCTATCCGAGTATATTTTGAAACATTTTACTTGTTTCAAAATGAAAAAAAATACATTGATTTGTTTAAAATAAAACTAATCACAAAATTATGATATCTATAGCTAAATACTTTATTAATTATATAAAGAAAATATTGGGCGGGTATTACTGAGAAAAAAAAAACAGAAAGCGAATAAGTTTTAGGATCAATATCTCTTTCAAGACCAAGATCATCTATTGTTGACTCGGTTGAAAAGTACCATCTGAACTACTTATATATATATATATATACATTTCTCAAATCAAACTGGTAGCTTTAAATAATTATGGGCTTACACAAGGTTCGTGCGGTGGTATCAAGAAATAGATTAAAAACAAAAAGAGGAGAAATAATGCCTTAATTTTTATGACAAAACAAAATCATCAAAGAATACAATGACTTTTACAAAAAAAAAGATTTTAATGGACTACTTCTTTAACAAAGATATGCATACATTTTCTTCAATTTTCTTTATCTGCTATGCAGAAATTACTTGTAGAGTTTATTTGGTGGTTTTAATCATGTTCTGTTACATATTGTATATTTACTTTTGTACACGCCATTTGGAGCTACTTAAAAGACAGTAATTATTAGTAATATGTTGTATGATAATAATGCATATACATATAGGGAAATATAGTCAGTTTTCAGGGTTTGCTAACAAGTTGAAGTGTAGTCCCATGTTATTCTTTATTTTCGTCCTTCTTCTCTTTTTGTGTGCAATATAATATGATAAATTAAAAGAGAGAGAAAGAAAGGACTATCTTGATGCAAGTTTGACTATGTGCAACGTGTGGCTTATCATCTCCAACCTTGATTCTGGAGATGCCTATTTCGGAGCATGAGCGCTGTCTCTCTATTTTTTATCCCGTTCCATGCCTCACCTAGAACTACTCGCGACCCTTGAAGGTAGAAAAGAGGACATAGCTATGAGCATATTCACAGCAAAAATGTATAATCGAAAATAAAACATGCTCTGTAATAGGTCACCAGGACCGTGTCTGGCAAGCTTCTTGGCATCCCACAAAGACTCTACTAGCAACTTGTTCTGGTGACAAGACAGTCAGACTCTGGGCACCTGCCACACCTACAGACTTCACAAAATGGGTGTGTGTCGATACATTGAAGGGTGCCCACAAACGTACAATCCGCAGTGTTGCATGGTCTCCTTCTGGAAATGAGATTGCAACAGCCAGTTTTGATGCTACTACCGGAATCTGGGAAAGAGATCCACAAATTGCTGACTGGGAATGCATGGCAACTCTTGAAGGACATGAAAATGAAATCAAATCTGTAGCTTGGTCTTCTTCTGGTGCTCTGCTTGCTACATGTAGTCGTGACAAGAGTGTCTGGATCTGGGAAGGTATTTAGCGTGTATACTCTTAATGCATGTGTGTACAATTGGATATGAGTGGATAAGTTAATTTTTATTATTATTATTTGCATTGTCTTTAGTGGAATCTGATAACGATTTCGAGTGTCTAAGTGTACTACAGGAACACTCTCAGGACGTAAAGATGGTAGCATGGCATCCTAAGGAAGAGATTCTCGCATCTGCTAGTTATGATGATACTATCAAAATCTGGAAAGAGGATGAAGACGATTGGTATTGTGCTGACACATTACATGGGCACGCTTCTACTGTCTGGTCTTTGGACTTTAATGCTGCCGGTGATAAGATTGGTAAGTATAAGATTGTACAATCATATTTAGTGTCTTTTTTTTCTTTCTTGGGGTCTAATTTTCCTGAATCTTAGTATCTGCATCTGATGACAAAACATTGAAGATTTGGAAGCAGGATGGTGGAAAGGATGGTTCATGGACTTGTGAGACTACACTAGAAGGTTATCATGATAGATGTATTTATTCTGTATCATGGTCAAAGATCCACGGTTTAATGGCTAGTGCCAGTGGTGACAATACTATCCAGATCATCTCCAAGGTAAGGCTACAAAAGTATTTAATATATAAAAAATGGTGGGATTAACGGTATTATCTTGTATAACAAAAAAAAAAGGATGGTGAAGCAGGATATCGATCTGTAGCTGTGATGCAGGATGCTCATGGTGTTCATGACATTAACGGTGTTGCTTGGTTCCCTACCCAAACACACCAAGACTGGCTTGCTTCTGTGGGTGATGATGGCCTAGTCAGAATCTGGCGTATGGTTGAATAATTTGTAGTTTCCTTTTTCTTTCTCTTTATCCCTTTTTTTTATTTGTGATTCATTTCTGTCCATAATTCATTAAGCCACCCAGACACCTCGTTTACTCGCATCTTTAATTTCTCTTGCTCCTCAGTAGTCCCTTTGAATTTAGGAAGCACTCTCTGAAGAATTTTATCGGGATGATATCGTAGTTGTTCACGCCGTAATCTTAGACGATTTTCCTTTGTTGAATCCTGGGGGTTGATTAGAAATTCACGAATATTCTGTAATGTCGGGATAATGCCTCTACACGGCCACACCATTGATTTTTGTGTAATCGTTTCTGCCTTGTCAAGTGTGGCCCATTTCTCTTCATATGTGCCACGACTTTCTGCATTCTTTTGTAGTTTTCGAAGCTGGTCGTACACTGCTGCCACACGGCGTGCTTCGGCTTCAGCTGCATCTTGCCGTGCCTTTTCTTCTTCTCGCTTCTTCCTGCGCTTCTCTTTTTCTTCTTTTCGTTTTTCTTCAAGGGCAATAGCTTCAGCATTCTGTTTTGTCCACATTCCTTTCTCAATGTACCGACGGTATTCCTCATCGGTCATCTCATTCACAGATGAAGGCTCATTTCTTGGCTTGGTGCTCGAAGAATAATCTTCATACTGACTAAAGAAAGCTTGGCTGCCTTCGTCTTCACCCATTGCCTGGAACAATCGCTCATTCCAATCGTCTTGTTCCTTTTGGGAATCTATGGGTGGGATCCATCCTTCTTCGTTTTCGTAATATACCGGGGGTTTGTAATGTGCTCGGTGAGATGGAGATCTTGAACGCCTAGAGGATTTCTTTTCCTTCTTTTCCTTCTTCTTTTTCTTCTTCTCCCCGCTGTCCTTATACCGCAGTTTTGGCATAAAGCGTTTACAAATATGGGTTTAATATTTTAGGTTGGACAAAGACCAAGAAAAGATTTTGACTGGTCTTTAACGGAAAGATTTCCTCATTGAGATATTGGGATTGAAAGAGTAGACCAAATCATTTTCTCTCTTTTTATCCTTAACCTTTGTTATCAGTATGATAGTTATATTAATGAATATTTATGAGTGGAGAAGAATATATTTAATATGTATTGTTTATAAGTAAGTGATGTTGAGGGCTGAATCTTACTAGTTATTGTTGCTTTTTTTTTTCTTTATTTTGAGAATATAGCAAAAGGTTACATGAAAATAACCAATATGAAGCACGGTTTTATAGGACTAGGTTTACTTGGAGAATATGCTTCTACAAAAAGAGCCATTATATTGGAAATATACCTTAAATGTGACTTTCTTTGCTTTGAAAATAAAGGAATCATTTCTATTCTTTTCAGATTAACACAGACCATTAGAAGATCTGCAACAGTTGGATTTAAACTCGGTTTCATATCCATTTTAATGCAGAAGACAAAGGATTTAATAAAGTAATCTTGGAGAAGAGTATGAAGAAAGAAAAGGACAACATAAGGCAGTAAAATTGTTTTAGATGCTCTTAAATATAGCTAAAATTTAGCCCTCTGCCTTGTGGCTTTAATCAATTGATCAATGTGGATAATCTACATTTAATTCCATGTAGAATTTGATTTAAATGAAACTGCTGCAAATGCTCTAAAATTCATCCAAAATCTACTTGTATGTATATACATAAAAACAAGAGGATATTCTACATTACCCTAATTCATTGTATTTAAAGAAAACATAGTAATAATATTTGTCTATTTTACAGCACTTACTGCTAATCAAACTTTATGTATGAAATAATAGTAACATACAAGAATGAAATAAAGAAGGTATATGGAATAAGGTGTAAATGGCTAGCAATGTCGGCTGTGTATGACGCAGACCCGGACCTTAAAACGTTTTACTCTCTCGACAGCATGGTTTTTTTTGTTCAGTTAAAAAGATAAAGATATAATAAACTATTTTGGGATCAAGAATGGATCGATTAACACAGCTTCAAGATGCCATTGATTCCGTAAGCCAATAAATGAGACTCGACTAAGTACTCATGACGCTGATCACTAATCCAAGCTTGATTAGATGGCACGCATGTTTACAAACAGTATACATTATGTTCACGAGAGATCTTCTATGGCCTCCCTCAACAACGATATTCCAGTAGCTCAACAAAAAGGTAGCTTTATTATTATTATTATTAAAACAAACAAACTTTGACTAAAAGCACACTCATAATGTCTGCTGTAGTCCAGGCTGATTCACCTGAAGTATTTCAACGTAAGTCACGCGCACATAGACCGTATTAAGAAAGCCAGGATCAATATGTCATATATTTCTATAGAAAATATGCAAGAACTTGCCACTGATTTAGTAAAGAAGGCCAAAGAGATCGACTTGCTGATTGAGGTTTTGCCTGGGATTAAAAACACTGAAGAGGATCAGGTATATATATATATATATGTAAAAGTTTTTTTTTTAAAAAAAAAAAAAGATGAATTAATATCAAGATGGTGGTGTAGCTACGAATTCTTGCCGAGCTTGAAGAAGAAAACAGATTGGCTAACCAAGAATACGAAGATGCAGTACATGAACTAGGTTAGCTTACATGTTTCTTTATGTCAGACGATAGAATAAATGAAAGTGTGCATTAGAATATATGGTAAATCATTATTAATAATATTTTTTGGATAGAAATGGCAAGAGAAAAGATCTCCAATGCACTTCGTACGATATCAAATAACCAGAGTCAGAAATTCACAGAAATCCTTGTCAAAGATGATCAATGATAATTGTTAGCCTGACGATAATCTCCCCCAGGGCTCATTTCCCACGTCCTATGTCTTTAACTTGTATATTCAATTCCACCCAAATGTGACCCAGAGTATTGAACAAATGTGGTTCAATAATAATAGTAATAATAACAGTAATAATAATAAATTAAAAACATTACATATACATATGTATTTATGTATAAAAGTACTTTGAAATCTTTTTTAACAAGCAGTTCTTTTAAAAGGTATCGGCGATACTTAGAGGTGAAAACTACCATAATCATTAGTAAAGTTTGGTGATAAAATATATTAGTGATGTTTGTTTCTTTAATTAAATAAAATAAAATGAATTTTTTGTTTTCGGAAAATCATTTCATCCAGATAAGATGTTATTCTGCTTATTCATCTTCTTCACTTCATTTTTCTTATAAATATCCATTTATATATTTCCATAATCCGGGGATTCGAGTTTTATATACACATACGTATATATTTATATATTTTATTTATACAACCCAAAATACATGCACAGTTAACAATAGAGATCGGATAGAGTGGGAATAAATTCTTGTTGGCTTAAAGTATTAACGACTGTAACCAAGAAAGGGGGTTTTTTTTAGTGAATCCAATCGTTGATATCATCGAATGAGTCTTGTAACTTTGTACTAGATGAAGAATGTGGGGTTGGGCTGTGTGTGACGGGAAGTGAAGGGTCGGAATGAATATCCTGTAGTTTGTCAAACAATACTCTCTCGAGTCGTTCACGAAAGGCAGGAGATATGGTCATAAGCAAATTGTCCATGCTCTCAAAGGGCACCTCTACATGTTCTTTAATCGCTTCACCGGCTTGAAAGGCAGACGGTGTGGCGGACAAAGAAATATATGAACAAAGCTGGAAACTTATAAGTCGTGAATATTATACAGTTTTATTGAGTCTACCTTGTAACCTTGGTCGCACACTTCAATTATAACCATTACACCTTCAAGTAATGTCAAGTCTAGGCGGGCAATTCCATTCACTTCATCCCTCATAAATATTGTGGATGAGCCTGGTACGATTCCGTAGTCATAATCTTGTGAGATTCCCTGTAGCTTCTGGGTTAAAGACAATGACTTCATGCCCATAATCTTATTTGGACTTTCAGGTAAAAGAGATGCCTCATGTTGAAAAGAGAAAAAAAAAGGTCAAAGAAAAAATGCCTGAAAATGAAGCCGGACGAAGCAGTCACCAACTTGGTCTTGGTTGTAGAGTTTAATATACTGGGTTTCCCACCCTATTTTCAAAAAGGGCTTCCCTGTTTTTTCAATAAGTTTAGTTTAATAAGGGCCGTTAGCCGTCAAAAATCGTCTGTATTCGAAAAAGGGTATTTTTAGATGCTATTATTGGACAATAATACTTTAAAAAAGATGAAACTTGAAGAATATAAAAATTTGCTGATATTATTGGCTACTACTATTTTTCTGGGATGTATGTAACCGGCTACTCGTCTTTGGGATCACTAGGGAATCAGTCCTACTCAAGCTTACTCATTGTTACCCAAACTTATTCAAGGCTACTCAAGCTAACCCAAACTCACCCAATCCTACTAAAGGCTAAGGTATTCGGGCTGTTTAAGTGTTTATGTCTCAATAATGGGTAAAGTAGATGATGTGAAAGTGTTGTTTATTAAAGAGACAAAATAATATTGTTTATATCTGTTACTATTAAAATCCCTGTAATTCAAATCCTTCTTGTGTAATGGTTGGCTTACACTCTATGTGTGTGTAGTGTACGTGTGCCTGGTGTGTAGCAGTTCCGGAGATTGTTAACTTGCCAGGTTCATTAGCAAGAAGGAACCAGTGTTTGGTTGTGGAGTCTGTTCTTCACTCGCCTTGTTGGACTGGTGTATTATTTTTTTAGAATTCTTTGGTATCAATGCTGCAACATCTTCTTTTAATAAAGATGGATGGCTTTCCTCGTGTACCGAATTTCCAATCAATTCCATGATTTTCGATCCTAAAATGCAATCATTATCGCTTTTGGTGCTGTTTACAAGCGTGTAAATGGAAAAAAGTTGAACGGTAAGCTCTTGAGTGAAAATGCTATAAAATCGGGCAAGAGAATATGTACTTTTTTTGGTGGAATCTTGATCGTAGCTGTCTTATGTAGACTAAAGGATCCATTCTCATGTGTAGTATTTTTCCATTTGATGAATCCGTAGTGTTCTTAGCCAGTTGTATTTATGAAAGTGATAAAAATAATTGTGTTTGCTTGGACGGTGTAAATTGTTTTGTCGATGGGCCAACTTCAGGTCTTATTTTGCTGTCATCAATTCTAATACTTGAGATTACCAATATGTTGAATGCCTTTGTTCCAAGTACTAGTTTTCCCGAATTATCGAAATATACTTTAGTTATTTTCAACATATTGGGGTATTGTGACATGAGATCTGGTGTTGATGATTCTTGAGTTGGTTGTACTTTTTCAAAGTGCACATCAATACAGGGGTATCTACTGTAAGACTCGACACCATTTAAAAGAAGTGCTTTTTTGCCATATACTACGAAAGCACCGGTCAACAGCTGGGAGACACCCATGGACATCCAGGATTGTTTTCTCCAATGAGCGTTCAATAACTCGATATTTTCTTCGATAATTTTTGTATAACTTTCCAATGCTAGAAGTTGGCGATATGGACTTAATTCTAGAATTTCATTCAAAGGTTGGTTGTTGGATGTGTCATTGATATGTATGCAATCAGCAACTGAAATGGTGCTTTCGTAAGGAGTGTTTAGTTTTAATTTCTTCGTGTCTCCTTCTTTAAACTCAAGAACTCTTTTGAACAATGTAGCTGAGGTTAGGGCAGTAAATTTGTGTTGGTTATCATTCGTGGGGTCAGACTCTACATCAAAAGGTATCAAATTTAAGGCCGAAATAACATTTCTGATAATTCGATTGTTTGTTTGACAATTCTCAGGATATAATAAATCTACAGCATGATCTAATAATAGTTTTTCTGCTTTTTTTTTACTTCTGTTGATTCTCTGGGCATGTGCAGTTCTAAAGGCTTCTGAGCATTCACCAGCGATTCGTCAAATTCCAATTCTTTTGACTCTGTTAAGCCTAAAAGATAAAAAAAATTAATATAATATTCTTGAAAAAAAAAACGAACAAAGAATACCATGAAAATATGTTATATGATTGCTTAAAGAATCAAGATCCTCGAACAATTTGTAGTAGCCTGGGAAAGACAATTCTATTTCGTATTTAGGCTTTATAAGTGTTCTTAGACCAGCAATCGCAGATATATCCAGGCTTATTCTACCGACAGCATATGCAAGCCTTAGGCTCAGGGCAGACAAAGAATCGGTGCTTAGACTAGTTGCAAGACCCACAGTGCAGTAGCATCTTAGACCATGTGGCATATATATTGATGTACACTCTTTATAGTCTTCCTCTTATCCTGTGTCAGAACTTTGGGGACAAAAACCTTGGTTGGCTCTACATAAGGTCCAAGATATGGGAGCCCATAGAAAAAAATTCAGCAATGTTGATTTCTTCGTTGACATGTTTTTAGACGTCATGTTGGCTCGTCATTACTATCTTCACAATAGTTCGCCTCTCAAGGGAGGCCTTGCGAACAGCCTTGCGGGACAGCCATGATGCTAATTTTAGGGAGACGACATTTCCTAATGGTGGGCGCCATTTTGATTCTACCGGACCACAAGTCGAAACTTTTTTGCCAGTATGGAATAACTCTATCTGGACTCTAAGGATATATTTTTATTATAATAATTAATACCAGCCAGGATACAGAATCTTTGTATAAAGATTTTTTTGTGCCTTGAAAAAAAGAGTGGATGGGGGTTACTTACCAGCTAATGCTGCTGAACTCTGGTAATATGTAGGTGAAAGAAAGAGAAAGACATGATACACTTAAGAAGGCCAATATAGAATAAAATATTCAACAATATTGCGTCACACTATAATGACAACAACTCACAACCTTCTGCATAACTGGCTATTGATATAGTGCATATGTGACTAATAATTATTATTTCTTTATTGTCAAGTCTAAATCTAAGGTGTAAACAGTTCTTAATTGAATATACAGGAATTCATTTTTGTACGAGACGACATTTCATTATTAAATTACCCAAAGACAGTCTCTAACTATTAAAAGAATGGGAGTTAGGGGCCTGAGAAGATATGTATAAACACAAAGTATGGGGACAAAGTAGTAAAGCTAATGCATACAATAAATATACTGTGTTTCTTTAGGACACACCATTTTGCCCTGAAGGATTAGAGAAAGATACCGGACCCGGGCATGTAGCAACAGTTGATTAGTCTGGCTAGATAGAAATGTAGTGCTCCATCATGAAACGTCGTTCCCGTAAAATTGTTGATTTTTTTTAACTCTATTAGTTTCGAGCAAACACATAATAATAAACTTAAAAACGTTATGCTTTAAATTTGGATTCTCTATTCATCTTTTTTACAAAACAGCTTCACTATAATTATCATACATCATTTTATTGTCTATAAAAAGTCAAACAATCTCTGTAAACTTTTCTTTAAGCCTTTCAAGAACTTAATAACATAATATATTATTTCATCCAGTCTTACAGGAACCTCTTTATAATATAAAAAGTTTACTTTCTGGATAAATCAATTAATCTTCAGTGGCCTTTAATAGCCTTGCTGAAAGATGCAAAATATTGAATTGTGGTAAACATTGATTTTTCTGGATGTTTAGTTTTACCGGGTTTCCCATCTTATATTTAAAAAGAAAAGTTTATTTTTCTGGCTCATAAATAATGTACCTGGCAACGCATATTATCAACTGAACTATACAATAACCTTGACGTCTTTTAGTTTTATCATTATTGGCCAGTAAAAATAAACACATCTTATATATGAAATAAATTATAGTGTAATATTACAGTTTTTTTTATTCAGAGTGTAATGACTATCAAGAAGGCTAAGAGGTAGACTTTTTTTTTTAAAAAAAAAAAGTTAAATTGAACTTTTTGATAATAGGGTAATAAACCGGATATACATGTGTATGTGGTACTATTGGCCGGTGGTCTATACCTATTATTCGAGAAGTCAGAGACTTTGGCGAATGTAGAATAATATTTATTCCATATTTTATTTTCTCTCTCACCTCCGCTCAGTTCCAGTTTTTTTTATAACCTGAAATGAATTAGAATTGATTGGTATTAATCACTGAGGTTCAGATACCACAGGCTTCAAAAAGCATTGTAGGGTCCGCGCCAAAAGACCAATAATCTATCCCAGCTAATGTATTCAAATTCAACAAAAATCTTGTTATTGTTACTGTGGTCATTTTTGAAAACATTGGAGGGTGGTAGCAGCTTTCCCAAGATAATAATACCACAATTTGCGGTCCAGCTGAAATCTACAAAAGAAAGTATCTTGAATTAAACTCTTTGTAAACTAAACAGGCATAGTTTGATACCAATTGAGTGCTTTTGAAGGTTATATTCTGGTACGTACTTATGTCCTCACTTGCCCACGCCTATAAATCGGTTGGATAACTCATAAAAAAAAAGTATACGGCTACTATTGGTTTAAATATTTAAGTAGGCTGGGTTGCTTGGTTAAACCCGATAAAATCAAAGGATCTGTCTTGCCACAAACATACACACGCATATATATAGCTATATCTATAACCAGCGCGTTAAATGTCCATTTAATCAAAGTATTTAATCAATAGAAAAGAAAAAGAAAAAGAAAGGCTTTTTGTTTCTGGGATGTGCTTAATAAAAATAAATTTTGGATACAAAGCTTAAAGAGACAACCTAGAAAAACAGCCTTTTATTTCAAAACTTCAAATGTATATATATAGACCATTGCTTTTAATTTCTACTCTGCTTTTTTTCTTTGCTCTTAATCCTATTGGTTTTTTGAGCTCTTTATCACAGCCTTTTTCTCTTGCATATGAATATTTTATACTTCAAACTGACTTTAAACCTTTTCATTCATACTTGGGTCAGCGAATTAAAAGAGGAAGAGTGAATTTTTGCGTGACGGAATAATTAGCTATTGTCTGCCAAGTTAAGAGATAGGCATGGGGTTATACATATTTATTTGACAATATATTCAACCAGTACAGCTCTATTCTTAGAATTTAATCAATTTATAGACAGTTGCATACATTATTATTAGATATGCACTTTATCAATGCTGTGGTATTATCAATAGAGGCTTGAGTTAAAAGAATTATTAATTGCGCTTCAAAATATACCGCGACAAACGTAATTCTCATTGAATCTCAGGCAAGTTAGAAATTTACTTGCTTTGAGGATTCAGATTTTCGCAAATAATAAACCCATTGTTTAATGGGTTTACTGTTCTCAATGAAATCTAGCCAGAGCTACTATATCAAAATAACAAAGAATTAAATTACATATTTCTTTCAATATTCCCGTGCTTGCGTCTATACACTACAAACATCATTCTTTATCTCTGACGCAGGAAGATACAAAATGTAACACTAATTCATTCATTGTACGGTTTCGATGAAATAATATACTCTGATATACAAGTGCTATATCACCAGATATTGAATCGATAATAATAACAATAGAGTAATAAGTCATGACTACCCTGTGGTTTCACTACCAGATCATAAGAGCCAACATATAATTTCCTATAATGCACCTTTATAGCGTGAGAGGGATACATTCAATATCTAGATATATACGATTTTCTTTTTTTTTATTTGGGTGGGAATTATAGTTGAATTATGCGATATTTTCACAATTGTTTCTTTTTCATCTTTTTCTTCCTCATATCTTTGCTCTCTCTTTTACAGGTATATAAGCAAAGAATAAAAAAAAACATATAATGAACTAGAGTCTCCCAGATAACTAAATTACTGATAGCTTTATATAGTGATTTCCACTAAACTCACCTAGCAAAACAAAATCATTTATCAACAAAGGTTTTTTTTATAACAAAATAAAAATAAAATAAAAAAGAATCAATGATAGTCGGTGTTTATATTCGGGTTTGATTTGTTGCGATATAATGCTTCTCCATGGGTCAGTTATGAATTGCCTTGTACTAAATTGCGTTTGTAGATTGAATTCATTGGACGCAATTTTGAATTTGATTTTGGTCTTGTCTTATGCTCCAATGTTTTCTCTCTCTCTCTCTGTATATATTTATTTTTATTCTATATTTTTTATTTTGGTTTTTTTCCCTGCCTTTATTCCTTTTTTGTTTAGGAAATCGAAAATTCATTTATAGCGGAAGCTAAAAATATTTTCACCGTCAAAGTGCATGCTGCCCGAACCCGCCTATCACCTACTTCTTTCATTTATTCGACTTCTTTTTTTAACATCATCGTCACCCGATTCAATCGTATGTTTTCTTTCTGTTTTCATCGTCTATAGCACCATTTATAGTGCATCACAAACATCTGGATGGACTTGAGGAGGATGGAAAAGAAAGAGTGAAAAGGGAGATGGCGTCAACAAGATTAGATTGAGCAATGTTTAGCTTGGCATCAACGTGTCAGTCTACATCTTGCGCTTTTATCCAAACTTGTGGGCCAAAAGAGACCTTGAGATGTTTATCTCTTTTGATTATTTGTCCTTAATCAAGTAGATTACAAACTCTATAATAACATCTTTTAAGGACCCCTTGTCATCTAACACAAAAACCCTTTCTCTCTTTCTCTCTCTTTCTCTATTCCCTCTTCTTCTTCTTTTCTTCTGTTCTTTATTACTATAGACCTTTTATTTTTTACATGGCAGACCTTTCCGATATCGACGTTGATACCATTATCGAACGGCTACTTGAAGGTATCCTATTTTTTCTTCTTTCTTGCTTATATATATAACATCAACAACAGTGACAACAACAAAGAAAGAAGCAAGAGAAAGAAGTGAAAAATAAAGAAAGAAAATGAGGGTACAAACAAGGGGGGAAGGAAAGTCTGACGTCCGTTTTCATAAAAAAAAATAAAGTAAGAGGCAGCCGCCCGGGCAAGCAGGTGCAATTGAGCGAAGACGAAATCCGGTTTTTATGTACAAAGGCACGCGAGATATTTATGAGCCAGCCTATTCTGTTGGACCTTGAAGCACCTATAAAGATCTGTGGTAAGAGAGCTCAGACTATAATATAGTGGAATAGAAAAGATATTGATTATGGGACATCGTTTATTTCTTTTTTTCTTTATTTTATTTTATTTTAGGTGACATCCACGGACAATATTACGACCTTCTGCGCCTCTTTGAATATGGAGGATTTCCACCAGAAGCAAATTATTTGTTTATGGGAGATTATGTAGACAGAGGCAAACAGTCATTGGAGACTATTTGTCTCTTGTTGGCCTACAAAATTAAATATCCTGAGAACTTCTTTATTCTTCGCGGCAACCATGAATGTGCAAGTATCAATCGTATCTATGGATTTTATGATGAGTGTAAGTATATTGAAACAAAGAGTCTCGTTTTGTTTTGTTTTTCTCTGGTATTTATTTACTTTTGCGCTTGAGACAGGCAAGAGACGTTATAACATCAAGCTTTGGAAGATCTTCACCGACTGTTTCAACTGTCTCCCCATCGCAGCTCTTATTGACGAGAAAATCTTTTGCATGCATGGAGGTCTGTCCCCGGACCTTCAGAGCATGGACCAGATCCGTAGAGTTATGAGACCCACAGATGTTCCAGATACAGGTGTGTAAGGCTAGTGGTGATATGTGTGTTGTTAACCCTTTTTTTCTCTCTTTAGGTTTGTTGTGTGATCTGCTGTGGTCCGACCCTGATAAGGATGTTACTGGCTGGAGTGAGAATGACCGTGGTGTGTCATTTACCTTTGGTGCCGACATTGTTGCCAAATTCTTGCAGAAACATGATATGGACCTCATTTGCCGTGCTCATCAGGTTGTCGAGGATGGCTACGAATTCTTTGCCAAACGGAAATTGGTCACACTTTTCTCAGCACCCAATTACTGCGGCGAGTTTGACAATGCTGGTGCGATGATGAGTGTCGACGATTCATTGATGTGCTCGTTCCAAGTAAGTTCACAAAAACAATAACAATACTTATAATAGACTCTTTGACTTTAAAACCGGCTTATATACTAACATATCCTGTAGATCCTCAAACCAGCAGAAAAGAGAGCAAAGCCAGGATACTCGGCAGGAGCTCTTCCCAGTGGTCGACTTCCCGCACCAAAAGGAGGAAAGAAATAAGGAGTTTAAGGCACCCCACATTTATTTAGCAATTAAAGATCAGTTGTTCGTTATTCAAGAAAGAAAAGAAAGCTACGAGAGAGCTGAATGAACGCCCAATGAAGTACATCTTTACCAAAGGAGGAGCAGAAGCATCACTACTGCTATAATTTCTTCCTTTTATTTACCTGACAATCGATCATGAACCATCCTTATCACCTCTGTTTAGCTACATTTATGGCTAAGTAAGTGGCTAATTCTTACTTTTGGTGCAGTGAAACCCATTGTTGCACGAACTATAGATGGCCATCCTCATGGATCAATAAAAATGGCTCGTTTTGGGTATGCATGTTGCATACTGCAGAAACCAAACAATATGAGCGATTGTGGCCATTTCTTTTACGTACACACACATTCTTTAAAAGCTTTCTAAATCTGAAACAAGACCTATCAACACATACACATAGTAGCTATTGGCTACAAAAGCTTTATATATATATATATATATATAAATAATTTCTGTTTATTATTAAGTTTTAAGGTTATTTCTTAGTAAGCCAGTAGAATGTTGGACTTTTATGATATTCATTAGTTTGAATCAATAAAAAGGTCATGGTTTTTTTTTTTGAAATGACCAAATGTCCGTGATCCGCCAATGCAAACGATTCAACGTGGGCTACAATCGGTACGACACTTGTATGTGACACCTTACTGTTTACCCTGTCATTATATATGCAGAAAAGAAAAGGAGCGTACTCTGTTGTTCATTAGACACTCAATTGATTTGTTGATCCTTTAACAATAAATGGTGCCAAGTATAAAATTACCTCTATCTAATAAATATTATCTAGGAACTCTTTGATGACATGTGTATCTATTGACATTACACACCAAATTCAAAGTAGTTAATTGTGGCTTTTGTGTCACAGTATGCGATCATTGTGTGATACTCGCGCCATATTTATTTGTTTTAACAAGCCAGAGTTAGAAAAATCACAGCCTCCTTCTTTAAAAGGATAAACCAAGGTAGAATATTTGATTCTAGCACTCATTAATAAAGACTGCTACTGAATCCTGTCAAGTTAAAAAGAAAAGGGGCGATACAAAGATTTAGAATTGTATCGCTGTGGCTTCAGTACTCCTACAAACTTGGCACAACTTCTAGGTAATATATGTGATTTTTAAACCTTTTAATTTGGAATTTCACTTACTATCTTTTAAAAACTTGTGTAGAAATTTGCTTATAACGCTTCTTCTAATTGGATTTATATTAATGTGACTGGATTGCTAATCTTCAGTAGGCCAACGCTTGTCTCTATGAATTGCATCAGTGCTAGTCTTTTCAATATATTTATTTATTTTTAATAATTATAAAAAATCAACTACACGTTCAATACATAATATCAAAGGCATTATATATTTAAATACTATGCTTGGCAGCAAAAGTAAATTAATACTTAAAAGCTTCTCGTATTTTATTTTGCTTGATGTATTTTTCGATCTTGGATCATTTTAATTGTGCAAATTGTATATTACATAGTGTATATTTGTATTGTAAGACATGTATATCAGTGTAGAATCCATAAAAAAATCAAAATGGTAAGAATAATATGTTTATTAAAATATTGTTTTTTTTTATATGTAAAAGAAACAAAACAATCATCACCCCTCTATTGGTATTTAAGAGCGTCAAAAATTCAAAATGTCTATGTGTATTAATGTGTGCGTATATTTTTTTTACTCTTCAGTCTTGGTTGTGTTTGTGCGACGGCCTCTACGAATAGCCCATCCATATTGTTTTGGAAGAGATACCTCAACACCAAGTTCGGTACCAGCATCAGTTACCCAGGCTACCCGGCGAAGATGCTCGCGTCCAATCACAACGTAGTCGGCCTTCTCCTCCTTCAGAATAGACTCGGCGTCTTTTCCTGTACGAATGTTACCAACAGAAGCGGTTGGGATCCCAACCTTTGTTCGAATGGCCTCAGAAAATGGGACTTGGAACATGGATGGAGGTGGGTACTTGGCGTAAGATATGTTTCCTCCACTAGAAACATCAATAACGTCGACTCCAAGTTTCTTTAATTCTTTGGAGAAAACAATCGACTGATAGATATCCCATCCCTGCTTGTCTTCTCCCATGGCTTCGGGATTAGCAAAATCGGATGCAGAAATGCGAACCCAAAGCGGTTTGTGCTCTGGCCAAACAGCACGAACGGCACTAACGACCTCCAATGGGAACCTCATACGATTCTCGAGAGATCCACCATAATTGTCAGTACGCTTATTGGAGTTACCAGACAAGAAGTTGTGCAGCAAATATCTGATATAAATAAAATGTCAGTGTAAGCTAAAAAAAAGTAAAAAAATAACAACATTTTTTTTATATTTAATCTTACCCATGAGCAGCATGAATCTCAAGGATTTCAATACCAGCTTTATCAGCACGAATGGCTGCATCAACCCAGGTCTTTACACTGTGCTTGATACCCTCTACAGTTAATGGTATGGGCTGAGGATAGTGATCGGCGAACTTGACATCACTTGGACCATAAACATTATCTGGCCAGCCGCCGTCTTCTTTGGATACAGTGTAGTTTCCTAGGAAGGGGGGTGCTGTGGATGCCTTGCGGCCGGCGTGTGAAATCTCCATAGCTGGTACAGTTCCTTGGGACTTGAGAAGAGCAGCTATACGCTTCACGGGTTCGATCTGTTCATCATTCCACAAGCCAGAATCTCCGGGTGAAATACGTCCTTCAGGAACAACGGCTGTTGCTTCAATAATGATTATTCCAACACCACGAATAGCCCAGGCACCATAATGAGCGAGATGAAAATCAGTAAGAGATCCGTTTTCGGCTGAATACATGCACATGGGAGATACAACAACACGGTTGTGAGTAGTAATTGATTTCTGAGTGATGGGCTGGAATAGCTTGACATCATGTTCGGCAGAGGCAGGAATGGTACCGGCAGGGGCCTTGGCATTTGAACCGGCAATTATTTGAATAGTAGACATGTTGAAGAAAGGCTAGGTTGTTGAAGAAGCAGTTGAATAAAATTATTTTGATATCCATGATGGCCCTTTATATATACGTTTTTTTTTAGTAATCAAAAAGATATCATTTTTCGTAAATCATTCTTTCTGGAGCGAAACACCAGGCAGATTTGATTTGCAACCAATGGGCTCATAAACGCAAATACCTTTATCCTTTTGATATAAGAGGAAAGTGTCAGTCAACGGCAATATATTTACCAACACAAACGTGTTACAGCTCCCCTTATCCATCACTTAAACCATACAAATTGTACTTTTTAAATTATTTATAAATATGTGATGTAATTACTACACATTATCCTACTCCCTGGCTCACTAATACACAAACCTGTTTTAGACAACCCAAGAGACTCAAGGTCTGGCCCACTATAATGTTTTTGTGTTGAATGAAAATATATTCTGTGCTTGTTGTATTATTATTTTTTGGGCTAATATACAGGTTTTATCTATTTTAAGCAATCGTTGACACTGAGGTTCTATGGTATATAAACTTTTATTATATAAAGCTACTTTTGGTGATATTCTCTGGATCCAGAGTCATATTATTGAGTTTGGGTGTGTTATTAATTTAAGAATAGCAGTTTTCTCAATAAATATGAATTGCCTCTTTAGGACACTTCAAACGACTGTACTCATTACCCTGCGTCTATTCAAATAACTTTAAAAATACCATGGGAGATATTTTATCACAAAGCCTTTATTATGAATTGTACTTGAACTTAAACAGTAAAGATGAACATTTAACAAAAACAAATTAAATATTACAGGTAGCAGTTATCTAGCTATGTTCAATGTTTTTGCTTCTTGCATTAAGCCAAACAATCAGAATTTAATCAAATGAGAAGTCATGCTGCCTATATATCTCCCTTTTCCTGTAAGTAAAATACAGCAAGATTTTTTTTTCTCATGTATCCATAAAAAATATGTCACTTACTGCCAATTATGAACGAAGCTTGTTTGTTAAGCATATCGACAGCTTATTTGGAGAACATGTGTTTTCTCTAAATACATATAAAAAGTTGTTGTACTAATCAACAGAGACAGAAAGAAAAAAGATTATAAATTTCTTACAAATTTCTTACAAATTCCCAATTCATACTTTACCCAAACCACTGGAATTCAACTATGAATATCCCAGTAATGGGCAAATTCTATAATATCATAAAATAACCCAATTTGCTACATTGGTACACATGTGTATCTTTGGGAAAATCTGCCTTTGGAAAAATCTAGATTAATTACTCTTTAATAATGTCATTGTGAGTGCATTGTCTCACTTTACAGGTTATTGTGTTATACACATATATCTTATCTAGGATATTGTTTTCGTATAATATACATGCAAGATTGAGAATTAGAGTCATACACACACACACATATATATATATATAACCTGAAACCAAACTGCCGGATCGAACATTCAAATAACAAACATTCATCGTAGTCTTGTAGAGATCTACTTGCATTCATTTGTTCATTTGATGGTTCTCATTATTTGTACTATGCTTTTATTTTTTTTATAAAAATGAATATCACAGAGAATTATTCTATACAAAAAAGTTTCGTACTCTTTGAAACTGTGTTACATCCAAGGATACCAACATCCGAAATGTTTATATTTATATGTACAAATAAACTACAAGAACATTGGTGTTCAATAAAAAGAATTATCTAAAAGCTATTATGCATTACAGTGGATATAAGTAAAATCTACATGGGTGAGTCTAATTCTAACGGGATTTGTATAACTATCAAATAGACAGTTTATACATGCTATCTATTAAACTGCCTGATTCAGAAAGCGATATCTTGTCGGCCAAGAGTTTAGGAGTATCTTTTTTAGGAAAACAAGTTTTAAGAATACATCCACTACCGACAATGATGTAATCAGCTTGATATTTTTGGAGTATGTACTCTGCCTCTTCACCAGCGCATGTTGATCCAGTCGCTCCAGTTTGGATACCAACTTCATGCTTGATAACATTGGCCAATTGGGCTTGACATGTGGAAGGTGCGGGGTACTTGATATTCATTGTAGTGGTACCATTGGCAATTGCAATGGCATCTATGCCGATCTTTTTCAGCTCCTTACAAAACTCAATAGCTTGATAAATATCCCAGCCATCACGGTCACAGCTTAGAGGATCAGAATCAGAAAAATCAGTTGCAGGAAGGCGAAACCAAAGAGGTTTTTCGTCTGGCCAAGCAGCACGAACAGCCCGTGCAACCTCCAATGGAAAACGCATTCGATTCTGAAGAGATCCACCGTAGAAATCAGTTCTATTATTTAGATTTCCAGACAAGAAATAATGAAGCAGATGTCTTTTTAAAAAATAAAATAAAAGTGCGAGGACAAAGAGGTTGTCAGTGCTTAGAACTTTGGCAATATGATAACAGTGTGGCATATTACCTATTAGCAGCATTAATCTCGAGAACTTCTACGCCAGCTCTGTTGGCAAGAATTGCAGAATCAGCCCACTTTTGTACATTAGCTCTGATCTCCGTTACCGTGAGTTCGTTTGGCTGTGGATCGCTACCCGTATATTTGAGATCACAGGCGCTATATTTTTCTTCTGGCGAGTCGTCGTCTTCGTCTGGAGTCACACGGCTACAAATTAAGTGTGGTACGATAGATAGCTTACGGCCGCTGTGAGAAAGCTGAATACCAGGAACTGATCCCTGCGCCTTGATCAAATTTACTACACGCTTTAAAGGCTCGACTTGTTCGTCTTTCCAGATGCCAGAATCGTATGCCGTAGTCCGTCCACATGCTTCGATAGCTGTCGCCTCGATAATAATTAATCCTGCGCCATGAGCAGCCAAAGATCCATAATGTAACAAATGAGAGTCTGTAAGACACCCATCTTTGGCAGAATATGTATTTATAGAAGGAAAAACGATGCGATTATCCAAAGTAATTGATTTTTGAGTTGTTGGTTGGAGAAGCTTGGTATTATTAGGCTCTGTGGAGACAAAAGAAAACCATTTGGTGGTTTTTGAAGTTGGGCAAGAAGTGATGAGAGTAGCGGCCATTTTCAGGTGTTAACTGTCGAATGGAAAGTGTAGTGTAAAGTGTAAAGTTAGAGTATTAAAGATATTAAATTGTTTGATTAAGATAACTCATCTTTAATTTTTATACAGATTGCTTAGCAATTGATTGTAAATAGGTCTTGCTGAATAATAAATTATGATCAAGTAATATCCGTACACGAGTTTACCAAGGGTAAAAGAATTGAAGAACTTGACCAAGAGCTTCATAGGACTCTGTGGCTTGATTAAAAAAAAATAAAAAATCTACGTCAAAGAAAATCATTTTTGCTCCAATAAAATAGGTCGATGTATTATTTACGGCAAACTGGTTACTCTAATAGAGTGTTCCTATTATTCTACGGTGTACTTTATTTGTAATCAATTATCAATAAGAACAATAAGAATACTAATAAGAATAATAAAAATAATCATTACCGCAGTTTAACTGTACTGCGGATCAATTTTTATAAAATTGAAACAGTCGAATAGTAAAATATTATATTTACCAGAATAACATAGCTTACATAAAATTCGTGTAGATTGAACTCGAACTTTCTCTGCGATTGATGTTCTTTAATATGTAGGGGTTTAATTAAAATGATCATTTTATATTAGTTTTTTTTTCTTAACACTCTATTTCATTTCATTTTTATTCTTTTAAACTTTTAAGCACGATCACTGTCTAATACAACCTACACGGAAAGAAGGCTATGGGAAACCCAACAAGCATTAAAGTACTATATTTTCTTTTTATTAGAATAAATAAACCTCGATTCTTGTCTCCCGAAGCATTTCAATGCAAAAGCATCCAAATAGAATATACTTGCAGTATATAGTTCAATTTTCAGCAAGTATTATCGAAATAAGATGGTTTTTAAACAGGCTGAAGTGCTTTCATAAATCACTTTTATTCAATGATTAATATATGACAATATGCACAATAACTTTTTCTATGAATCTAACTTAATGATGATTGTTTTCTTGATAGAAAATATCTTTCTCGATCTCTTCAAGATTAGGTAAAAGAAATGTATTTTGGTAGTAGTTTAATGAAAATTGACGATATTGAAATGGCAAAAGCACAGTATTTTTTTTAGCATTTATCCCTAAGCAAAATAGAAAAAAATGGCTTATTTTATAAATTCATCCAAATTGACTTTTATTGTGCAAATTCTGTGTAAATTCAATGAAGGCAGTGCTTGCGTATTCAATCCGCATCACGCCTTTTCTGTCTCTCTTTCAAACGTATATTTCTTTATTTCTTCTCCTTTTTCCTTTCTCCCATTCCAATGCATCTTCTTTACAATGTTCATCCGGATTAGCTAAATTCAGCTAAACATTTCGCGCCATCGGCATTTTCAACAATCATTCTGAATTTTCTTTATAGACTTTATAGACATAAACAGCCTACACAATTAAACGCAGTGATCAACATAATTACAAAATCATACATGTTATATATTTATTCTATTTTGTTTCTTTTTCAGATTTATTCGATTAGACTGATTTTTCTTATAAATGAGCTCTCTTAATTACAACATTGACATCTTCAATCAAGTAAAAAAAAAAAGTTTAAAAGCGTGTTTTTTTTTATTGGAGACGATACTAATTAAAAAAGACTTTATTTATTTATTTAAAGATATACATAAAGAAACTATTCTATTTGATTTAATTTCACTTAATGTTCTTTTACATGAGGAAAAGAATAAAAAGCATGACACCAAGTTCTTTGTCCCCGCATTACGCGGCTCAATCTCCTTCAGGACGTAAACCTGACTTGGTAGCGAAGGAGGTGCTGGAATGGTGGCAAACCAACGGAAAGCACCCGTTCATCCAGCCCCACATCTCGTCACCGAGTAATGTGGGTGCGAACTCGCCAGAGAACTTACCACTAGGTGATAAGGTCCAGCTCATTCGACTACCAGTAGCTTCACCGTCAGCCGTTAAAGAGTTCAGTCAGGTTAGCAGTGAAGAGCCAGCACATCTCACCACAGGTTAGACCTCCCTCCCCCCAGCATCATGATTCCACATTGGCGATGCGATGTACACAGTAGTCTTTCCAAAAGAAAAGAGACCATGCCCCACGACTTCTCAGAATTAACTGAGCTGGCGAGTAACAACTTTCACTTTCCGATGCTTGTAGCATGGAAGAATCTCCCTGCAACGGTCGCAAGAGACGCCTCACTATGAAACCGGGACTGTTGTTGCTCAAGGAGAAAACAAACGATGCGCGTTGGAGGAGGTCTATATGTAACAGAAAATTTTTTCATCTGCGATTAAAGTTTAGGACTGCGCTTTTTGTCAGGCCTGACGCTCACGTCAGAGCAAACGTGATATAACTTTATATTCTTTTTTTAGTGGGATTGTGTAACTGTTCTACAGCAAAAGGGACAGCTAATACTATTTACTCAAAGTAGTTATGTCAGCGACTTTCCAAAGTGAAGTAAAGTAAATCAAAGAAGCAAAGATATAATGAAGTAATGAAGGGTTTGGTCTTGATCGGTATAGCAATAACTCTAAATCTGGAGTACAAGTTTCCATAACAGCGATTTGTAGGTTACTCTAGACTGGTCTGTGCACCTTTTGTTCAAAGGCACAAGAGAAAGTTATGTTTTCTTTTGCTTGTAAGAGTAGACACGAAATTGATTCAATATTTACTAGTAAATATTCCCGTATACTTTAAAACGATACTAAACAATAAATAAAAAGTAGAAAATAAAGCAAAAAGTATGTATATACGCATTATCTGGGTCTCGACACAATAGGTGGCGGAATGCTGAATTCCAGGTTGAGTCTTATTGAACTGAGGTTATACCTTCACAGCATATGTATTGTAAGACACATATATCTGCAGAATTTACAAAAGAAAATCAAAATGATAAAAATAATGTATTTATTAAAATAATGGTTTTTTACAAAAAAAAAACAAAACAACCATCGACCCTTTATTGGTATTCAAGAGCGCCGAAAATTCAAAAATTATACGTGTATTAAGGTGTTTATGTTGCTTTTTACTCTTCGGTCTTGGTTTTGTTTGTACGACGACCTCTATGAATAGCCCATCCGTATTGTTTTGGAAGAGAGACCTCGACACCAAGCTCGGTAGCAGCATCATTTACCCAGGCTACCCGGCGAAGATACTCGCGTCCAATCACAATGTAGTCGGCCTTCTCCTCCTTCAGAATAGACTCGGCATCTTTTCCTGTACGAATGTTACCAACAGAAGCGGTTGGGATCCCAACCTTTGTTCGAATGGCCTCAGAAAATGGGACTTGGAACATGGATGGAGGTGGGTACTTGGCGTAAGATATGTTTCCTCCACTAGAAACATCAATAACGTCGACTCCAAGTTTCTTTAATTCTTTGGAGAAAACAATCGACTGATAGATATCCCATCCCTGCTTGTCTTCTCCCATAACTTCGGGATTAGCAAAATCGGACGCAGAAATGCGAACCCAAAGCGGTTTGTGCTCTGGCCAAACAGCACGAACGGCACTAACGACCTCCAATGGGAACCTCATACGATTCTCGAGAGACCCACCATAATTGTCAGTACGCTTATTGGAGTTACCAGACAAGAAGTTGTGCAGCAAATATCTGATATAAGTAAAGTGTCAGTATAAACTAAATAAAGTACTAGAACATAATCTTTTCTAGCTTAAACTTACCCATGAGAAGCATGAATTTCAAGGATCTCGATACCAGCTTTATCAGCACGAATGGCTGCATCAACCCAGGTCTTTACACTGTGCTTGATACCCTCTACAGTTAATGGTATAGGCTGAGGAAAGTGATCAGCAAACTTGATAGCACTTGGACCGTAAACATTGTCTGGCCAGCCGCCGTCTTCTTCCGATACAGTGTAGTTTCCAAGGAAAGGGGGTGCGGTGGATCCCTTGCGACCGGAGTGTGCAATCTGTATAGCTGGTACAGCTCCTTGGGACTTGAGGAAAGTAGCTATACGCCTCACTGGCTCGATATGCTCATCACTCCACAAGCCAGAATCTCCGGGTGAAATACGTCCTTCAGGAACAACGGCTGTTGCTTCAATAATGATTATTCCAGCACCACGAATAGCCCAGGCACCATAATGAGCAAGATGGAAATCAGTAAGAGATCCATTTTCGGCTGAATACATGCACATGGGAGATACAACAACACGGTTGTGAGTAGTAATTGATTTCTGAGTGATGGGCTGGAATAGTTTGACATTATGCTCGATAGAGGCAGAAATAGTGCCGGCAGGGGCCTTGGCATTTGAACCGGCAATTATCTGGATAGTAGACATTATTGAGAAAGAAAAGGCTGGTAAAGAAGTAGTTGAATGAAATTATTTTGATATCTACAATGGCCCTTTATATATACGTTTTTTTTAGTAATCAAAAAGTCATCTGCTTCCGTAAATAATCTTTTCTGAAGTCAAATGCCAGACAGATATGATTTGCAATCAATGGGCTCATGGACGAAAACACTTTTATTATTTTGATATAAGAGGAAAGTGTCCGTCAATGGCAATATATTAAGCAGTACATAGGTGTTACAACGCCCCTAGTCCATCACTTGAAGCATACAGGTTTAACTTTTTGCTTATTTATAAAGATGTGATGTAATTACTACACATTATCCTGCTTCCTGATGCACAAAAACTGTTGTATTCAGCAGAAAAGACTAAAGGTCTGGCCCACTATAGTGGCTTTATGTTGGAAGAGGATATAATTTGTGTCCACTGTATTATTGATTGGGTTTGTAGACAAGTCTCATACTCTCAGTAATTACTGACAATAATATTGTTTGATATATATATTTATATTCCTTTTATCAAGTTACTTTTTACAATATTATATGAATTCAGGTTCATATCGGTGCGTTTTAGTGTACATCATTTAAGGTATTCTTCTAGATGCTCAGCATAATTCCCAACAAAAATATACCTAAATTGATTCAATTGACAAATATAAAAATTGACGCTATTATTATGGATGAAATGTAACAATAGGGGATGTCAACAGTCTCATAAGCTTTTTAGATTTATACTTCTGAGCTTAAAGTACATATACTATTGGTCTAAATTAAGCTATAAACATAAAAGGCTATAAACAAAAAGTCTTCAATCTAGGACTTGAAGAATTTTATTATTTTCATTTATCAGCCCTTATTAAACAAGAGTACAAAGCTAAAAAGCTTATGAGACTGTTGACATCCCCGGATGCCAGTACAGTGTTTCTACTTGAAATTCCAAGTCGTTTCAATTTCAAGTAAGAACATAGTATTGTACTTCCTGAAACCTGTCAAAACTTCATAATTAGTATGAACCAAAATACAGTGAAATTCAAGTTGATTTGATCAGCAGAAAAGCAGGGAAGCAATATAAAAGGCGAATATACACTAGTTTTAGATTTTAAAATGACAAAAATTATAATGCTTGTTCTTACAATCAAATTTAAGGTTTTGTTTTATTATATTTTACCAATAGACAATTTAATACTAATATACCCTTTTTGTAGTTCCGAATAATTGAAGAACATTTGGATGAATACAAAACTAATAGCGAAGAGATATCTAAAGTCTTACTTTTTCAAAACTGCTAGCCTTAATGTGTCTAAGCTTAAAGGACACTTCATTAGCTATATATATATTTTTTTAATAAAGTAGAGATATCACATATCAAAAGTATTTAAAAGGCTGTCAATAAGTATAACTTTTATCATTTTAAAAGCTAGCTTTAGTGGACATTTGCCATTCCTATTACTGAACTACTTTTCAGCTGCTCAAACCAACTTGAATTTTACTGTGTTATGGATCAAACTAATTACTGAATTTGAACATATGTCAGGAAATACAATACAGTCTATTGTTACATTAATATCATAATAATAGCATCAATTTTTGTGTTTGTCAATTGAGTCAATTTTGGTATTTTTTGGGAATTATGCTGAGCACCCTAACTAATGCCTTAAAGAGTAATAAAAATTCCTGGTTAAATTCATTACCACTTTAGTGTATTTCAAACGACTGTACTCATTACCCTGCGTCTATTCAAATAACTTTAAAAATACCATGGGAGATATTTTATCACAAAGCCTTTATTATAAATTGTACTTGAACTTAAACAGTAAAGATGAACATTTAACAAAAACAAATTAAATATTACAGGTAGCAGTTATCTAGCTATGTTCAATGTTTTTGCTTCTTGCATTAAGCTAAACGATCAGAATTTAATCAAATGAGAAGTCATGCTGCCTATATATCTCCCTTTTTCTGAAAGCAAAGTACAGCAAACTTTTTTCTCGTGTATCCCCAAAAGAAATGTCACTTACTGTCAATTACGAGTAAAACTTGTTTGTCAAACAGATTGCTAGTTCATTTAGCAAACATATGTTATTTCCAGATATAAAAAAGGGGGATTTCTGTACTAATCAACAAAGGAAAATAAAAACATTTATTACAAATCTCTTACAAATTTCTAAGTTAAGCTTTATCCAAACCACTGCAATTAAGTTATGAGTATCCCGGTAATATACAATCTATGTAACACCATAAAGTAACCCGATTAACTACTTTGTTACACGTATGTACTTTTGAATAAATCTACCTTTGGAAGAATCTAGATTAATTGCTCTTTAATACTGTCATTATGAGCGTATTTTCTCACTTTACATGTTATTGTTATACACATATACTATATTTAGGATGTTTTTTTTATATACTAAACATATGGCATCGATCATTTGAGGTATACCCGTAATAGCCATTATCCAAATTGGAATATATATAACCTTAAACCAAACTGCTGGAACAAACACTCAAATAACAAACATCTATCGTAGTCTCGTAGGGATCTACTGGTATTTATATGCTCCCTTGATGGTTCTTATCACCTTTATTATGATTGATTTTATAGGAATAGATACTGCAGAGAATTATTTTATAGAACTATAGCGTCTTATTTGAAATTGTGTTACAGTCAAGGATGTCAGCATCCGAAATGTTAACATTTATATGTACAAACAAACTACAAAAGAAATTTGTTGTCTGATAGGAAGGGCTATCCAAGGACCGTTAGATACTATTTTTACTAATGTTCTGTACCTGAGAAACTACGATAAATTTCAGGCAAATATATATATAAAAAAAAGAGTATTTGACTTTGTCATTATTGGTCTTTGATGGAGCTCAAATGAGTTCAAATGAGAAATCATCCTTTTGAAGAAGAAGCATAGGACCCAAGGACTCGAAAAACCTGAAACAGAGTACTTGCTCTGAGCTCTTTGAAATTTTTGTAGCTATTCTTTGCTCAGATTTAATGTTTGTTTTTATGGATTGTGGACCAATTTAGGACTTTCGCACTACTTTACCCAACTTGAAGAGAAATTTATTTAAAATTCTTTTTGATATTTATTTACTTATTATGTACAAACCATTAATGACAATATTGTATGTCCTGCGTTCTTGAGATGCGATTTTTCAAGGGCCCTTGAACAATAATATGGCTTGTTCCGAATTGTAGAATTTTTATTGAATTCACTTTTTGTGTGTGTACAACGGACCCGATCTTTTTCTCAAAGAGTGATTTGACATCAGTGATATACACAGCTGCCTTTATTATGTGGGCAAGTTGTGTAAAATCGAAGAAACCTTTAGATCTAACAACAAACTCCAAGAACCCAAGTGTTGTCCGAATGATCTTGTGTGCGGGATATTGTATTAAAGTCTAGAATATCGCATTCTATTTTGATGGTAAACATATTATTTGGTTGAAAGTAATAAGCAATATATGCACATTATTATCTAGAGAAGCACAGATGCAACTATACTTCAATTCATATTTGTCAATAAACTTAGCAAGTCAACAGTTTCAATAAAACTTGTCGTTTATACCAGCCATTACGAAATGGACAATTTGATTGCAGTTAAATTTTAATTCTAGTATATAAGTAACCGTACTCTCCTTTGTTTAATGAAAAGTGTTCAAGGTATTCAGAAAAGTTCAACTTTTGAGTTTTTGACTAAATACTCTATATTTGACCGCCTAAAAGTAAAGCATATCCAAAAAGTTCTTCCGTATTGTCTTTGGAGTCAAGTATTAAAATAATAGTATCTTATTTCTAACTCGAAGAGTAATACTCTATATAGATAGGAGTTTGACATAAGAACAAATAAACAGAAACCTTGTTTATAAAGATTTCTTTGTGCTTTTATTTTCTCATGGATTGATTTGGACAGAATCAAAGGTGGCCACATAATTATATCGGCTAAAGTGTATTTGATGTCAAGGTTTATTTAAAAGAATATAAAGATATTGTAAGATAGTAAAGTAGTGCATTAAATATCAAATAAAGAAAGAAGTCTGTGAAATAATAATAATAAAAATAATAATAAAACATTCAAGATTTGGCCTTAATCGATGTTCATGCAACCATTGGGAGGACAAAATCTTTACATAAAAACTCCCTCTTTCTTTTTCTACTCCGAACTGGTCTGTGCGTTTCTTACACAAAGACAAAAGATTGATGAAATGTGAGCCGACACAAGAATCATGGCAGCCACAGTATACATGGTCAATGATTAGTCAGAGTGAAAATGAAAGTGCCTTGGGATTTACTAAAGTAAGTACTAGTTCTATTGTTGATTCTTGTAATTCCAAATCAAATTTTACACTGGGAAAAGACTGGATATTTTGAAGTTGTGGTTTTATTTTTGGCTTATAATAATTAAAAAAAATCACCAAAAACCAAAATTGAAACAAAAATGACTGCTTTCTCCAGTGAGATTTCCAGCGAAACCCCCATTTTTTTTTCCTGTAGTGATTATTTTATTGCGACTTTTCACATTGGGTAGCCTTTATGGTCAGGCTGAAAGGACAGTCTGACAAGATATAATGGAAAATAAGCGCTACGTCACCCATGATTATTACTTTATGTTATATACACTTTTTTTTCGGGGGGTCATACTGTTATATTTGTTTATAACGATGATTGGAGATTCTTGACTCAATTGCGGTTTGCCTGTGCCCATATTTCTGTTGGTGCTATTATTATCAACAAGAACAACGAAGCCATAATTATTAACACCGGGGAAACATACAATAGACAACGAACACTTGATGCTCATAGAGAAACGTTTGTCAATAAGAAGGAAATGGCAGTAGTGTCATTTTTGCTACCAGTAGAAACCAAATATTACAACGCGTAGGTAAAGATTATGGGAGATACTGATGGCAGTAAGCTAGTTGTGGAGACCAAAATATTAAATGACATAATCACTCCAAGTCTCCTAATTGATTCTATTCACCAATCGAGTATTTTTTGGGAATCATTTTACATTTCGACTGGGACGACAACACCGCTTTGAAAACTCTGGTATTCTTGGACGATGAGTCGATTAAAAAAGCAGACATATTAGCAGATAATCTTAATACAGGCAATATAAATTGCTCTTATCTAAGATACCAATTTCGACACTTGCGATCTAAATGTCAATACTCTTCAGCTTATCTCCTGTCGTTTATCAAACTTTTTTTTTCACAAATATCTACGATCACAGCCATATACCATTTTCACGTTATATGAAGCACTTTACACGGGCTACGATTCGGCAGCAAAGATTGCCCCCAAACTTTTCTTTTATTATATTGCTAGTCTGGTCCATTCCAGTACTCATCCGCCTCTTCAGAGACAATATATAAACACTCTATTCGTGAAATACCAAGACGGTCAAATGAAATATATCTTACAACAAATCGTTGACGTATACCATGGAGACAAAGATACGATCGATATATTGAACAATCATTTTCTCGGTGCGCTATTAACTCTTCTGGTTTCCTTGATATCAGAAAGTCTCGTTTCCACAAACAGGATAGAGTATATGTCACAAATTTGTACTCTATGTATGTGACTATGAGCAATAAATGGAACATGTTTGGTTCACAACATTTGAAAGAAAAGAAAAGAAAAAAAAAATACAGATCTACAGGTAGTATTTATTGTATAAAGGTTATGGGGGAGAAAAAAAATTACACGGAACAGAGAACGTCAAACTTCTCTCGGTCTGGGACCTCTTTGATAGCCTTTTTGTAGATATGATTGGCTTTGTCAAACTTTTTCTGCGAGCGCAGGTATGCAATGTATGAAAGGTAAATGTCTATTTTAAACATAAGAAATAAGTACAAAGTGGCCAATTTAATATTGATAATAATACTATATGTTATATAAAGTACATACCTTCTTTGTCGCCATCCATTCGCGTTGCCATGTCATACAACTGTTCTGCCTCGCTGGATGTGTCGTGTTCCTTGCTCTCTTCCTCTTCAATGGCAAGACATGTCTTGAAGAAAGCAAAGGTAGGGTACATGTTTTTGATGATGGATTTGTAGGTGGCTCTGGCTCCTTCGATGCCAGATGCTCTTGATGCCCATTTTACATGACTGGACATGATCAAGTCCTTGATTTTGTTACGATCGTTTGTGGATAATGTTACAGAAGGTAAGAGTTGAGTGATTGTGAATCCAGCATCCTTTTGAAAAAATAATAATTTTTTTTGTTAGTCTGATTTTTTTTTATAAAAAAGAGTGGCCTTTTTTGTAGTATAACATACAGTGTATATTTGATTGGTTTCTTCAGTTGAGAATGTCTTTAACTCCCATTGACGCATAATCCAGTCGTTATATGAAGACCACATTGTGTATGATGCAGGGTTCTTTTCTAGTGCCTTTTTATAAAGTGCCTGTTGTGATTCGTCTGCTTCATTTATGTGTGTAAGTATTCGATCCTTTTATTAGGACCATTTGTCTCTTTTTTTTTGGTGTTATAAGTCTTACCTTTTCCTCCTTCTACTTGTGCAAGATCGATTCTATACGTCCACAAATTTGCGTTTTGGGGGAAAGCCTTTACAGCCTTTTTGGCTACTTCTTGTGCTATTTTTTTTTTAAATGTATTAGCTACTAGTGTATAACAAAACTCCGGCCATTCTAGTTTTTTTCTTCTTTACCTTGTAAATTGTTGTTTTCGCTTTGCAGTTGTTTGATCCAGATCTCATAAACCTTTTCGGACACAAGACCCTTCTTTTGACATGCCTTGAATGTCTTTTGCAACAGTTTTGTGAGGTATAGTTTCTAAATCAAGATACAGTATTAGTTCATCGTGCCTCTTTCGTTTCTTTTCTTTCTTTGAAAATTAATCTATAAATAAATTACCAAGTTTTCTTCTGACACGGTTTCTTTCCAGTTTGTAAGGAACTCAACATAAAGCATCCACATTTCTGGTGATGTCAATTCCTATTATATCAGCAAAGAACAAAACACCCATAAATCAGGATCTGTAGGTAGAATGCATCCCGCATAAGCATTTTACACACCTCAACAGCAACCTCAAAATCTGCTACACAAGCTCTGATAGCTGTTACAAATCTAGGATCAGATACTGAGATGTATTTGGATTCTTCTGATTCTTCTGCTTTTTCCGATCCAGTCTGTGTGTTATCAACGGTCGTCTCAAACAAGTGTCTTTCTGCAAGGTAAGCACGTGCTTTGGGAGATGTTGCCATATCACGCATGATTGTGTCGAATACATGTTTGCAACCCTCTTCTACGTCAGTAAAGATGCGATAAATATTGACAAAACCAGCACGGAACTCAAGGTCATTAGGAATTGCTAAATATTGGTAATTAGTCACACACGTATATATATATATATATATACAGAATGGAAAGAAAAAGTTAGTATATTTTCTGGTATATGATGATAATAGCCATAGCTGTCTTTTCTTACCCTGGATAGCATTGTTGTACACGATTTTTGCCAAAAGTCCACGAAGAATGGGGTTAATGCCCTCTTTCAATGCATTTGCGGATGATTTCTCCAAAGTGTCCACTGTCTTTCTTTCTTTGCTCTCGTTGTTCCAATCCTGTACCATCTCTCCTGTGATTGTTGGTAGTCTGATAACGTTGCCGTCATCTTCGGTTTTTTCTTCATCGACCTCCATAGCCTCTTCTTTCTCAATTGATTTCTCGTCAATTCCAAGAATTCTACGTCTAATTTTGATCTTCTCGACATAAAGCAATTCGAGACGGAAGTATTCGTGCCACAGCAATTTGTTCTCGGGATTGATACGAAGTGCTCGCTGCATCAAAACTGTAAAGCACAAGTGTGTATGTAGATGTATGTATATGTAAGTGCCCTAATTCTTCCGACCAATCGATCAATCCAAATCTACTGTGATATGATATACTGTACTTGCCTCGTGCGGCTCCGATGTTTGCATTAGTCTCGTATTCCCATGATGCTGCAAGAATCCACAGGGTTGCCTTTGTTGGATGGAACTGAATAGCTCTAATAGTACAAAGAAAAAAAATCCAAGTCAATTTTTTTTATATAATTCACGGATTATCAAAATCCTGCCTGTACATTTATCCAAAAAAAAAAAAAGAAAGAGAGAGGTTCGACTTACTGAACAAAGATTCCACTCAAAATGTTGTTTGCTTTAACCTTCTTGGCAAAATCAATATATTGTATCCACAGTCGAACATCTCCCTTGAATTTGTTGGTTGCTCTCTTGAACAATTCGAAAATTCGTTTATTGCCGGCATAATCTGACTCGCTAATCGTCTTGGCATTCTCGCCTGAAACACAGTTTGTTTTATGGTAAGTTTAATATGTTACCCCTTTTATTTTTGGAATAAAAAAAATCATTTTTGTATTGTCCTTAGTCTTACCAGCAAGACGTGCTTTTCTGAGCTTGCGGAGTGAATCGAGGCTCATTTCGTATTCAATGTAACGAAGGTAGTCAATCTTCTGCGGAATGCGGCGGGAGATGCGGCTTTCGAATGACTTTCTCTTCTCGACAATCTTTTTCACTTCTTCCTAATCCATATGATAGATTATCCAAACGTTATTGATCTGTCGGTGTGTACATGTGTGTATAATTTCTTTCTTTCTTTCTTTCTTTCTTTCTTTAACAGGTTCCGTTTATTTATTTTAATTTTTTTTAAAGAATAATCTTGGAGGAAATGTTAACCTTTGTGAATAGACCTCTGTTGATGAGGTCCATGAGGGCAGGAACCATCCTCTCAAGATTAAATTGTACTCGTTCGGCCATTGTTGCTATGAGGTTGTAAGTATTGCTACAAAGGACAAGTCTTTAAAAGGAATACCTAGATTTTTTTTACAAGTCCCCGAAGTCAGTGTGACGATGTTTCTTTTTGGCCAAGCCTTTTCTTAACTCTCTTAAAAGAATGAGAATATGAAGCTATCTTCTCTTTTTTTTTGTGTGCTAAAAAGGTCCATAGAAAAGAAGGGATAAGAAAGAAAAAAAAAAGGCTCCAAGAAAAACGGGATATGGAGTATATATGTAGGCTTGTTCTTTATTTATTTAAAATTAGTGATTTTGCACCTTGTATTTATGCATATATTATTTAGTAAATCGCTTTACAGCTTTGTACAAGCTAAGGAGAGAGAAAGAAGAATTTAATTTATGTCTTGAAGTATTGGACAATTGATTTACTGGCTAGGTAAGATTTTGTGAGTTGATACATTAACTATAATAAAGCTGTGAGGATCAGTATTATCTTCTCGATTCAAGGCAATAAAAAAAAATACTTTAGCCAATCAGAGTCGTTTAGACTTTTTTTTTTTGAACTTTTTGGTCTTTTGACACCAATTGATTGATTTATTTATTTGTTTCAATATTAAACACATATAATTTTGAATTCGAAGTTTTTGAAGCTTTAGATATTATTACTAATGAACAATTGCAAGCTTAATATTTGCCCTTGCTTCCTCTCATGAAGTTTCTTTTTTTTTTGCAAGAGTGTTCTAGCCAAATGATTAAACTGGGACCAAATATGTGTAACATATCTACAAGAACCTTTTTGGCTTTTGTATGGAGTTCAATGATATAAGGCCGAGATTTTAACATTCAACATGCTCTTATTGACTTATAAATTCTAGAGTACCATTACTAACTCACTCAACAACTCTTATTACATCAAACATTAAATATTAAAATATTAATCAGTTTTACTAGACTTGTGCTGTTCCTTTTATATATAATATATATATATATATATATATAAGAATAACAGGCTGGTATTTTCTCACAAGATAACACTAGAAACCATAAAGACATAATCCAGAGTGTTTTGAGAATTATATACTTTCTATTGGTTGTTCGTTTCTCTACTCGATCTAGCATTGTGGTTTCCAAGAAGTAATTGAAATAATCATTGTCTAGTATTATTTAATCTAGTGCTTGAGGGAGAGAAATCCAATTAATATTATAATGTAGCACATTACTATTATTATTATTTCAAAATCAAGTCATTTCAGGATGTCTGTAAGCCTATCCGTCCTGACATAAAGAAAAGAAGAAAAAAAAAGTTTGTGTTTTGTCTTTACTCGTGGGTGCGTATAAGCGCACTAATGAACTATTTAGTAAATAAAGACGTTACTGATTATACTTTGATAATTTGAATTTGGCGTTTTGCACAACTTTGGATTCACTGCCCCACAGTTTTATAAATATTATTATTATATGGGTTACAGCCAGCATACAAATAGAATAATATAATATAATATAATATAAATAAATAGAAAAACACAGAAATAGCTTTCTTACGGTATCGAATGTTCTGAATTGAATGATTGAGTAATTAAATATACGAATACATGAAGGGCGGGTCCGCTTATTATGTCTACCTTGTCAAAAAACAAGAAGAAGGAATAATTTGACAGCTATTACTTAATAGAACGAATAGAAACACAGGGACAAAGACAAGGAGAAAATAAATAAGAATAAAAGGTTTTTCGATCTGTGTCCTCTAACCTGTCACTACTACTGCTTTTATTATTAACATTAATATTGACAGTATTGTTACTGTTGTTGCTTTTAATTACTTCTTTAGATTAACAAACCAAGAGCAAATAGGGTTTAGGGATATTATTTTATTATTATCTTTTAAAAAGAAGGTACTAAAAGAGAAAGGCAACTAAGCATATATCTCTTCTTCTTCTTCTTTTTGTTTTTTGGGGGAGCTGTGTAAGTATGATTTAGCTATGTGAAACTATTATAGGTTCCATAAGTAATTTTTTTTTCTTCTTCATTTCTATTGGGGGGTGAATAATGATTGTTGCTGATAGCTATTTATTGATTTATTTTTGATAAGTAGCTCAAAGAGAGACTTACCATTTCCTTGGTAGTCTGAGCGGCGTGGGAGCCAGAATATAATATTTCAGTCTGACAATATTATTACTACCTGTGTATCACCCAGACTTATATATATATATATATATATATCTTGGTGCCGTGCGTTTCCAAAAGATGAATAGATATGGAATCTAAAATAGAACTAATGCAAATTAAAAGAAAGGTTCGCTAGCCCATAGTCTTGAACCTCAAACAAACGATCTCCACTAGTATCAGTAGAATCAAATAAATAGTGTATCCTGCCATCAAAATCAAAAGTAATCATTTGGGTCTGTTCTTTCCATTTATCTTTTTATTTGGTACAGTAATCTGGGTCTTGTTTTTTGACTAATTTTAACTATAGTTTGTACATAACGCAATTCCTATCATATGTACAGCAGATGTTTTATATTATATTATCTGTATCTGTATCTGTATCTGTACATTGCTATGGAGTACAGGGCAGCCAATTTCTCTTGTATTTCACTGTGTGCAATGAAAATCAAGAGTAACCGTTGATCAATTACTGTATATTTTTTTAACACTCAACATCTAATAAGGTCTACTTTGAACATTTTGTAGCTTACACAAACATCAAATACAATAATGGCTTCTAGAGAACGGGCCAGATTGACTTGGAAAATAACTAAAAATAAAAGAAGGTTGATAAGATCCAAGAGCTTCAGTACTCAAATGTCTAATTAGCTGTACCACCCGGAAATGGCTTGAGAGTATTTCCGGGCCAAAGCTGTCTTTATTTTTTAAAAGAAAATGATAATAATAATAATAATAATAATAATAATAATATGGTTCTTCTTTATCTACCCAAGTATCAGTATATTCTTTGGTCTATGTCTTGTTTTTGGTTTTCTTCAGGGAGAGAGAATCCTATTGGGAATTTGGTACATATACGTATGTATGTATTTCCCTAGATCTGTTTTGATTTGACTGTTGATTGTACTTTGGTCAGTTCATTTTGTTCTTCATGTGATAGGTGAGTCTTTAGGGCGATAATAAGAAAGAAAGATTGTCCTTTTGGTGTACTACACCTTTATTGGTTCTTAGTGGGGGGGTCCTCTGTACATCTTGGTGGTACCTGAGATGTGTAATATACATATAAAATATTTTCTTTATTTTTCTGTGCGTCCCTGGAGCGGACTTTTTTAGGAAGACAACGAATTAGCACCATAAAGGTCTGTGATAATCCAAATAAACCAGAGTGTCCAAGAATAAATAACTAAATAATTATACCTTGTTGCTGCTGCTGTTAATACTACTCCTAATTCTACTATTAGCTATTTATTATTAGCTAGTATTTAATATTAAATGTTGGATACTTGTGATATTTAATATAAATCAATAGCATTAACCTCACTCCTTTAACATCCCCTTCTTATTATCCGTTTTTTTTTGTTATAATTCAGTAGTAGCGGAATGTCAAAAAAAAGAAGCTATACGTACAAGATATCAAGGTTAAACCTTTTGAGCTTATTCTTAAATAAAGAAAAAAAACACATCTTGTAGACACAAAAGACGTCTTGACCCCCAAATAAATCTATATACCAATGATAATTTTGATTGATAGTTAGCAGCCTATCAACCCTTCTCTCTTACCTCCACTAGCTAATTACATGGATAGCATTTTTCTAGTTTAATGACCTGCAACCAATTCAATTCAATTCAATTCAATTTAATTTAATTCAAATCAAATCAAATCAAATGTAGAGCTATTGATAAGAGCAATTTCTCTTTGCTTTACTCTTCTTTGACTTCAAGTGAAATGACTAATAATCAGAGCTATACTAGCAATCAGGGCTCTTTTTTTTAAAAAAAAAAAAAAAAAAAAAAAAAAAAAAAAGTCAAGAAAACCTATAGCCCGCTTTCCTTCCGAGACTATGTTTCTTGTGCCTTTCTGCTATCTGTTCCACAATATAAATCTTTTGATTTGATTTGATATTCAGCCATTAGAGAAGCAAAGAAATAAAGAAATAAAGAAATAAAGAAATAAAGAAATAAAGACAAAACTTTAATGGACTTTTGACCATGTTAATATCCTATATTTGTTTGCTTTTTTGATGTCCGTTCTCCATAATTAACCTGTCAGTGCCACCCAGACCCTCCCCCCCTCTTCCCTGTCTTTTTATTCATATTGTGGCTGTGTAATCCATTCATATAAATATATATATTTTACATTTTAACACATTTAAGCTTAGCACAATTACTGTCATTTTGCTCTATTATGTTTTCTATTTGATGTCATAAAGAAGTATAGTGTCTATGTGGTTGCTTGTGTATGCATTTATCTTGCCATATCATCATTACACACGATATGTCCCAAAGACTTCTTTTGGTGTAGCATCTAATCTGTCTGTGTCTGTGTCTGTGTCTGCGTCTGCGTCTGTGTCTGCGTCTGTGTGTATTACTAAAAAATCCTTTGGTTCTGGAATACAGGCTGGGTTTTGGTCTGAGTTTTTACCATTCGTTGTTGCGGAATCAAAGCTGTAGCATTCCGTACAAACGATTCACTCCAAAAAAAAAATACGAGACAAATTACATATGTGCTACGCTCGATATTATATGTCTCATTATCATTAGTATTATTAAACAATTGCTGTAATTAGACCAACCAATCAGTTGGTTGGCTATCTGTACAATAAAGAAAATAAAAGAATTCAAGATACGTGGCTAAGTTTTTTGTTTTTTTTTTTAGGTTGACTGACCAATTCAACCAGAGAATAATAATATTCTGTACCATTGTAACAAAACAGCCGTCAAAACCACATGCACTCAAGGTTTTTTTTTCTTTCTTTCTTTTTTGGTGTAGCACTTGTATCACTTTATACTCAACTTTGTCCAGTGTGCTACTCATTACTGCTATTGCTACTCCACCAAAATAAAAAGAAAAGTACGTATATGTCTGTGTGTCTATACAACATGGCATGATTATAACGCCTATCTCTGCCTGTCTGTCTAAACAAGAGTAGTGTTTGTTTCTCAAAAAGAATCTGAGTATGGAACATAATTATCAGTGCCTTTGAATATATACACTTTTTGAATCATTAGGATCAATACATACACATCTGTGCATATTTATATGTAATGAAAGAAAAATATTGGTCAGAACTGTTATATGTATGTTTGTGTGTATATATTTTCTTTTGAACTTGTTTGTATTGATCATAATCTGTCTATCTATCTATATGAGTCTGAGGTGCTGTACCAATCATGGTATGTCCTTTAATGGACTCTATTTTATGTGTACAGATTACAAATCTTATTACACACCCACATAAATCATAATAAAATAAAATAAAATAAAAGTGTTTCAAATTTTATTTAAATAAAATAAATATGGTATTGTTTACTGTATGGGAGAAGCAAAGGAGAAGAAGATGCATTCGGTATATAAAAAGATATAATAGAAGAAAAAAAAAGGGCGATGAAAAGTGCTGTATAAAAATAATAAAAAAAAAAAAAAGGTGAAGAATTTTTTTCGATAAAGAGAGAGAGAGAGAGGAAAAGGATGACATGTTAATTATAGCCAAGTCGCCTTCTTAAGAAGTCAAGCTGAGGTTAGCAACAGGAACACGGAAAGCAGCGGGCAAGAGGTTGTTGATGTATGAGGCAGCAGTCTGGTTGACTTCAGAGTACTGGGGGAATGCGATGAATAAGACAAGGGTGGCGGCAAACAAGGCGATCAAGAGGAACCAGATGATGTCCCAGATAAAGGACTTGGAATCTTCGGGAGCGTAGGTGCGCTTGGATGAGGTGATGGCAGAGGGACGAACCTTGACGCCAAAGTGGTCGCACACCTGGTCCGAGGTCAGCTTACTTCCGGCCAAGACAATTGGCACACCAGTACCGGGGTGGGTGGATGCACCGACGAAGAACAGGTTCTTGTAGCGACCGGTGGAGTCCTGGGTAGACGGACGGAACCAGAGGACCTGGAGAACGTCGTGCGAGAGACCAAGGATGGATCCACGCCAGAGGTTGAACTTCTTCTGCCAGATGGAAGGATCGTTGACCTCCTCGTGCTCGACCAAGTCAATGAAGTTGGTCAAGCCAAGACGGCGCTCGAGAACCTCGAGAACCATCTTACGGGCACGCTTGACAATCATGGTGTAGTCCTCGGCTTCGTTGGTCTTGCTCTTCATGTGACCGATGGGAACCAGGACGATCATGCTGTCCTTGCCGGGAGGAGCGGCGGTGGGGTCAATGCGAGAAGGCAGGTTGACGTAGAATGAGAGCTCGGAAGGCATCTTGTGGTCGGTGAAGATCTCGTCGAAACTCTCCTTGAAGGCCTCGGCCAAGAAGATGTTGTGGACATCGAGTTCAGGCACGACTCTCTTGAGCGACCAGTAGAAGGAGATAGAAGAAGAGGTGAGCTTCTTCTCGGCCAAGGTGTTGGTGGTCCAGCGGCATGGGGGGAGCAAGTTGTGATAGGCGTAGACAAGGTCGGCATTGCAAACCACCGCATCGGCCTCAATGACTTCTCCGCTCTGAAGGGTTACACCTGTAACCTTCTTGCCCTTGTCATCCGTGTTGATCTTGGCAACTGGTGCCTCGTAGATGAATCTGGCGCCAAATTTTTCAGTGGCAATGTTTTCCAACTTTTGGATAACGGTGTTGAAACCACCCTTGGGGTACCAGATACCCTCAGCGAACTCGGTGTACTGGAGGAGGTTGTAGACAGCAGGAGAGTCATAGGGAGACATACTATAATAATAATAATAATAATAATAATAATAATAATAAAAGCGAATCAGTCACTTGTCTTTAATATAATCTCATTTCTCTCTCTTTATCACAACCATAGCCGGCTCTCAAATTGTGACCATAATCGCGGACCACAATTTACACTCAAGATTGGCCTCCTCTTATAAAATATAGTTATCTTACCCCATGTACATGCTCTGGAAAGTAAAGGCCATTCTCATCTTCTTGGTCTTAAAGTACTTTGCGGCTCTGGAGTAGACAAAATCAAAGATGTGGAGACGGAAAAGAGCAGGAACGTATTGGAGACGGATAAGCTTCCAGATGGTCTCAAAGTTCTGCTTGATGGCCATCTCAACACCGCCCTCGTAGTGAGTGTGGGACTCCTTCATGAAGTCAAGGAAACGCAAGAAACCGTCAGGACCTTCGATACGCTCCATCTCGGGCTTCATGCGGGACAAATCAGACGAGAGCTGGATCTTGTCGCCATCGTCAAAGTGGACCTTGTAGTTGTTGTGGCAACGGAGCAGTTCGACGTGGTCTTCAATCTTTTCATCAAGAGCCTCAAAGGCCTCCTCGAAAAGCTTGGGCATCAGGTACAGGGAAGGACCTTGATCGAAACGATGGCCATTGTGGTTGATGAGCGAACAACGTCCACCTCCAAAGTTGTTTTTTTCGACTACGGTGACCTTGATGCCTTCACGGGCAAGACGGGCAGCAGTAGCAGTTCCACCGGCACCAGCACCAATGATGATAACGTGTTTAGGAGGAGCCATATTTTTTTTGTATATATAAAGAAAGACAAAGAAGAGATTTAAAGATCGTGAGGTGGAAGAAGACGTCTGGGATGTGATCTATTTAACTAAAAAAAAATAAAAAAAAATATGTGTGTGTGTGTTTGGCTGTCTATCCTAATGCAGGGACTTGTTCTTTGGGACAATTTCCGTTCATCGGAATCTAATTCCCCGTTTCTGTTAGGGTTTGGACACAGAGAAGCACGACAATGAATATAAGACAATCTCCGTCATTAGTAACAAAAATAATATAAAATAGAATAGAATAAACTTCGACAGTGAGAGAGTGAAAATAGATGGAGGTACAAGACCCCCCCATAAGATAAATATATAAATATATATATATTATGTTATCAAACAGAAGAAAGAAAGAAAGAGAAATATAGGAGGTTGGACAAGTGTTTCCAACAGTAATGACCTTTGTGTTTTTTTCTTTCTGATATTCTATTTTCAATTGATTGTCCAAAGTGGTCTCTTTTGTGTACTTGTTCTTCTTGTTCTTGTTCTTTGGGTTTGATGTTTCCGATTGAAACACTATTAAATTAAAAGAAGTAAAAGAAGTATTAAAGGACAATTGACAAATTGAGAACAAGGGAATCGAGATCTGGTCGATACGATGGTTATATGGTTGTATGATTTTCAGAAATCTGGTTATCTGTAATCTGAATCGAGAATATATTTATATATATATATATATATATTCTTTCTCTTATTTTGGCTTTTGCTGTCCCTGTTTCTTCTTCTCTTCATTGGTATCTGAGCGGCGCTCATTTGGGCAGCTTGTACAGGATTTGATGGTCTGTATTATTTCCATAACAACGTAACACTGAACCGAACTGAACTAGAAGTGATATGCAAAAAGGAGGATGATACTCATGGGGTCGGGACTTTCTATTGACTTGCACGCATCTCTGTGTATAAGAGCGTGGGCGAGACTATACTATATATATATATATAAAAAATTATATTCTTGGTGTATTTTACTTTCTTTATTCCAACAAATTTGTCTGCCTGTCTGTCTGTCTTTCTTGTTGTGTTCAAAAACTACAAAAAAGAGATAAATTATAATAGTCCTTTTTGGAGCCATTTCAGATCTTTATATTTCAACAACAGCCATCCTTTAACCCAGTCCTTCAGATAATAATATATTTATATTTATATATAAAATTATTCTTGTATTCTTATATTCTTATATATAGTGGTTTTACAAAAGCTCTTAACAAAAAAAAACTTCTTCTTCTTCTTCTTCTTCTTCTTTATCTTGCTTGAGTCTTGTCTTTTGTACTTCCCGGCAATTTCTCTCTCTCTCTCTTTATCACTCACCAAAGAATAGAAGAAAGGACAAAGAAGTTATCTTAACCAAAGATGCTGACTTATATGGAAGTACATCTGTACTTCACCCTCCCGGTGCTTGCACTGCTTGCCTTCCTCTACAAGCCATTCTTCACCACAAAGGACCGCTTCAAGTATATCTTCCTCTGCACTGTCGCATTCGCCACTGCGTCTCCCTGGGACAACTACATTGTATACCACAAAGCCTGGAGCTACTGTCCAGAGTGTGTCACGGCTGTGATCGGATATGTTCCTCTTGAAGAGTACATGTTCTTTATCATCATGACTCTCATTACCGTCACATTTACTAGTCTGACAATGCGTTGGACTCTGCCCAGTTTCTTTATCAGACCAGAGACCCCCGTATTCCAGTCCGTTTGTGTCCGCTATATCCCTATTGTCGGTTTCTTGACAATCGCTGCAAAGGCCTGGGTATGTATTCTTTTCTTTGTTTGTTTGTTTGTTTGTTTGTTTCTTGTGTAATTGTAGCTGTTATTTGTTTTCATATTTTTTCATGGTTTACAAATCGAGAATTTTCACCCTTTTTTTCCATTTATTCTATGGCTATTCTTTTCTTTTTTTACTTTGTCGCTTGTCCACAAATGGTTTAATTATTATTTTTTACTAACAATGAATTCTATTTGATCATTTTCTCTCTCTCTCTCTTTTCATTGTGCGTGTGTTTGTGTGTATACAGGCCAGCAGTATCCCCGATTCACACCCCTTTTACGGTGCTTGTATCCTCTGGTACGTCTGTCCAGTCCTTGCCCTTTTGTGGATCGGCTCTGGTGAATACATGCTTCGTCGCTGGAAAGCAGTCCTGTTCTCCATCGCTGTCCCAACCATCTTCTTGTGCTGGGTTGACCAATATGCCATTGCCCGCGGCACCTGGGACATCTCCAGACGCACAAGCACTGGAATCATGGTCCTGCCCAGTCTTCCCTTGGAAGAATTCCTCTTCTTCTTGCTCATCGACACCGTACTTGTGTTTGCCTCCTGCGCCACCGACCGTGCCCACGCTATCGTCCATATCTACATCACCCCTATGAACCACAACAAGGTCTCCACATGGTACATGGACTTTTTCTACCTCTGCTGGGCATTCCTGCAGACCGACCAGGCACTCAGTGGAGAAACCCTGAGCGATCTCGATGCCACATGGCGTATTCTCCGTGAAGCTTCGGCCTCATTCTACACTGCCTCTTCCGTGTTCTCCTTTGAAGCCCGCCAGGACCTCGGCGTGCTCTATGGCTTCTGCCGTGCCACCGATGACCTTGCCGACAACAACGACGTGTCCGTCCCAGACCGCAAGAAGCAGCTTGAACTCGTCCGTGGCTTTGTGCGCCAGATGTTTGATAGCAAGCACGGCCACCCCGACATCGATTGGACCCAGTACAGCGGCAGCATTCCTGACTCGTTTATCGCTGCCTTCCGCAGCTTCACCCGCCTCCGGGACGTTTTGGAAATCAAGGCCGTCGAGGAGCTTTTGGATGGCTACACCTTTGATCTCGAACAGCGTGAGGTTAAGAACGAAGACGACCTTGTCTACTACTCTGCCTGCGTGGCCAGCAGTGTTGGCGAGATGTGCACCCGTGTCCTGATGGCTTCTGAGCCCGGAGGAAACCGCACAATGCTCAAGTGGACTGTGGAACGTGCACGCGATATGGGACTTGCCCTCCAGCTCACCAACATTGCACGCGATATCGTGACTGACAGCAAACAGCTCGGAAGATCCTACGTACCCCGCGACTGGCTGACCAGCCAAGAGTCTGCATTGCTCAAGGCTGGAAAGGCCCGCGAGCTTGGTGACGAGCGTCTGCGCCAGATTGCACTCAAGATGGTCTACACCGCCGACGACCTCAACCTGATGGCCAGTCGTGCGATCGATTACTTGCCTCCAAGCTCTCGATGTGGTGTCAGAGCCGCCTGCAACGTCTACACTGCCATTGGTGTCTCTCTCCACAAGGCTAACGGCTATCCCGATCGTGCTCACCTGACCAAGCTCGAACGTATGAAGGTCACCTTCAGATGCGTGTACGGCTTCCGGAAGGGCCACCAGGGTGTTCAAGGTGATCGTGGAAAGTCACAGGCCTTTACTGTCATTTAAAACCAAAAAAAAAAAGAATAAGAAGAAAAAGAGGAATGGTTTTTTTCTCCATGTTCTATTCAATTTTGATTATGACTTTTTTTTTATTGTCATTATCATTATCATTATCATCATTAGCATACTTTTATAAGTGAATGGTGCTTAGTACTGTGGTAACATTATTCACTGTTTCTTTTCTTTTATTAACCTTTTGATCGTCATTAGATACCAAACGTTAAAGGCATTTTCTCTAAAGAATTTCCTTTATCATTTCTTTACCTCAATATCCCTACCACCATTACCACCTCCAAATGTCACTCACCTACTCACTACACTCCATTGATATACGCACACACACACACAATTTGTCCTCCTGTTTTTTCTTTGCTATTTATTAAATACATCATATTTTGCTCTCTCTCTCTCTCTCTTTGTTCATTTGGGTTTTTATTATTCTGTTTTTTTTATATACATATATATATATATATTAATATTTATAATAAATAACTTCTTTATATATACACCTTGTATGTCTATAATATAAAATAGCATATACCCACTTGGTTCACTCCTCTTTGGGTTTAGACTTTCGTCTCCACCCCTTCATCTTCCTTGGCTTTCCTCTTACCTCGACATGGCAATTTTCGGATATAACTATAGTTCCCTCTATTAACCTCACCAACCTTTTTATCAAAGGTGCATTCTTTCTCTTTCTCAAGGTAGCTTTTTTTTTCTTTTACTCCCCGATACGAACAAAGAATTGGCTGGACATGGGAGAAACAAAATAAGGCTCGACCGGAAGACATTTCTATGCTCGACCCTCTTTACCTCTCTCCCCTCACTAAAGTCATCGTCATAGCCAATCTCTGTACAAGACCTCCACCTCCGGCTTTCGGGGCTATATACAGTCACACCTACACACTCACACCAAATCTTCCCTGTGTAGCATGTAATCCGTTCCTGAAAGCTTAAAAATTCCTCAAGACATTCGGCACCGTATGGTGAAAGGCCCTGTGGGAGCGCCTGACTACTCGATCTTTTGTATTTCAAAGGAATGACGATTTTTTTTGACGACGCCATGTTCCCTATATATCGGTCGGCAATATATCCCCCTGATTGCTTCCTAGTCAACTGCCCTAAAAAAAACGACTGGTATGGAGTGTAATCATTTTTTTTTCAGTTATGCCTGCGCTGGTCGCTGGCAAGGATGAACACTCTCTTAACCACGATGACTTGAGCCAATACTTACACCTCCAAACACATGCAAGCTCTGGTTGTAGTCTCCACAATCCACGCCATTTGGCGATCTCACTTGGACCTTTGTCATGGACAAACATGTCCTTCCTTCCTGGTATGATAGCAGCCAAGGCATTTGTGGTGACAAGGTGTTTCTTGGAGTAGTTTTTTCTTAGACTCTTTTTTTTACATTTTCCCTCTCATATAAAAAAATGTACGACTAATGTCTATAAAAGTACGTCCAGGATTTAATTTTTTACGATCCTCGTTTTATGAAATTGCGACTTTTGGTTTTACGAAAAAGCGACCCTTGGTTTTATAAAAAGCGATTTTTATTATTTTTTGTGTGCGACCAATTTCTAGAAAAAAAACAAGCGAGAATGTTTTATCAGCTTCATTGTGCATGTGCTTATTAACTTTGGCTTCTTTACAAGAAGTATTTAACATTTTCACAATGTGGACTTTGAGCTTGTTGCAACACGTGTTTACTTGATCTACATTTTACTAAAAGTGGCCTCAAGAAGTACGGGAATGAGAGGAAACGTTGCTGTAATTCGATTGGATCTAGGATCCTTCCAAAGTTTCTTTTTGCCCTTCCCTGACCTTGGAATCAACCCATTTGGGTGTCCACTTCTTTAGCTATTTTTTTTTCGTTCTTCTTTCTTTCTTTCTTTCTATTCCACAGCCACACTCTCTTCTACATCCCTCATCTCTTCATCCCTCCCTCTCTAACTCTCTCTCCCTGCCTTTCTTCTTCTTTTTTCCCCCTTTTCTCTCTCTCTATTTTCTTTGTTGTTTATCTATTATTCTTTTTTTTATCTTATTTTCATTTTCTGGGTTAATTTACAGATGACTGATCATCAACCGACGCTGCCGTCGATTTCACACCTCTTTACGTCTCTCCGATCATCTTCACCACCAACTATCTCGACGCATACGCATACGCATACGCCACCCACTCTCAATTTCTCACCTCCTTCGCCACGCCTTGCACCATCTCCAGCTCTATCTCCGCTCCACTCACCTCTCGCCGTCCCTCGCCCAAAGACATCATCATCATCTTCTTCCTCTTCTTCTTCTTCTTCTTCTTCCTCTGTGCCTGTACCTGCATCGTCTTACTTTGTTTCTCCTCTGCTCTCACCCATCGATTCACTCTCTCCACAGCCATGTTCACTACCTCTCCGATCTTCATCTTCCTCACCACCACTCCAAGGTCACGATCCACCACAGTCGCTTGTCAGATGTCCTTCGTCACCTCTTTCCCTAGCTCTTCCACAGCACCTTCCAACTTGGGCCCATAGTCGAACCCACTCTTACTCGCGCACCCCAAGTCCGCTCCTAAGCCCGGTATCCGGTTTGAGTGGCTGTGGTGGCAACCTTCGATCCTTTTCATTTTCTGCTCCAACTTCGCTACCTTTACCAGCAGTGCAACCACAGGTTCAGACGCAAACACAACCACAACCACAACTGCAACTGCAACTACAACTACACCCACAAACACAAACGCAAACACAAACACAACTACAAACTCAATCGAGATCGAGATCGAGATCGAGATCGAGATCGAGATCACAATCGCAAACTCCAGCGCAACCACAAGAGCAAAATCAAAATCAAAATCAACAAAGAGTTCATCAACAACAACGTCAGAATGAAGAAAATGAGGACGACGATGACGATGAAGAGGAGGAAGAAGAGCCATTGTCACCATCCTCTTCGTCATGTTCATCTCATTCGCCACTTGCACCAACTCAGATCCTGTTTAATGCATCTGGACAACCTGTGCTGAAACGCCGACGTGGACGGCCTCCAAGCACTCGAGGTCCTGCGTGGGAAGGTGGCTGGACGTTTATGACGCCAACTGTCTGGGATGTCAATGCACCTGCGCAGCCCATCGACACTTCGGCTCTCTTGCCATCCTACACTGCCGAAGGACAGGGAAACATGGCCACTGCATTTACGAATGCCAACATGGACACGGTTCTGCACATGCCGAAAAAGAAACGTGGTCGTAAGCCAAAGACCCAGCTGGAGGGAAACTCATGTTTTGTCTGGAAGGAAATCACTTCCACACGCACAGCCAAACCAAAGCCAACAGCAATAACGACTGGAACGGCAGTGATTCGATCTCCAATTCCAAACACAAAAATACTACCAATTCTAGCCAAAAACGACGACAATATTGGTGGTAATGATGATACACCAAAACCTATTGCGGTCGAGGATACATCAGAACCAATGGACACAACGGAAAATCCGGACACAACGGAAAATCCGGACACAACGGAAAGTGCGGACAATACAGAACACATGGATACAGAAACCGAACAATCATTAAGGCGAAGTACGAGATATTCTATTATCAAGCCATGAATGAAAATATTATCCTTATTATTTTAATTTTATTTTATTTTTATATATTTTAATTACCATCACTGTTAGTATTAGTATTAGTATCAGTGTTAGTGTTAGTGTTATTGGTACTACTGGAATAGCTTGTCTTGAGTCTGGTTACTCTTAACACATGTATACATATTCTTTATCTTCTTTAACTTTCTTTTTTCTTATTGCTGTATGTAAATCTCTCTCTATATCTCTCTATCTCTCTATCTCTCTATCTCTCTTTATCTCTACCTCTCTTTATCATGTACCCACATTCTTTCTTTTCTTTTTGTTTTTATTTTATTTTGTTAGTCGATTTTATTTTCTCTTCTTCTCTTCTTCTTCTGCTTCTTTTATTACCATTCTTAATTCATATGCACCAGTTTTTTTTTTATTTATTTTTTATTTCTCTTTTGTTATACACAACCCACGCCATTTATGATATATAAATACATACGTAAATACATACAAGCACAAGCACAAGCACAAGCACAAGCACAAGCACAAGCATATATAAATATATATATATGTATATATATACTACTTCTTTACACATTTTATCCTAAAGAACAAATAATGATATTGTATACATATATGTATCTATGTGTGTATATGTCCTGCTAATATTAAATATCTGTACATACATATTTTCAACCTAATGTAATGTAATGCAATGCAATGTAATGTAATGTAGATTATTTGATAACCTGATAAATACATGTTTTCTTTTTGGCTTTTTTCATATTTTGCGCACAAAATAAAACACAAGCAACCAACGCCAAAAGAAAAAAAAATTGTACACAAAATAAAATCCAAGGTGCTCTTCACAAAACCAGACTATAACATCTTTACGTTACGCAAGACTTAACATCTTGACCCTACACGAAACAATTTTGGAGCTATATGTTACTCAATTATTATTATTATTATTATTTATTATTATTGGTTTACTTGATTCCTAAAATGCGCCAAAGTTATTCAGCAATCTTACTGAAACGCCCTTTCTATCTCGGACTAATTTATTACACCCATCTGTCCGGGGACCCGGTTTTTTTTTTCTAATCCTTCAGGGCAAAATGGTGTGTCCTGAAAGAAAAGAAGAAAAAAAAGTATTTATCAATAGCCAGTTATGCAGAAGACCATAATAAGATGTTTGTATTAAGTTTTGACACAATCCTGTTGGATACTTTACTATTTGTCGGTCTTATTATGCGCATGCTTTCTTTCTCTTTATTTTACTTACTTATATCTCCAGAACTTAGAAAGCCCCAAATGGTAAGTAATCCCCATCCTACCCTACTCTACCCTTTTGCTCTTATTAATTTTTTTTTGCAAAGTACAAAAGAAAATATTTATGAATATTCTGTATCCTGGCTTTGTATTAACTATTACTAGGAGCTTTGCTCCCCCCTCCCTTTGGGGGGGCCCATTGGGCTACGTTAAGTTCTATGTAACTGTTCCCTACTGGTAATAGTGTACGGCACACAATTACCAAGTAGTATAGGTTTTTACATTTTATTTTAGTGAGAAATAGCAAGTAAATTAGAGAACACGTGACCGATTAGAAGGGCTAAATCACATGATCTCTGATTTCATCCTGTCTTTCTAATATAATGATAATCAGAATCAATTCTTAGGGACCAGATATGATTATTCAATGCCGGCAAAAATGAAACAAAAAAATGATAAGCAGACGATTAAAAGAAGTTTAGAAAATTCTGTTCTCAGCGCTTGTGGTGCCCTCGTGGATGATAAAAACCACAGACACCATTGATCTCAAGCTAGTTTGTGAATCAAACAGCAAAGGTGAAGAGAGTTTTCTGCCAGTCCATAGGAATCGGTTGGACAGACGTTTGCAATGAAGAAATAGCTAGCATAACGCCAGTTATGAAATAAAAACTCAAGGAAGAGCTGATACAGATTTATACAAGTCTCAGGTATATTCTTACCGATTGACTATACTCGAAATTATTCTTAAAGAAAGACTTTATCGGAATGGATAAAATACCAAAGATGCTAAATGATGATTAGAGTACGTTTCCTCATGTTCGTTTTGGGTGCGCTACCTTGCTATCAGAAATGAACATTACCAACCACAACGTCTAATCATTAAAGCAACCTAAATACATAACCCTCACTACAAACAACGACACGGTTTCTTTTAATAAAGTGTTTTCAGAGTGATCAATATTCGTAAAAATAAAAGTTCTTGAACTTTATGATTCCAGTATACAGCTGGTGTTGATTTTTAAGAAACCTTGCCAAAATTCGAATGATTTCTTATATTCTTTGTGTGGTGATCCCGTATGATCATTACATACACTCTTTCCAGAAATTATTGGTGCACCAAGCCATTTTTTATCTTTTTTATCTTTTTTTTTTGCACCAAAAAATTCCGGAAAAAATGTACTTGCCTTAATTAATAGCTTGATAGCTATATAAGTTATACTGTTTCTTTAAATTTTCTTCTTTCTTTTCTTATTTAGTACAAAATATTCCTATTAGCCTTTTATTCGTCTTCCTGATCTTCTATATCTCCCACCTCTTTCTTCTTCTATTTCCAAAAGCGTGTTATTTTTCTATTTATTGCTTTTCTTTTTATTACTAATAAAATATAAAATATGGCTTGGCTTGACTATATTTATTTATCCATTTTAATCTATTTATATAAATATATATATGTATGTCTTGGACTGTTTTCATTATTTAGGTATTACATGTATTACAAAATATGTATAACTTTTATTGCCCACATTTGTACACATTAATCGAACACTTATACTGCATATTTATTTATTTATTTATTATTTTTTCTATTATTTTCAAGAATTTATATATATATATGTGATATTATAATAATGATATGTAAGCAAGGCTTAATTATTGTGAAAATCGGGTCAAATATTTCACTATCAGTCCATTGATTAGCTCTTTATTTCGCTCTTGTTAGTCTGCTCATGTTTTGTTTGAATGGCATATCGATCAGAGATGTGCCATTGTAACAAAATTGCGTGTGTACTAAAGAAAAAAAGGAGGGGGAGTATGAAGAGAGTACGAGATGCAAGTTTGGCTTCTCTTGTTATTTCTACTCACTTGAATTGAATCCTCTTAGTAACCCTGATTAATTGCTGAGCACATAACTTGGTATAACTTAGCTTAAGCTTAGCTTATTGATTTTATTTTGTTTTTGGTAAGAAAAGAAATTGAATAAAAGTAATTGCTGAGATATGCAACAATGTACTTGATTATGTATTATATAAAATAAAGTAACGTAGAAATTAAGCACCAGTCCTTTCTCCCCCTCTTGCCTTTTACCTCCCTCTTTCCCCCTTGATAATAGAGTGGCAAAGAATGTGTGTGTCTGTGGCGCAAAACAAAACCCCGGCTTTCTGCCTCAAAACTCCTCTTACTCGCCACATTTCTTTATATTCAACTACCAATCTCTCTCTCTCTCTTTCCTTATCTATAAATTTTATAATATATATATATATAATCCATCGAAAAATAAATGTTATTTCTTGTTAAAACGTATTTCTCACGATCGTTAAACTGCAGATCTTATTCCACGGTTTCACTTGCCTTTACACACACTCCAAATAAATCGACAAACCCACCAATTGTCATCTGCCATGGTCTACTAGGTTCCAAACAAAGCTGGAAGACTCTTGGAAAACAACTTGCCAATCGCACCGAACGCAATGTGTATGCTCTTGTGAGTAAAAAAAAAGGAGAGAGAAGAACAACCTTTCTGTAAATTCAATGACTAATAATTCTCTACAATTGAAAAAAAAAAATAGGATGCACGTAATCATGGAAATAGTCCTCACACTACTAATCACAATTGTGAAGCAATGGCACAAGATGTCCGAGCATTTATCAAAGACAATAAGATTGAGCAGCCAATAATACTTGGGCATTCAATGTAAGCAACCCAATTCTTCTTACCCAAATATATATCATTGATGGAAAAGTTTATTAATAAATAAATATATATGTATATGACAAATTAAAAGGGGTGGAAAGACTGCAATGACATTTGCTACACTTTTCCCAGACGCACTTTCAAAACTTATTGTTATTGATGTTTCGCCAATGCGTCTCAGCTTACACGACGAATTTGTACCTTACTTTAAAGCAATGCAGGAAATCAAACGTATCGAGCCCCAGACCCAGAAAGAGGTCGAGTCAATCATGTTTGATTATATACCTGATAAGAGTATGCGTCAATTCTTGATGACAAACATCAAGCGAACCAGGGAAGGAGTCTATAGGGTTCAGTGCAACCATGATACTCTCGAAAGAGAACTCTTCCAGCTCGAAAAACCCTTGAATGTATTTTACAAAGGCCCAACCCTTTTTATAACCGGCGACAAGAGTCCTTATTATAATGCATTTGTTGAAAACCCTAAAACTATCAAGAGTATGTTTCCCTTGAGTCGGGTAGAGACCATTCATGATGCAGGCCATTGGTGTAAGCTGTTTTTTTAGGTCTCTTTCTTAGAAATAATAGTAGTAGTAATAGTATGTATGCATTTATACATATATTATAGCTAACCTATAAAACATGTATGTGTGCGTGCCTTTGTTAATCTTCATTCATTCATTTAGTGCAATCAGAAAAACCCGAGGAGTTTCTCGGACTAGTAGAGTCGTTTGCGAAACCATAAGAGATTTATGTAATGATTAGAAAGAGAGAATAGAAAAGAAGAATATAGAATACGAAAAGACAGATAGAAGGAAATAGAGGTGGTTAGTGCTAATGGCAATGGTAGTGTTAATGACAATGACAATGGTAGTGGTTATTAGTAGACAAGAAAGAAAGAGAAAAAAAAAGGAAAATGTTTTTTTTTGGATATGTTGGTTATTTTAGTTAGATAGACAGATTTTCTGGTTGGTTGGTTGGTTGGTTGGTTGGCTAGTTGGACGGTGGTGAGTGTGGCATGGTTTGGATGATATCCAATGGTGGTTGATGAGGTGCAAGGGTCGGCAATGGTCGGTGAATGGCTTCAAATGTGGATCTTTGGTTGATAGGGCAATCCCGATGACTGAGCAATAGAGTTTTTAGGTTGAGGAGTTCTTCTCTCAATGCGATACTTTGTAGTTGCAGCTGCTCGTTGTCTGATGAAAGATAGTCCACCTTAGTCTGTAAATCCTTCAACCATTCCTTTTTACGTTGCCGGCATTTAAGAGCAGCTTTAATAGAAGAAGAAGAAACAACAACGACAATATAAATATAAATATTTGACTGTGTAGATAAAACTAAAAGAAGAAGCAGTAGTAGTAGCAGTGTGCTTCTTGTATTTAATGTGTACAATACACACATGCACTACATAAAAGTCCACGTGTATATTTGCACACGCACACATATATACGGGTGTGTGTGTGTTTTTGTATGCGTGTGCGTGTGCGTCTGACTTTACTATATCTACTTTACTTTACCTTGACGATTCCGTTCCAGAAAGTGTTTACGCTTTTCTTCTTCGCCTGCTACGAGTTTATTTCCTGAGCCATTTTCGGAGTCACTTGCGTTTGCTTTGGGTGAATGATATGGTGATTTGGCGGGATGGCTGCGTCTACGGTGAACAGATGACGGAGGATTATCTTTTGTGTGATTAATAAAAGACGTTTGACAATCATTCCGGCCATTCACAGGGTTGCGTGTGCTGTATGTGTCAGATACGTACAATGCGTGCGTTTCTAGCAAACAACTCTTTTCCTATTAGACTTTTTTTTATAATATATATATATATGTGTGTGTGTATGTTTGTGTTTGTGTTTGTGTTTGTACTTTACAAATATTTTATAATAATAATATTTACACTTAAATATAAATTTAAATGAAAATATAAATCTACCTGCGGTCTGTGTGTTATGTTGATGTGTATTCTGCTGCTGATAAGACATATATGATGTTTCTTCTGTCCCTTTTGCTGGTCCCTGTAGCATTGAAGGTGAAAGTGAGCCTGAATGCAAGGAATCCCACGCAAGTTGACTTGCTGCATCCTTTCCGGGACCATTGGGATGTACAATGGAAGATGCAGGCGGAAGTATCGGGAGAGGTACAGAAGAGTGTTTTGTTTTTGGCGTCGAAAAGCTTTGCTCGAAAGGATTTGGTTCTTCATCTAATTTTGTGGTTAGTGGGAGCGGTGGTGGTGGTGGTGGTAATTGTGGATAGCTTGATGCATATTCAAGTTGTTCGTATGGTTCATGTTGGTCTGTGTGGCGATTTTTTTAAAATATATATGTAATGTAATAAATACAAATAAAGAATGAATGAATTGGAATTGGAATAATTGCTTGATGAATGTATTTATACAATTCTCTTATTTAATTGGTTTGGTTGGTACCTTGACTGTCTGAAGAAGGATCATGACTGTCTAGACAACTATCGGGACCTTTGTCGGTTATATACTCGTCAATGGCATCCATCCCCTGTCCAGGTTCATAAAGTGGTTGTGGTTGATTGGAAGTAATGATCATAATGTTGAAAGTAAAAGAGCTGCGACGAGATAATAATAACAAAAATTAATATATATATATATATATATATAGTTTATATTTTATGTGACGGAAGCTTGTAGAAACGAAAAAGAAGAAAAAAAAAATAGCTTGCGTCACATTGGCATTGACTTTTTTTTTCATTTTCATTTTCATTTTTCAACTTTTTATTTTTATTTTTATACTTGGATTTATCTTTATTTTATTTTATTTTATTTTTCACATAAAGGTTCATGGTCGATATTTAAGGATCTCGATTTTTACAATTGAAGAATAGGCAGAGAAATGGAAATGATGATTTAGAGGATATTTCTTTAGTCCGAGTAATGATTCTTCTTTGGCTATTATTATCCACAAGAGAAACTATTGATATATTGGAGTTGTATATATTATGCAATCAAATCAAAGTGAACAAAAAAAAAAGATCTAGAAATATTATTTTTTTCTAGATTTGATAGATTCACTTTAATTAAAGGACTTGACTGCTACTATTACTATTACTAGTATTCTTTGGTTTCGTTTGTTATGGTCTTAAAAAGATGCGCTGCATAAATAACTACCTAATGATTGTTAACCGAAGAAAGAGAGTTGATAATAATGGTATTAAAAAAACATTCATATTCACTATAAAAAGCAAAGTAATTGAAGCTTGAAACTTGAAATCAAAACAAGTAGAGCATGAATTGTTTATTGAGTCATTAGATCCAAAAATAAATAAAATAAAGATGCATAATCACGGCCCCCTTTTAAATTTTTTTTTAAAAGAAAAGAAAAGAAAAATCAAATGAACAATATTGGTTCTTACACACCAATCAAAAATAAAACATATTGTCTTTTAAAAGCTCTTTGCTAATGAATTAAAAAAAAAAAAACATATTTAATTCAAATAAGATTTTTTTATATTTTTATTAAAAAATATTAAAAGTAAGCAAGTGATGAGACTACCAGGGGTCGAACCTGGAATCTCCTGATTCGTAGTCAGACGCCTTGTCCATTGGGCCATAGTCCCACTTGATGATTTTAAGGTTTGTTACAAAACTAAATAGTACAATTTTAAATTGTTTCCATCTATGCAGATATTTATGATTATATTTTTATTGTAAAAATCACTTTATAATAATATATAAAACATTTATAATAGACTTCAATATTTTCTAATAAGTTTATGTAAATTGAATACTAGACTATAAATAAGTTTTAGGGTTTTTAATAATAATATCTTATATATTATTAGATAATAAATTATAATTAATTATATTTATAGTTGTTATATATGTGAGAAAAATGAGATGTAAAATAAAACAAGTGAAGACAAGAGTATGGTGAGACTTTGTTTTATTAGAAGAAGTGAAAGAATTAGAAAGAAGATGCTGTTCTATTGCTATTAGTATTGTGTGTTTATATAGACATTATATTTAGCTTGGTGATGATATGATGATATTATGTAATGTCTGTTTCTCTACCATTATCTTCTATGATTTAGTTCTTATGTTTTTAGTGTTATTGACTAGAGTCTTAGTATTTGTCTTAGTATGTTCTTTATATAATTTTCTTATATAAGAGAAGGTATATTTTTTAGTATTGTTACTAGTTGTTGATAACTTAATGTACATATTTATTGAGTGCCTGTACTTTTAATTTAAATCTACAATTATGTTGGATACAACAGTAGTGATCTATATATTTAACTATTGGATTTATCTCATATAAGAATATATTTATATTGAGATAACTTAGTAGCTATTATCTTGTCAGTATATAGAATATATATAAACAATTAAGTAATTAGACTAATAATTATTATAGTTAGTACTATAGATAATATCTTAAAGATTGTTAAGACAATTATATTGTATTTGAGACACTTTAATATCTAATATTATATATAAACTCAGACAGATATACCTGTCAAAGAGATTATTATAAATATTTATTTAATATGAAGTGTGGTGATCCAGACACTTGGTTGTTGGATTTATTACATCTAAGAACATATTCCTATGATTATAGTAAAACAGCTATCATTACAAGAACAAATGAATAATTTATTTATTTTACTTATGGTAAATCAATAAGACTAATAATTAATTACAGTAAGTACTGTAATTATGACAGCTCAGTAAGCACTGAGTTAATATGAGGACACTGCAATTAGATTAAATTATAAACATAGTAGTACCAGCTCTCTAATATCTAAATGAACCCAGACTTAAGAAATTAAGATGTGACTGACAAAGCAGATCGTGTTTTGATATAAAAAGGACAACTTTGTATTCTTTAATAAAGACAACCTATATACAGTCTCAAAATATTCTTATATACGTCTCAATCTTTTTTACTGTTGATTTTATTCTATAAAACTTCATATGAAGTCTTATCTGAAATGTTGTAAATGAGTATTGACTACTGCTGTAATTGAGAATAAGTCTGAAGGAAATAATATAAGGCCTCAGCTATTCCAGTCAAAGGTGTCTACCAATTACTTTATTATTTAACACACAGGTTTAGCATGCATAATAGTGATTATATTTTATATGATGATATCACCATAATATGTGATACATCAGTGGATTATTATAAGCATAATTATAACTCATAAACACATTTACTTTCAATGTTAATACTTTATTGGGACTACACACATTTATATAATTAATCATACATTAATTATCCCAAGATCACGTTGCTCTAATTAAGGCTCAGATAGGATCGATTACCTGACCCCAGTCATATAATTTTTCCAATCCAAAATAATATAAATAGTAGTAGTAGTTCAGTGTAGGGACCTGGTCAAACTTTGATACAAAATCTTTTCTCAATAAACAAAATCTATACAAGTTCTCACGAATCTTCATTCCTAATCTCAATTCTTCAATTCTTCCTCTTAAAAACTTCTTCAACTTCAACCACCACAACATAAAACATAATAGCAATATATCAGATTCATCATTAGATTCTCTTCAAAAAGCACTTAAACTATTATTGCAAAATTATTACAATAACTTATATCTAAGATGACTGGATATATCTCAGTAAATATAAACACTATAGATAAAATAACTTTTATTAAGATAATTAGATTTGACTGAACATTTTTTATTAATAAAAAAGAGTCTCAAAGTACTTGTTGTCCCAATATTTTCTACTTTCTATATATAAATATAATAAATTATATCATATTGCTGAGTAAACTGTATCAAAACTATATGAAACTAATTTAGTAGTATTGTGATAGTTGAAGTTTTTAAGAAGAAGAATTAAAGATTTGAGGTGAGAAACAAAGATTTGTAAGAACTTATATAGAGTTTGTTTATTGAGAAAAGATTTTATATCAAAATTTAACAAGGTTTTTACACTGAACTACTACTGCTATTTATATTATTTTGAATTAAGAAAATTATATAACTGAGATCAGATAATCAATCATATCTGAACCTTAATCAGAGCAACGTAATATTATAATAATTAATGTATTAATTAATTATATAAATATGTGTAGTCTCAATGAAATATTAATAAAGAAAGTAAATGTGTTTATGAGTTATAATTATGCGTACAATAATTCATTGATATATTTCATATTACAGTGATATTATCATATAAAATATAATCACTATTGTGCATGATAAATCTGTGTGTTAAATAACAAAGTAATTGATAGACACCTTTGACTGGAATAGGTGAGACCTTATATTATTTCCTTTAGACTTACTCTCAATAACATCAGTAGTCAATACTCATTTACAGCAATATGCTATATTACTTATTAATTTAATAATTCTTTTATTTATTTATATACTTTACTTATCTGTATTATATTTTGGTTTAATTTTTATTATTTTAAATAAATTAGAAAGTATAAAGTATAAATATCATAGAAAAAAATAAAATAAATAAATAAATAAATAAATCGATTTCAACTTTATATGAAAGCATATATTAATCTTGAAATTAACATTTATTGTCTCAATTTATTATATATATTTTCTAAAACAGTATTGATTGTTATGTATGAGGTAAAAATAAGATATAAAATAAAACAAGTGCAGACAAGAGTACGGTGAGACTTTGTTTTATTAGAAGAAGTGAAAGAATCAGAAAAGAGATGCTGTTCTATTGCTATTAGTATTGTGCGTTTATATAGACATTGTATTTAGCTTGGTGATGATATGATGATATCATGTAATATCTGTTTCTCTACCATTATCTTCTATGATTTAGTTCTTATGTTTTTAGTGTTATTGACTAGAGTCTTAGTATTTGTCTTAGTATGTTCTTTACGTAATTTCCTTGTATAAGGGAAGGTATATCTTTTAGTATCGTTACTAGTTGTTGGTAACTCAATGTATGTATTTATTGAGTGTCTGTACTTTTAATTTAAATCTACGATTATGTTGGATACAACATTGATAATATTGTTCAAAGCTTTAACGGTTATATAGATTATAGATTATATATTATTATAAGAAATATATAAGAAATAAAAAATATATAAGTTTACATTACATAACATTTTCATAACCAATATCATTATATTTATTATAATAAATGTCAAATGTCCAAGTGTGTTTAGTTTAAAGCAAAAAATAAAGATAGAGTCTGCAAAATAATATATGTATTGTTGTATCCAACATAATTATAGATTCAAATAGAGTGCACAGACAATAAGATAAAGATATATTAAAGAAGCGACCAGTATCTATTTTTCACACTATCATTGAAGAACATACTGCCAACAAGGTCACACGACTTAGTCAACATCACTAATCACTCAAACAAGAGCATGGGTAATAACTTAACAATATATCATCTATGATATAAGAAAACAGATATCACATGATATACTCATATCATTGCCTCAAATACATATGCAATCTCTATATAAACTCACATAGCAAATAACAATAGAAGATCATCTCTCTTTTCATCAATAAACAAAGTCTCACCATACTTCTCGTCTGCACTTTGTTTTTCTTTCTTTTTTAAAAAATATAACATGTATATTTTTGAAGTATATTGAATGTGTTATTATAATAAAAGAGTTAATAATACTTTATTTTCTGGTTTACTTATCACAGTAGATGCAAGCTGTGCTAGCCTTATTTTGTATAAGATATATACTTGATAACAATTTCCTTATTTTTTAAAGTGTTTTAATGATAGTCAATTTTATACTTTATATTATATACTAATAAAATATAAAATGAAATTCAAAGAGTACTGCTATAAGACATGTTTTATTACTTTTGAATCGACTTTGTTGTGGTGGTTGAAGTTGAAGAAGTTTTTAAGAGGAAGAATTGAAGATTTGAAATTAGGAACGAAGATTCGTGAGAACTTGTGTAGGTTTTGTTTATTGAGAAAGATTTTGTATCAAAGTTTGACCCGGTTCCTACACTGAACTACTACTGCTATTTATATTGTTTTGGATTGGGAAAATTATATGACTGGGGTCAGGTAATCGATCCTATCTGAGCCTTAATCAGAGCAACGTGATCTTGGGATAATTAATGTATGATTAATTATATAAATGTGTGTAGTCCCAATGAAGTATTAACATCGAAAGTAAATGTGTTTATGAGTTATAATTATGCTTATAATAATCCACTGATGTATCCCATATTATGGTGATATCATCATATGAAATATAATCACTATCACGCATGCTAAACCTGTGTGTTAAATAATAAAGTAATCGGTAGACACCTTTGACTGGAATAGCTGAGGCCTTATATTATTTCCTTCAGACTTATTCTCAATTACAGCAGTAGTCAATACTCATTTACAACAGACTTTAAGTTCACAAACTGCCTTTACTCTGACTATATAACTGTATATAATAAAAAAATCCTTCTGAATGATATGTATACAAGTAATTTCAATAAATATACCTCAAACATGTATAGGGTAGACCGGGGTTTCAATAGGAATATATTTAAGAAATACTCACGCTTACAAAAAAAGAAAAACCCAATTTGTGGGTTTACTTATATGTTTTACTCTTATAAAGTAAAATGATTTGATATTAAAGCAGAATAGAAAATGATTAAAATAACAATTAAAAATCTTGACTCAAATAAATTAGCAATAATAGGAACAATATTTTTAAAAAATAATAATAATAAATTAAATTAAAATAAGCAAGCAAACAGAAAAGTAAAGAAAACAAAAAAAAACTTTAAAACCCACAAGTTAAAAAAAACGTGAAAAACAAGTAGATATAAACAAAAAGTCGACATTTATTAAATTGACCGGATAGCTCGTCTATCTGTAAGCCAACGGCGGTCAATAAAGGGATGAATTCGCTCATTGGTGGAATTAACAGTGGCTGGGTTGCCTTGTCGAAGATAGTGTCTTACAGAGATTGATGTCAGCATTCGTGTTTCGGCGTAGGCTGAAATGCGGAGGTTGCTAAGTACTGGGGTATTGCCCGAGGGTAGCAATACAACAGGGAAAACTCAGAGCATCAGATCAGCTGTAAGATGGCACATCGGAGAGGATTTACTTGGCACCTGCCATCATGTGCGGGAACTCCCCCTTTTGAATTTTTATTTTATTTTTAATACTCTTGAACCCTTTCTTCTTTATTATATACAATCGTCTTTTTAAGATATTCCTTCACTTTTACAGTGAAATTATTCTTTACACAAAAATATCAAATTAAAGTTTAATTCGGCAATATACTCAATGTCAAAAAATAAAACCAAAACCTTACCACAGATAACAAATCCCATGTAATCTTCAAATCCAAGGGAAGATGATATTTACGAGTCTTAAAAACATATTTAAAGTGTTCATATAGTGTGTCCCATCTTTGGATTAATACCGTTTTCTATGAATCTTTATTTGTATCCACAAAGGTAATAATGAACGATAATCCAGTACTATTTACAGAGATAGTATTATTGTTAAAGACATTTTTGAAAATGTTTATTTGTACAAAATACCTCCTTATCTTGAACAGAACAGGTTCAAGAACAGTTCCTCAGGCAAAGAGAACATGTAATGTCTTGACCTCTTCTTCGGTAGTTCCTTTAATTTCATCAATACTGATAGGTGTGCCTTTGCTTGGGCTTATGAGACTTGACATGAAAGGGGAAAATGGCACACTAGAGTTACAATGTGAGCGTGACAGCGACCATGTTGGTCGTGATTAAGACGTGCTTGGGCTTGTATAAGTTGATAAATGTGAACTTCAAAACCATTTTATGAACCTGCCCTCTGTTTTCTGGTTGTTCTGCCAATCTCTTTTTAGCACAAGAAATTCCTCTTCAAATATCCTTAGCAGCTACATTATCCACGGGGCATTTATTTTCTACACTCTTTTTTAGTAGCTCTAGTTTGTGTGCGTATGTTGATAAGAGCTGCTTTTTCTGGACATAACAATAGATTTTTTCATTGTCAACAAATGTCTTGGTGGCTAGATTTCTGTGGTTATTTGATATTTTTGAGAAAGCTGTTACTATCGTTTTAACTTCTTTCTCCGCATCCCCTGATTGTTGAAATATAAAAGAATGGTCGATGGGCGTTAAGCATGAGAGAACGACATTTTCTGGTGAGAGACAGCATTTTGATTCTACCGAACCACAAACTGTGGCTTTCTTCCCGACATAGAGTAAATCTATTTGGTCCCTAAGGATACATAATATTCGTATTAAGATTATATTTTGTGCTTTAAAAAAATAAAAAATAAAAAGAAAATGGTGGGGTGGGAATTACTCACCGGTTGCTCCAATTCTACTACTATCCTTGCCTGGGACAGCATGACATGACTCTACACCACTGGAGAAAAGGGTGAGTATCTTTGCATCTGGATTTTTTCAAAGACAAACCTTGGGTCATTTTCTGGTAATATAGATACAATAGGCAGAGGAAGGAGAAATACTTCGTACGCGTAAGAAGGTCAATAAATAGCAAAGTATACAACAAGATTGTATCACAATTTAATGACAGAAACTACTTATAATTTTCTGCATACTTTTTTATTAGTATGGGGGTATTTTTTATGGCCAAGTAGGTCTAGATGAAAGGTTATTAGTTAAATATATTGTATGCATTTTAGGACAAGCAATTTTGCCCTGAAAGATTAGAGAAAGACACCAGACCCCGGAAATGTAGCCACAATTAATAATTTCGGTTAGATAGAAACGTCGTCCCCGCAGGTTTGCTGTGTAGGAAATGTAATGTGTCATGTGTAGTCAATAGAATTAAGCATTGATTGCTGGTTTCTAGGTTATATTTTAGTTGTAGACTTGTGTCGCACATACTGTTTGCATGTCATATATATAGATTTCAATTGCAAGAACGGCAATGCTCAGCCTCTTATTTGCTTGGCTAATGTTGTTCTTGTTTTTCTTTTGGCTTGGTGACATATAATGTAAAGTTTTTCGATAAAGTACCAATATTTAGGAGGTTTTCCTATAGTAAGTGACATCCTAAAATAAGATTTCATCTCTAAATATTAAAGGTTACTTGAGTCAAAGTTTATGGTGACCTTTTGAAATTAAATCGGATTACTGTGAGCCAGTCAATATACACGTGCAAATTGTAATCAACAGACATCTGTTGACCTGAGGCGAAACTTTGGCTTTTATTTCCAAAGGTATAAAAAGAAAAAAAAATTACCCACCCATTCTCCCTCTAGACATAGGGTTATTTATTAACTATATGCAGTAAATTGTACTATAATAGGATATTGGTTATTTTTTTAAAAGAAAATATATATCTGAAATGTCTTTCTTAACTATCCGAAATGTTTTTATATATAGGAGGCTGGGTAAACCACAAGACCACAAAGATAAACTTCAATAGACTCTGATTGTACTACTTTAAGATTCATATATGTACGTGTAACCTCGAGATTTACGGCTTTGCTGTTCCTGCAATTCTTACTGATTTTAGTATTCGGCTTATTTTTTTTTACTAGTAGGGGGACTGACATAGACTCTACGGTGTTTGGCTTTGGTGGTATTATTTAAATGAGCTTCAATAATTACACATACTATTAAAGTGGTATGGCAAGAGTGATCTCAAGCTTTTAGGAATAGTAAATATTATATATATTTTTAAAAAAAACAAGACGAAATTCCGCTGTTATCTTAAAAAGCTGTATTCTTGATCCACGTTATAGTGTCACCACAGACCAAAAGTTTTGTGATAGTTTTGGGAGATGGGGAGGTGCATACACTTGCACCAAAATTAAAAGTCATGATTAGAGATACGATAACTAATCCAATAGATAATGTACAGCCAGAATAAAACAAAATAGAATAAAGTGATAAATGGTCAATAAGGCCAATCAAATCATTTATTGATGCCAAGAAATAAATAACACATAATTAATTTGTGGCTATACTTTATATATATTTGAAAGTTGTTATTTTGGATAAAAGACAGAAATTTCAAACCAAAGATTAATAAAGGTCGTCTACAGTTACACACCCAGAAATAGATTATATACTTCTTCCTCAAATCATTAAATCGTTCAAGTGATTGTGCAAGAATTGTGATATTATATTGAATGGATATACTTCTTTGTAAAATACAACAAACACACACATATATATATAATATACATGTGCATATTTGTGTGCCAGCAAGCCATTTAAATAAATCAATTTTAGGGCCGTCAAAAATAAATAAATAAATAATACATTTATTCAAAATCCATTACATTAATTTTAGACAACATTGCATAGAAAAGAAAAATAAGAAAAGAGACAAAACGAAACAAAAAAAAACCCGCCTCACTTCCCTCCTCTCCTTCCTACCCCTTCCCTTTCTCTCCTTCTCATTCATATTACATCCTTTCCCTTTAGATTTTTTTTTTGTAAAAAAAAGAAGAAAAACATCAACTTTTCTCCTCTCCTTTATCCCTTCGATGTTGAATCATTTCCGACAGACTTTTACTACGCTACGAAAGACTCGTACAGTGGTCAATGGATTACGATTTGTCTGGGTCATTACTTTTCTAATAAGCGAGTATTTTGTATTTTACTTTGCCGCTCAGAAATGTTCATCGTGGCCACGTACTATTAATCAATCCTTCAATCATACAATGAGCAACCTTAATGTCATCAATACCCCAGAAAAGGCAAGTAATTGCTGGTTACGATCCCCCATTTGACTTTACCCTTTTTTCTTTGGTTAGTCATCTAACTTTTTTTTTTCAACTTCTTTATATATTATTTGGTGGGTTGGTTGTTTGCTCTTAGGTGGCCTCCGAGACATTCCTTTTGATTGGCGATCCTCAAATAACTGACGCATTCTCTTACAAACGAACTGGAATTCTGCAAACCTTAACCGAATATTACAGCGACCGTTACATGCGCCGTAATTACAAACTTCTCACAAACATTCTTCAGCCACAGACAGTCTTTTTTATGGGTGATCTGATGGATGGCGGACGAGAATGGGACGATGAAGGGTAACCACACACACGTGTATATATGTATGTGCACGGACAAAACAGAGTACAAACTAATTTTGAGTTGTAAAAAAATTATATTATATTACATTGTATATATATGTATGTGTGTGTGTTTGTGGGAATTGGATTTATTTATTTTTCTAGATGGTACAAGCAGACTGAGCGGTTTATGCGACTATTTAAGACTTCAGCAAAGATGCAATTCATGGCAGGCAACCATGATATTGGATTTGGAAATGGTGTAACAACTTTTCTTCAAGAGCGATTCGAATCTGTCTTTGGACCACCATCATACGGCTTGACGACCAATACACCTTACTCCATCGTCGTGCTCGACACAGTATCCTTGAGTTCGAGCGACCCGGCCGTTCGACAAAAGGCTCTTGATGTCTTGTACGGCCCGCTACCACCATCTCCTCGGATATTGATGTCTCATGTGCCGCTTTACCGACCCGACACGGAGTGGTGTGGGCCTTATCGCGGGCGACAGAATCCAGGCACGATCCGCCAAGGCCGCGGATACCAATATCAGAATCTGCTCACCGAGGAACTATCGCGCCAGATCTTGGAACGCGTACAGCCAATCGCCGTATTTTCAGGAGATGACCATGATTACTGCGAAGTAACACACACTTACAAATACGGCGCCGGTTATGGCTATAATGCTGATAATGTCAATGATAACTATAATGAGAATACTAGCAATAATGGTGGCGATGGTGAAGGCGATGGTGAAAAGAATAACGGTATCAATTCCGGTGCTAGCAGGAATAGTGGTACCCGTGCTGCTGCTAGTAATTATGATATATTAGAGGTTGTGGAGATGAGTGTGCCAACATTTAATATGGCCCAGGGTGTGATTTCTCCAGGCGTGATGCTGTTGGATCTGTCGTCGGGAATAGGAGTCAAGCTGTGTTGGCTTCCAGACCAGATATCACTATTCATTGGTTATGGTTGTCTTGCCGGGTTGTCAATTGGGGTGTTGGCCATCGTGCATGGTTGGAGATGGATTCGACACCGCCAAAAAACATCCTCGGGTTTCAAGACCCTCGAGATGGCTGACGAAAGATTGATGATGTACTCGAGAAATTCTTCAATCAAAAACGCACTGGGATATTTTGCAAGGGATGTGTGTAATGTAGGAAGTGTAGCTATTGTATTTTATATATTTTGTCTACTAGTCTTCTAATGCGCGTGCATGCATGCGGGTATGCGGGTATGCGGGTATGCGGGTATGCGTACATGCGTACATGTGTGTGTGCGTGCGTGCGTGCTTGTATGTGTGTATGTATGTATGTATGTATGTATGTATGTATGTATGTATATGTATTGTGATTGTAATATAAATGATTTTCCTTTCTTTTTTTCTTTTAAAACATTGTCATAAAAGATCAATAAAGCTAAAAAAAGCAAATAGACCAAAACATTGTAAAGAAGTGTATCTATTTCTTTGATTTTATGTTGCTGCTGTTTTCTGTGAATAATTATAACTTAAATGATAACGATAACGATAACGATAATGATATATAGATAGAAATAAACAAATAAACAAAAAACCAACACATATTAACTCTGAAATACTAAATTTACGACTGGGACATTTGCCCATGCCCATGTGTGAGAGTGATTGATTGATTGATTGATAGATAGATAGATAGATTGAGTGGGTGAGTGAGTGGGTGAATGAGTGAATGAGTCAAGTAATTGCATTTATATTTATATTTATATTTATATTCGTATATATATTTATATTTGTATTTGTATTTATGTTTGTGCCAGTGTCTGTGTTTGTGCGTATTTGTACGTGCGTATTTGTACGTGCGTTCGCGCGTGCGTGTAAGATTGCAAGTGTGTATGTGTACGTGCATGAATGCGTGCGTGCGTGGTTGAATGAGAGTGCAATATGGTAGTCTGTAAAAAGGGAAGGCACGTCTTTCTTTCTTTTTTGTTTGTTTGTGTGTATATATTTTTTTTGTTTAGTTCTTGTGATGAGCAAGGATGATATTGAATAGATCGAAATTTAAAAGTAAAAAGAAGAAGAAGAAAAAGGGGGGGTGATTGTGATGGTGCTTGTGATGGTGGTGGTGATAATAATAATAGAGAACTGAGAACTGAGAGAAGGAATATTCGTGTAAAAAAAAGAGTAAAAGCAAAGCAAAAATAAAGCAAAGTAAAAGCAAAGCAAAGATTGGCTAGGCTATTCCGTGTTTACATATTGGTCAGTGTCTTCGAGAATATTTGAGTTGAGATGCATCCTTGGCAAGCCACCACACAAAACAGCACCTGTGTCGTAGCGCGAATGTAGGGTCGATTGGAGAGTCGATTGGAGAGAAGACTGCATGGTGACATTTGTCATGTTTGACGGGTTTCCGTTCATCGACGAATTGAGGGAGTTGTTGTTTCTGATATTGCCATTGGGTCCCACAAGATTTGCCATGTCAGAGTTGTTATCGACCATGCCCATGACATTCGACACACCAGTCATGCCATTTGTTTGTTTTTGAGGGTTTCCAGAAGGATTGCCCATACCAACACCCATACCCATACCAACGTTAACACCAACATTGCCGCCATTACCATTACCACCACCACCATTACCGGCAGCGGCGGCGGCAGCAGCAGCAGAGGCAGCAGCAGCAGAGCGATACTTTTGACGAGTGCCTCTTCCCATGGGATGATCAACCTGAGCGGCGTAAACTTGCATTTCACGGGCATATCTCTCTTTATCGGCATGAGCCTTTGTCTTCCAAGGCATCTGTTCGGTCTCTGACATTGTATTCCAACGATCAGCACACAATTTGCTGATCTGTCCTACTGTGGATCCAGGATAGGCCCGCATAGTGTCTGGACGGACTTCAGTCAAGTACCACATATAGGCAGACAAGGGATGTTTGGGAGTCGACGAATTCTTGTCGCGTCTCTGACGTTTGCGAGGCGATCGTGTAGATCGCGGCATAGGTGCGGCAGACGATTGTTCGGGTAGATAATTTCCAGGATTATGATGATGATGGTTATTATTGTTATTATTGGTGTTATTGTTATTGTTGGGGGCGTTGTTGTTTATTAGATTGTGATTGTGGTTATGGTTGTGATTATGGTTGGTGTTGGTGTTGTTGTTACCGTTGTTTATACCAGTTGATTGATCTACGAATCCTGTCTGTCTATTCTTCATTTTTGGTCTGGTGTAGTGACCAGCCTTGACCAATTCGGCCTTGGAACGTCTGATATACATGGCATTTGGGTTAAGAGCGCGTTGATGGTCTTTTAGACGTTCTGCTTCGGCTACATAGCGATCTTTGTCTACTTGATTGAGACATTTCCAACGGCCACCAATCTCTTTGCTGATCTCAGCCACCTTCATTGTTGGATTTTGATCCTTGAGTTGTTTACGCATCTCCTTATTGAACAGCAAAAAGGCGTTTGGTGGACGGGTGACTCGAGTAGGCTCTGGGAGGGTCTCTACGGGGGGACGTGGCTTGGGTCTGTGCTTAGTCTTGACATCCTTTGTTACATCGACGGTTGGTTGATGGAGCTGGGGAGGTTGCATTGCTGCAGCTGATTGAAGGATGGGGAATGACTGGTAAGGTGACGACAGACCAGAGAAATGTGAGTCTTGCAGATGAGAGGTGTGGATTGATGATGGATGTTGTTGCATTTGGGGGCTGTTGAGGACGGCATTGTGCAGATTCTGGGCCTGTGAAAAGTCGGCATAGGGAAGGCCAAAGTGGAGGTTGTCTGGAAGGTTATCTAAATGATAATAATAAAGAAGAAAAAATAACAGGTATTGTATATAACAGTAATAGTGATAAGAAGATGTATGATGGTAATGGAGTACAAGTAAGAGTAAGGTGTATGATGATTATAAAATAAAATGTTGTCGTCGTTTGTCGTTTGTCATTTGTTGTTGTTGTTGTTGTTAAAATAAATATTAAATATTTTAAATATTAAATAATATTAAATGTATGTATGTATGTATGTATGTATGTATATATGTATGTATATATGTATGTGTATATATATATATATAATATGTATATATGTATATATGTATATATATAAATAGGTAGATAGGTAGGTAGATAGATAGATAGAGAAAAATAATAAAAAAATAATAAAATAATAATATGAAGGTAGAGTGTTGGTTTTGTTAGTGTTGTATAATATTATTGCCTGTAAGTCTCACTCACTCATGCTATTGGTACACCGATAGTCATAAAATATACAGAATTATCTTTTGGCTATTTTTTTATAGAGACTCTAACTCTCTCTCTCTTTTGTATGTTAGGATTTGGGGTAAAAGTATAAAAGATATTGTAAAAAGTGTTTACAATACAAATACAAAAAAGAAATTGTAATAAAAGCAAAAAAAAAAAAAATATTAAAAAATATATAAAATAATAAAAATAATTTTTTTTTTTATATTTAAATATTTTTAATATTTTTTTTTTTTCCTATTAAAAAAAAATTCTCCCGAGCAAAAAAAAAAAAAAAAAAAAAAAAAAACCTCTTGAAACAGTCCCATAAAAATATTTTTAAAAAAAAAAATTATTATTATTTATATGGTTGAATGGAAAAAACCAAAAGCCGCGCTATTTCGAAATTTGAATGTATTTGGGAAACAATTTGCAAAAAAAAAATCATCAAAAGTGAAAAAGGCAATTTCGGAAATTTATTTTATTTCGCAAAAAATTGAAACAAATTTTCTTTATGATTTTAATAATAAAGATATCCTTATTTTTTTTTTATAGGATTGGAAGGGGAATCAAAAATAAATAAATGAAAAATGCTCAAAAAAAAAAAAAAAAATTCAGTTCAGTTCAATTGAATTGAATTGAATTGAAAAAAAAAAAATT